ATTCAGCTACATGCTCCCCAGCATCATCTGGGTCCCTATAGGGCTCTTTCTCTTCCACTCAGTGCAAGCGGTGAGTTGATTCTTATGAATTTTTGAAAGGATTGAGTTTCGGGGTGTTTATGAAACCTCGACTTTTTGAGTAACTCTTGATCGACGTTAAATTTCCGAGAGTAGTTCAATGCGTAGTTGAGCTTCAATGCGTAGTTTTGCTAGTTTTTCGGTTGCTTTTAGGCTTGACTGATTTACTAGTACTTAGGGGTACTCTACGCTCCTCTAAGTAATTTAATATGTTTGAAATAAGCAAGATGACTGTTTAAGGGTATTTCATTTTTGTCAACTTTCCTTGATCCCTCTTCAACAACATCATTCAACATGATCTCTCATTGTTATCTGCAAAAAAACTTCTTGATTTTCAACATAAACCTTCATTGTAGTTCCGAAAAGTTTTGACCAAACAAGAGAAATTTGAAGGTCGCGTTTTTTCTTTGGTTACAAGCCTCGATTTCACTTTGTTCGTTTTCAAATCTTGTTATAAGTAGTGAAAGGAGTTTACACAAGAAGAGGAGGAAAAAGTTTGGCAACAAGAAAAGGGAAATTTGAGGGGAATGACCGGTCCATGCCCTTACTCTCTACAAAATATCCAATGGCAAAAACCATTTGCTCATTGAATGAAGTGAAATGGAATTGAAAGGAGGGAAACTTGAAGAGCACTTATTTGTCGTTTTCATTCTTTTTTCTGGGTAATTCTGGAGAAAGTGAGGGGATCGGAGAGCAATTCGGAGGATCTTCATTTGAGTGAAGACTTAGGGAATACTTGTAAATGAAGACTCAAAGATCGAAGAGTTTAGCTTGAATGTTTGCTTGGCAATTGCTTTGGCCATTGTTTGGCAATTGTTTGGAAAGCTTATTAGTTTGCTATTGATAATGAGTACTCCCAGAAACGTAATCCAAAATGAGTAATGAAGCCAAGTCAGTCAGTCAAAACAACCATTTATCACTTTTTTTTTAACTGAGATATCAGTGATCAGCTTTAGCCTCTGCTGCCAGTCAGAGAAGATCATATGAAAGATGCAATCTAGATCTAGATTCTATTCAATCTAGATTAATATGTAGCTCTGTAGTCACCCCAGCTTACTTGATTGAAATCTAGCTTTCAAATAGATGGCTGTTGATTACCGTTTAACTGATCTTTAACGTTTAACGTTTAACTTCAAAGACTCCTGAATCTCGATAAAAACTGAATCCTTTCATTTCACTTTCATATGAAGACTGTTTGGCAAGCAAGCTTATTGGTTTGCTATTGATAATGAGTACTCCCAGAAACGTAATTCAAAAACTACAAAAGTTTCCGAGTCAAGTTTATGTAAAGAAACCGTAAAAACCTATAAATTATTATTGATTTTTGTCTCAATTTACATTTGATTATATCTGATTCAATTATCCCTATTTGGTGAGTAAAAGGGGGAAATCGGTGAATTGAAAAAAGTGAAACGAGTCTGTCAATTGATTTCTCCATCATTCTCCTTTTCCATCCATCAAATGAAGCCAAGTCAGTCAGTCAAACCAATCATTTATCACTTCTTTTTTACTGAGATATCAGTGATCAGCTTTAGCCTCTGCTGCCAGTCAGAGAAGATCATATGAAAGATGAATTCTATGCAATCTAGATTGATATGTAGCTCTGTAATCATCCCAGTTTACTTGATTGAAATCTAGCTTTCAGATGATTCAGATGATTTTCAGATGGCTGTTGATTACCGTTTAACTAATCCTTGACTTAAAAGACTTCTCAATCTCGATGAAAACTGAATCCTTTCATTTCACTTTCATATGAAGATCTTTCACAGCTAAATATCGATGCAATTCATGCAAAAGCATCAATTGATTCAATTCCTTTCGATTCATTGCTTTCATGTGAATGTGTGGATGAGTGAGTGAGTGAAGGGCGAGAACGATTCACAAAAGAAATGAGAAATGAAAAGAAAGAAATCGAATGGATATCTTATGAAAAGAAGTAAAAGGAAAAAAAGGAGAAGAGAAGAGAAAAGAAGAGGAGAGGAGAGGAGAGAAGAGAAGAGGAGAGGAGAGGAGAGGAGAGAAGAGAAGAGAAGAGAAGAGGAGAGGAGAGGAGAGAAGAGAAGAGAAGAGGAGAGGAGAGAAGAAAAGAAAAGAAAAGAAAAGAAAAGAGAAGACAGACCTGTTCCTCGTTGGATTTTCTCCCCGTTTCTCCTTCGGAAATCCCCTTCAACCTGTTTTGAAAGGGAAAAATTCCACCGGAAAGTCTCGAAAATGTGACTCCAACCGAAACGTATAAAACAAAAAGCTTTGCTTGGTTAAGTCCCAGCTTACAGAAACATTACTCGTTAAAGGATCAGATTGGACAGTCACCGCTAGCTATTGAAGAAGCTAGCTAGACCTCAAACCTCTTGTAATCTTTTTGAGGTCATCGATCTTGAATCAAATCTTGACTGTGAATGTTTCAAAATTTCTTTTCACCATTTGAACTTTAAAGCATTATGTTTCGTGAGAGATTTGAAAGCAAGCCAAAGCTTAAACTCGAAACATTGAGGTCACCAATCTGTCTGTATAGATTGCTCTCTAGAAATATGCAATCGACTTTCAATAAACTTTCAATTCACAAATCTCCTCATCTCATCTCATAGACTGTAAACGATTCTCCCAAATGATAACCGTTCCCCTTAATCTCCATCATCACAAATCATCACTTCTCTTTTCACGAAAAAAAAGTGAGAGTCTCATTGACGGTCGTTTTACCAAAAAGAAGACGGCTGGCAGAACAAATGAGAACACAAAAGGATTCTAATGGATAATGAAGCGAAAAGATGAGAAGAGGATGATAATGGAGGGGACAAAACAAAGACAAAAACGTAAAAGCGGTCAACGACAAACTTTCTTTTGTTCTAAAAATGCTGTCATTAGATTTGAAGTCAAAAGTTTGTATCCAAAGGATTTTCGAGAATCGAGAAGCGAATGGAATTATCGATGGAAAGCGCAACTCTGAGAAGAGCTCAATTCAACTTTTCTTCAATGTCATCTTTTTCAGTCAAAACAGAAAAATTTTCCTAGTTTCCTAGATTCTTTTGGAGTGTGTAATACCCAAAATTCATTCTGCAATATTTAGCTAAACTCTTCGTTTTTCCTTTTTCTTCTTCCTTTCCTTATTTGAAAGACATATATCTTGTCGAGAAATCGGCTCAAAAAAAGGAAGGAAAAGAGAAGAAAAAGAGAAGGAAAAGAGAAGGAAAAGAGATCAGATCAAAAACATTCTGAAGGCTGAAAGTTTTTAGATTTTTTTTTTGGGTTGGTTTTGGTTTTGAGAGGAAGAAGATAGGAATCTATAAAGGAAAAAGCAAAAGCATGCCGGATCAAAGAAAAATCATGTTGGAAATTTGGTTAGATGGTAAAGGATCCGAAAAAAAGTAAAACCCTCAGCTCAGAGACATGCCAAATTTGACTCGAAAACTCTTTACAGACTTGTAAAGCTCATTTTGCAATTCATTTTGAGTTGCCTTCACATTGTTTACGTTTAAAAAAAGTGGGTTTGTTCTTTTGAATGAACCCAAGCAGTTCTGTAGGAATGATACGAGTTTATGATGTCTTTCACTAGGGTAAACCCTCCTCAAAACTCCTCAAAACCTATCCTGTTTACCTTTACCCATCATTTAGTATAACTTTACTGGCTCTAAACGTGCTTCAGCTTGCTCCAACTTGCTCCAGCTTGCTCCAACTTGCTCCAGCTTGCTCCAACTTGCTCCAGCTTGCTCCAGTTTGCTCTAAATTGACTTAAAACTATTGTAAAGTTTCGAGCACATTCATTTCATGAGTTTTCTCTAAACTAGACTTTTACAATGGTGTCAAACCTGAATTTAACTTCACTGCTTCTAGAATTCTCAATAAAAACCCCTTTTTTTGACTATTTGATTGTCGTAAATAGCGCTAAATGGACAATAAAAAGGCATAATGAAAATAGAGAAAAGAGAAAAAGATTGTGAATTGAGAAATCTCGTAAATGAAATTGAAGGAAATTGAAGGAAATTGAAGGAAACCGGGTAGAATATATGACTTCACAAAGAAACAAAGAATTCAACAAATTTTGACGTTGAAGAACCAATCTCGAGCCTTTAATGAGTTACTAACTGTGCTTAACCTTCAAAATAAACTTTGTTCTTTCAGTTTTTACGTGAAAAGTACAAGAGTGTTGCTTTGTAGCTTATTTTTGATCGAAGCATACTTGAGCAAGAATTCAGAGCAAGAATTCAGAGCAAGAATTCAGAGCAAGAATTCAGAGCAGGAATTCAGAGCAAGAATTCAGAGCAAGAATTTTCTGAGCTTTTTAGCGCCTGAGCAAGAATTCTCTTTGCAGCTATGTGAAAACCATACTTTGATAAGCTTTTTTTTGATGACAACAACACGTTTTCCTTCTTCTAAATCCTGCTGTGTATCCACTTTTGAAGCCTCAATACTCTTTAATCCAATCCCCAGCAATAGCTGACTTAAAATCGACATGAGCAACAAGTTTTGTGAATGATCACCTGCTGTGAGACGCTTGTAATTTGCAATTTGCAATTGATTTCTTTTTGTGGGGGTTTCACATAGAAGATCGCTCAAGTGGAAGACAAGTTTGAACCACGAGAAAACACCGGTGTCCCCATAAAATCGCTGGAGAAGATGAGAGACGAGAAATTTCGAAAAAGAAAAGAAAGAAAGAGAAGAAAGAAAGAAAAACTAGATCACATCGATCTAATCACCCTTGTGTCTTTTCTATTGTCGAGATTCAAAAGTTGAGGGATTTTCGAGAATCTGTTCATCTATCTCAAAAAGAAAATCTCTTCATCTATCTCAATTCCAAGAATTACCTTAAGTATTGGAAGAAAAGCAATTAGAATATGCCAGCTTCTTTGTTAGGCAATATTTTGTATTCTATTTTTAGCAAGACTTTGTCCCGAGGGCGGAATCTTTGTCTTCATCTTCAAGCAGTGATGCTTCATCGATCTCACATCGAAGGTTGTTTGGAATAAGAAGGTGGGATTTGGTGATTGTAATGCTTGTAATGGATTTGGTGATTGTAATGGTGATTGTAATGCTAAAACAAACACTAATCAACGTACTGTTACTGATAAGCTTATCACTTTTCTTTTTCAATTCTTTTCTTTACCCAAAATCAAAACACTCGCAATCTTCACCCAGAAAGGTGTCAGATTTGTTCTTTGATTGTGAAGTTTTAAACAAATCTGACACCCGAAAGGTGTCAGATTTGTCTTCACAAAGCTTCACAAGGTTCACAAAGTTTCACAAAGCTTCACAAAGCTTTACAAAGCTTCACAAAGCTTTACAAACCTTCCCAAAGCTTTACAAAGCTTTACAAAGCTTTACAAAGCTTCCTTTCTAGATTATGTTTTCTACAAAATTTCGACAAAATTTAATCAATTTCATTTGTAGATTGAGAATGCTTCATCCAGTTTATGAAGCGCCAAGAGTTGCCGATTCAATTGCAGTCAAATCAAGAGTTTTGCGGAGACAACAACCAAAAACTATTCCCCCTCCACCAAGATTTCAGGTAATCGATGAATTCCTTTCATTTTTATTATCATAAAATTTTCTATTTTTTTTTACGAATTTTTCTTTTGAAGTTCGCCGCCCCTCGTGCTCAACTACCGCCTGTTTATTTAACTGCTCATCACTCAGCGATCAGTGAGGTGAGTGTGTCATTATTAGAAGACAAAATATTCATCAAATTAACCTTTAACATTTAGATGATTGACCCAAAATCGACCACAATTCCACCATCAAAAAGAAATCTTTTCCCAAATGAATTTGATGAAAATCGAATTAAAAGAATGGAGGTTTGAAAAGCAATTTTTAAAGAAACTTTCAAATTATCCATAATTTTCTAGGCTCGTTGGAAAAAACTGGGAATCAACTTGGACAAAATCAATTTCAACTACGGAAACTCAAGGTTAGCAAGACAACAAAAGCGGCAAAAGTGACTCGGACGGGGAAAGTTATCTACATATGATCTTTCAAGCCTGTTGAGCTTGTATTAAATCGTCACCGCCACTGGACCTTGCCGGGGATCGAACCCGGGAGACTCGGCACTTCAGACCAACGCGCTAGCCACTCGGCCACAAAGGTCAGCAGAGGGGGCAGCGAGGGGCGAGTATTTACTGGGGAAAGAGACTAAAAGGGGGGGAGGGGAAATCAAGCGAGGCTACAAGTTGTGATAGTTAGAGAAAATAAGTTAGAGAAAATAAAATAGTACATAGTACAGTATACAATAAAATCATAGACTTGATGGGTTTTAGAAAACGGATAACTGAAAATTTAGTAACTCTTTCTGTTGTTCAAAATCTCTCATTTTTAGATAAAACCCCAGTTTATTTGTTTTTTAAAAAATCACTTTTCTATTAAAATTTCTATTTTAGACAAAGTCAATCAGAGGAAATTGAACAAAAAACGCCAAAATCGAATCGGTTTGTTTTGAAAATTTCAATTAAAATTCAATTAAAATTCAATTCAATTTCAATTCAATTAAAACATTATTTTATATCTAATTGCAAATAAAAAAAACTAGAATTTTATATATATGTTGTGTCCGATTTAGATTTCCGTCCGATTTAGATTCAATCTAAATCTTATATGGATTGAACAATAATATAAACATGTTTAGTATATGTTCTTAAGCGTTTTCTGTAGTTTTCTGCATTTTTCAAAGGTCTTTATTGTTACAGCATATCGGACGTCCGATACGATCGAACAATAATAAACGTGCTTAACATATGTTCTTTGAAATTTCTTTGAAAGCGCAGAAAATTGCAAAAACGCTTAAGAACATATTTGCCGTTTTGTTCGTCTGTATCGGACGACTCATCTAAATCGGACGTATGATTGAACAATAATATAAACATGTTTAGTATATGTTCTTAAGCGTTTTCTGTAGTTTTCTGCATTTTCAAAGGTCTTTTATTGATTATTTCATAGTTGGGTTTTCTTTTCAGAAAAAGACAGTAACAGACCTTTGAAAAATGCAGAAAACTACAGAAAACGCTTAAGAACATATATTAAACATGTTTATATTATTGTTCAATCTATATAAGACGTCCGATTTAGATTGAGTCTAAATCGGACGTCCGCGATAAGTTCAATCTAAATCGGACGTCCGATTTAGATTGAATCTAAATCGGACGGAAATCTAAATCGGACACAACATATATATATCTATGGAAAATAGATCTATAAGCAAATCTGCTTTAGATTATAGATCTATTTTCCTAGATCTATAAGCAAGAGAAAGAAATAGAAAATAGATCTATAAGCAAAACTGCAAATCAAAACACAAACTTCATTCCAATAATACATTTCTTTTTCATTCAATCTTTGTAAGAGTAAAATCCTTTCCTTATCCTTTTCCATTTCCCATTCAATCTCTCTTTTTTATTTATTTGAATGGAAGTGAAATCTCTATATGAATGAATAAAGTATCTACAGTACTGGACAATGAAATATGATATTTGAAAAACGATCGTCACATTCGCACGTCTGTAACTCCCTTGTCTTTACCGTATTTCTAAATATTAATATTACCATTGTGTAGCCCTTGAAAAGAGCTTTCAGAAAATGTATAACACTAATACTTTAAACTCAAAGACAAGGAAGTTACAGACGTGCGAATGTGACGATCGTTTTTCAAATATCATATTTCATTGTCCAGTACTGTAGGTAATCGAACCTCAAATTCGGCTAGAAACGTTGTCCATTTATTAAGCAATTCCTCAGGTTTAGTAGGCTTTTTGACAGCCATTTCCGACATTCGCACGTCTGTGCGAATGTGACAATCGTTTTTCAAATATCATATTTCATTGTCCAGTACTGTATAAATATCTTTAGCTTTTTAAATGGAGCGATGCCAAAATACTCGACAAAATCCGCGGAAAAGAACGGAAATGGAAAAACGGTTGTGGTTGAGGTTTGAAAGGAAAATTAAAGAGAATAGATCAGAGAATAGATTTTAAAATATCCTAATATCAATAAATATATAAATATTTAATTAGATAAAAGTAAATTTTTAAAGAATGGATTGTCAACAAATAGTTGTTCTTTCAGCAACGCGTCTCTCATCGTCCACGCATCAACGGACCTTTATTGAGATCGATTGATGAAGAGAAACCTGGTAAGAAAATATTTGATTTTAAAGTTATTCCATGGATAGATTTATTTATATTTTAAATAACTTCTTTGTTTTTTAATTAAAGATGAAGACACTTCTTTTGGAAGCAATTTCCCACCGAAAAGTGATGAGAGTTTTGGATCAGGAATAGGATTTGAATCTGGTAAGAAGCTGAAAAAAATTGTATTGAATATTGTTATCATTTAATCTCTTCTAAAAATCTTTTTCATCTTTTTACAGCCCAATTTGGCGGTAATCGCTTTGGATCGAGGAGTCCTTCATTCCCCGGCGAAGAGAACACGATAAGTGAAGGTGATGAAGAGGTTGATCCGGATGAAGAAGGAGAAGAAGAGATTGAAGAAGAGAAGACTGAGACGAAGACTGAAGTCAAGACTGACATCCCTGTTCCAATCAAATATCCAGTGATGGAGGGTGGAGTGACGCCACCATCTCCCGGTGCTTACCACTCGCGTACCACTCCAATCTATCGACACTTCCAATTCACTCAACAATTGGCACAACGACCCCGATTGCATATTAGAAGACCTGGTTTGTTTTAGAAGCTCATTATAAACAATTTTTTTGCTATTGTATCGTATTAAAGCTTTTTACATTTACATTGTTTTCAGGAGAGCCACGAGCTGAGGGAATCCAAAGTGCAAACGTAGAAGATCTCCCGAATTTAACTCCATACATGAACAATGCTCGACACAAGTCAGTTTCTCGGGTTTAGCTTAATCTTTCATATCCTATACGAGTTTTGATTTATTAGATAATAGATTTAGATAGATTTATTTTAACCATTTTTAGATATGGATACGATAAGCAACCAGCTCTTCAACAAATTTTTCCACAACAAGGTGAATAGATTGGAAGATTTACTTAATTTAATGTTACAGTAATGCCTCGAACGATGCCACCACCAATGCCAGTGCAAGAGATTCGACCATCCCCACCCCCAACAACCACTCTTCCACCATTCGAACAAACTGAAGACACTGAAGATAGTGGGCTTGGATTTGGAGATTCGGGAATCGTTGGTGAAGGACAAAATGGAGAATCAGATGCTGGTAAGTAGACGAAATTTCTAGCTGACTTGATGCTTTTACTTTTAGGAGTTGGTGGAGGTGCTGGTTTTGATGCTCCATCCGAGCTTCCACCAGAGTTGGCAAATATTGGTTTCGGATTAGCGGGAGGGAACGGAATCGGACTGAATGTGGCTCCAGAAGAACCAAAGCCGACTCCAAAACCTAAACCGCAGCCAAAGAGACCAAGACAAAGGTAAAACGGTTGACTTTCGAACATTTTTTAGCTTATATTCTTGTAGAAAGCCGCCAATGCAAGAAGTGGACAAGGATGAGAAAGATTTCGTGATTCCTGAGGACTCTGGTCTTCGCCCTGTTTCCCCGCCAAAAGAGTTCTTCGAGGGAGCGAGTAGGATTTATCCAAATTATATTATCATTAGAAATTCTCAGCTGGTAGTTTCGGGAGCGGAAGTGGATCACCATTTTTGGGAGGATCGGGAAGTTTTGGAGGTGGTGGGAGACAACAAAAAGTGAAAGGGGCACAAGGAAAGAAACCAAAACCAAAACCCCAACAACCATCATCGGCTTTTGGCAAGTTTTGGCAATTGTTTAATGCTTGTTTAATGGCTTTTTAAATCCCTTTTAACCTCTAATCAATTTTAGAGCAAAATGGCAGTGATTTGTTCAGCGGTGACTCGGCGTTGATGCCAAGCAAGGGACCATCTGGTGATGGGTATGGTTTGAGTGTACCTGATGGAGAAGCTGTTCCACCAATGGTTTGTCATGTAACAAATCCATCTGTAACAGATCTAGGTTCCCGCGGTGAGTCGAGGAGGAGCTGCTGCTGGCATTCCACCACCAGAATTCCAAGAATTTCAATCGGCTCGCACTTTCTTTGAGACAACGGAAAACCCGCATACAACAGTAAGTTGAAAAGTGTTTAAAAAGAAAATGATAAAGTTTCCGTACTCTAGCTTCTTATCTAATACTGGAAATTATTTAGGTAAAACCGTCAGCCTTGTTAAACGTGTTGAATCGAGCTGATCAGGGTTTCAATCAAGCAATCACTCATTTCGAGAGAGGAACGCCAGTTGAAGCTGCAGCTATTGATATATTAGAAGTTGCATTGGGAAGTCAGAAATTAGACAGGTGAAGAGATAAAAGAAAATCGTTAAACAAAAGATTTAGTCAAGCAAAATTATTGGGACATGTTGATCGAGCATTGGGATTGGACAATCTACAACGATTGCAGAGATGGGCGAACACGGCTGGAGCATTGGATATGCTGAAAGAGCAGGTTTGTTCAGTTACTCATATTGTGCAATCTAGAGCTGAATTGAAAGCTGGTAGAACGCTTTTATAAGCGATTATTCAGGTTGTGAAAATCGCGAAGAACTACCAGCCACCAGAAGATCTTCTCCCGACAATCCCTCCACAATTTGAATATCTTTTCAAACCGACTGGACGGTAGTTAATTAAGGATAGATTTTTGAATGATTGAATTGTTTTGAAGCATTCAATTGCTTGAAATTGCTTTGAATGATTCAATCATCACTTGTTTTGAATGATTGAATTGCTTTGAATCATTCAATCATCAATTGCTTTGGATCATTGAATCGTTCAATTGTTTTGAATCATTCAATCCTTCAATTGCTTTCAATCATTGAATCATTGAATTGTTTTGAATCATTCAATCATCAATTGCTTTCAATTGCTTTGAATCATTCAACCATTCAATTGCTTTCAATCATTCAATTGTTTTCAATCATTCAATTGTTTTCAATCATTCAATTGCTTTCAATCATTCAATTGCTTTCAATCATTCAATCATTCAATTGCTTCAAAAAGTTTCCATCATTTTCCTTGAAATTTAGAATGTTTAACTCTCATTAAAGACTTAAGAGTTTTAAGTTCACGTATCAATTCTAAAACGTGTCAACTTTCGAAAGCTATCGTATCCTTTTCACTTTCGATATCAAATAGATTAAGATTAAGACTAGATAAGGGTAGTTTTCGAAAGAGAACATTTTAGAAAACACTACAATATCTAGCATTTATTGCAAAGGTAACACTCGTTTTGTTTCCTTTTTCTTTAGTAAACTAACTACAAGAAGTGAATATCTATATAAATCTACCGGAAATCTTTATTAAATCATTTAAATATTATATTATTTTATTTATATTTAATCGTACTATTCAATTATTTTATTTTATTTTATTTTATCGTACTTTCAATCACTTTTAAGGGGGTGGGACAAATGCGACCTTTTTTTTTGCTGGAAAAGGCCTTAGGCAAGGCCGTAGAGCTTCGAAAATATTTCCATATAAGGGAATCGTATGCGTACATTCAGAATTTTGGCAAATCAGACCTCGCTGACACGTCAAATTTGGGCTAAAAGGCAAAAACTACGCAACTTAACGCTTTTCCGCAGCTTTTGCCTTTTAGCCCAAATTTGACGTGTCAGCGAGGTCTGATTTGTCGAAATTCGGAATCTACGCATACGATTCCCTTATATGGAAATATTTTCGAAGCTCTACGGCCTTGCCTAAGGCCTTTTCCAGCAAAAAAAAAAGGTCGCATTTGTCCCAAACCCCACTTTTAATCATAGTAAACCCTTTTTTTTCTCCTCTCAGGTATCCCATTTTCACTTTGAAATCACAAAATTTACATAAAAATTCATTTAAATATAATATAATGATGTTTTTTTGATATTTTGATATTTTTTTTTCTTATTTGCTTGTATCCGATACGGGCTTTTATATATTTTATTGATTTTTGATAATTTAAAAATATATTTGTCTTTTTTCAAATCATATGCTCAGCATTTGCCATTTTATTTCTCTATTTAACTGAATAACTTTTATTTTAGAAAGTTTAATTATATAAATTATTTGAAAATACCCGTTTATTGTAATGGAAAAAAAAGCAAAAGAAAATGGCACAGGGGAATTCGGCTAAATTGCACTTTTTAGAACGAAACACACAAAGTAAGGAATCTAGGAAGAAATTGAAAGAATAAAGAAATAAATAAAGAAATAAATAAATAACCAAATAAACAAATAATAATAAATACCAAAAGAGAAAGAAATGGCGGCAAAGATAAAGCTAAAATTGGTCTCAAAAAGAAAAAAATAATGGAGAACGATAGAACGAGAGAACGATAGAAAGATAGAACGATAGAAAGATAAAACGATAGAACGATAGAACGATAGAAAGATAGAACGAGAGAACGAGAGAACGATAGAACGATAGAACGAGAGAACGAGAGAACGATACTCTATCTTCGTGCTCTATTACCCTTTGACTGTTTGACTGACGTCACTTAAGATAAACGACAGATTAAAGTCAATTTTGGTGGCTAGACTTTGAAATCGAGCTTGAAATTCGGTGATTAGAGTTAAAAATGATCTTGTAGCGCCTCGATTTCAATATTTTCAGTGGCAAATCCCCACTCGGAAATGAAAAGATTCGACACAGTATTCTTTGTTTTTATCCATGCCCACCATAATAGAAAAATCCATGAGAAAATCGAGAGGAGATGGTTGAACTGAAAGGAGAAAATCAACAATTCAGAGTTTCGATTCTAGATCTTTAATAAAGTTGTAGAGAAAAGATCTAGTAATTGTATATAGTAAAAGTACTGTAGTAATAGTCTTTTAGTAATATTATGATACTACTTTTGTCTTTCTATATAATAGTATGAGCCAGGATGAGTCACAAAATCCTATAGGAACTGATGCAAACCGTTCCCCATAAAGTTTGACCTTTCTCCGATTAAACTAGCTTCCGGGGGTGGCATTTATAGATTTGTTTCCTCAGTGAACCAAAAAGCAAATGGTCAGGAAAGCGCTTTTCTTCGGAAAGAAAGAAATAATTGCTTTTTCCCGTTCTTGACTTTTCTCCTTGTCCCTCTTTTCTTACTTGAAGGGAGTGACCGATCCAGAACCATCCCAAGCCTATTTTTTTCTCAACTTCTCGATCCTTTTCATTCATTCACCCCAATTCTCAACCCCAAAACTTAGCTCAATGGTTGGCCTGACACAGGTTCACCTCATCAGGCTATTGATTTAAATGTAGACAATAAAATATCAACATTCCACTTTACTTACTTCCAGTCTTATATCAAAGAATTTCTATATAAACGAACCAAAATATTGTAGATGATTCCATGTTGAAAATTTGACTCAAAAATTACCGCCAATGAGATGAAATTGAAAAAAAAACCGCACAAACTGAAGCAACACTCCTGAAAGATGGCTCATCAATTTTCGAGATTCATTTAAATTTGAAAATTGATTTTTTTATGATTTAAGATCAAATTCGACGTTTAAATAAATCAAATCTACCGTATTTCTTCGAATAGAAGACCGGGTAAAGAGTATCATAGCGTACTCCTGCGTAACAGCCCTTTTTAAAATTTCTTTTCTGCATAAAAGCTTTCAATCAAGTGCTATAGGGCTGAAAAATGACTCAAAAATGCCACATGAGCTAACAGATTTTTGAGCCATTTTTCAGCCCTATAGCACTTGATTGAAAGCTTTTATGCAGAAAAGAAATTTTAAAAAGGGCTGCTACGCAGGAGTACGCGATGATACTCTTTACCCGGTCTTCTATTCGAAGAAATACGGTATCAATAAAAAATCAAATTTGTGACACTCACCACTTTTTTCCAATAGAATTTCTGCACCGTGAACCATAGAGAAATCAAAAGAAAAGCGATTGAGACAAGATCGCTGAAATTCATTCGCAAAACTTATAGAGAGATGAATTTCTTACCAAAATGGAATGAGAAATGAAATGAATGAATGGTTGAGATGGAGAGAGGTTAACTGCCAGATAACAACACTCTCGACGTGAAGGAACTGAAATTGGTGAGTTTAGAAGATTCTGAGTCTCAAAATCTCAATCTCAAAAGTAGAGAAGATCAAAAAACTCGCGCGGGAGTCAAACCCGCGACCCCCCGCTTACCTGACAACTGTGCTAACCATTACACCATAACGCATCTGGCCCGGATGCCTCCAGAGGGGGTTAAGTTCTCAACTACAACAAAATATTTTGAAAACGTCATTTTTTTGTATCTCTTATTATTCTTAATAAAATGTCACAGAATTTGCCAAACCTAAATAAATTGGATAAAAAGCTGAAGTTATTGACAAGATTATTGACAATAACTTCAGCTAACAATAACAATAACAATGATGCCCTGCGAAAAAATTCAAACTTTTGCCACCATTTCATCGATTTTTTTTATTTCAAAATGATTCTATTGGCTTTTTAAAAGCTTTAAATAAAAATGAAATTAGTTGGGGAGATTTAGGCATTCTTAGTTCAATTGGTTTCAATTGGTTCAATTTCAATTGAAATAGATAGATTGAAATAGATTGAAATTTAGATAGATAAGGAGCTAAATTTAGAGAGATAGGGAACCAAATTTAGGGAGATAAAGAACCAAACTTAGAGAGATAAAGAACCAAATTTATGGAGATAAGGAGCTAAATTTAGATAGATAAGGAGCTAAATTTAGATAGATAAGGAGCTAAATTTAGAGAGATAAGGAACCAAGCTTTGAGAGATAAGGAACCAAATTTAGAGAGATAAGGAGCCCAATTTATAGAGATAAGGAACCAAATTTAGGGAGATAAAGAACCAAACTTAGAGAGATAAGGAACCAAATTTATAGAGATAAGGAACCAAGCTTTGAGAGATAAGGAGCTAAATTTAGAGAGATAAGGAACCGAACTTAGAGAGTTTATCTATTCATTTATCTATTTCAATTGGTTAAAGTCATAAATTCGAGAAATCCTTTGTTTCTTATTTTTGGGGTTTTCAAAACCCTATTGTCTTTCCTTTCCTTTCCTCGCATCTCTGAATCGTGAATTCAGCCACTTTCCTCTTTTCTTTTCCCCGATTCCCGATGAATAGATGAATGAAAAAGAGAACAAAACCCAGAAAAGGTGAAATTTTTTCTGAATTTTCAATTTTTTCACCCTCATAGAAAGCTTTAAAGTGTTAAAGAGTTAAAAATTTTTCAGCTTTTTTTAACGATACATCACAATTTTTTTTGCATCTAGTTTGGTTCATTTCGCAAAAAAAAAAAAACATTAAAGCGACACATAATGTGAATTCTGAAGGGTAATAAGGGGGGAAATGGGGAGGGGATAATGTCTAGATGAGCTCTTTTAAAACAAAACAAAAAATGAGAACACTAATGAGTTTTAAAGGATGGGAAAAAAAAAGAATCGATGTAACGAATCGATGATGAGTTTTTTTTTTATTACTATTTTCCCCCACAAAATTTCTTTAGAAATCATACCAAGTTTAGAAATTTTGCTATGGTGAGCGGTAGAAATGGGTAGACGAAGAGGTATTTCAACGGATGACACCACATTCCCTCTTGATCAACCAATTCCACATTTTAGTAGTTCTGCAAGATAGAAATATGTAAAAAGTAAAAAGGTTTGAGAAACCTTTACCAAGTAAGAAAAGAAGCTCAATGTATGCAATGCGTAATTTCAGAGGAAAGATAAACCATCAAGAATATTGTAAGCAAGTTTTGTGAAAATCGGTATGTGAAAATAGAGATTTCTTGCAATTGAGTTAATCTAAAGCACGTAGGGATCGAAAATCCTTTGAATAAAGGTGAAATGATGACGCATTTAGGTGAAAAGATGATAAGGGGTATCTCCATAAATGGGACCCCCCCTCCGACCCCCAATGGACTCATTCTCTTCACCCTTTGCCCTCTAGAAGTCCCTCCAAGTCCCACCCCGTATGTGTGGAGTCTCCTTCTCCTTCTTCTTCTCCATCTTCTCGATCTTCTCCTCCTTCTCCTTCTTCTCGATCTTCTCCTTCTCCTTCTCCTTCCTCTTCACCTTCTCCTTCTTCTTCTCCATCTTCTCGCTCTTCTCCTTCTCCTTCTTCAGAAATCGAATTCTCCCCGCCTTAAAAGTGAACTGACTGATGGCCGCCTTGAGACGATTTTCCCGAGATTTGTCACCCCTTTCTCGAAAATTTAACAACTTCTCTCAATCTTTTCAAACGGAAATCCGATTTGGTGGGTAAAGTGATCATATCCGGCACACTGAATAAGAAAACTTGAAGATAACAAGTGCACAGATATAAGTTTATGAAAAGATTTTACTAACAAAAGTAACAAGTTTTCAAAGTATAAATGAACTCTATGACCTTAAAAAAATAGTTTAAATCCTTTTTTCTCAAGTAAAATGAGTAACACTTCAAAACACTGAAAGGCAAAAAAAGTGTAGCAAAGCAAAAAGGATAGATTTTGGTCGGGAGTGTGAATTCCCAATGAATTCCACGCAGTCGATCAATTTTTGTGAAGAGAAAACAGGAAAAGGAATAATGCGTGCACATTTTGAGAAAGAAAAGAGAAAATAGGGAAAAGATAGGTGAGAAAAAGAAAGTCAAGAGCAAGTCAATAGAATCATTTTCAAATAGAAACATCGATGGAATGGTGGCAAAAGTAGAGTGTGCTCCTCGCGAGTAAGTAATTATTACTCGAGTAAATTTGCATGAGTCATTTTTTACTCGAGTAATTGTCGAGTAATGCGTTTTCTAAAAAGTAATAAGGAAATCGTATGCGTAGATTCCGAATTTCGACAAATCAGACCTCGCTGACACGTTAAATTTGGGCTAAAAGGCAAAAACTGAGGAAAAGCGTTAAGTTGCGTAGTTTTTGCCTTTTAGCCCAAATTTGACGTGTCAGCGAGGTCTGATTTGTCGAAATTCTGAATCTACGCATACGATTTCCTTCTATGAAAACATTTTTGAAGCTCTACGGCCTTGCCTAAAGCCTTTTCCAGCAAAAAAAAAGGTGCGCAAATGTCCAGGTGCGCAAAAAAAAGGTCGCATTTGTCCCACCCCCAAGGCAATTTTTTGCGGCAGGTTTTTTCGCAGAAAATCATTTTTTACATTGGAAGGGAATTTTCAGTTAAACGGCTGAGTATCTTTAAAAAGTGTCGTATATAATGCGGGGCTCGTCATTTTTGCGTCATTTTTTTGCAATATTTTTTTGCTAAAAGTACGGTAATTTTTTCCCAATTGTGCGTTTTAAAAAACGCATTACTCGCGAGGAACTATACATTTCGAGTGTCCCCCCCTGTGTCCCCCTTTTGCCCCCCTAAGTGTCCCCTTCAAAGTGTCCCCTTTTTGTCCCCCTAAAGTGTCCCCCCCTAGTATCCCCCTTATTTTTTTCATATCAAACCACAACTTATTGCTCTCCAAATGTGCTTTAACTTTTTAAACTCAATGATCGGCAAATGCATCGAACTCGAAACATCTTAAAGGGGACACTTTAGGGGGACAAAAAGGGGACACTTTGAGGGGGACACTTAGGGGGGCAAAAGGGGGACACAGGGGGGACACTCGAAATGTATACGAGGAACACACTTTAGGCAAAAGTTTGGGCTTTTTTTTGCAGGACATTGTCACTAACAAAGAATGTAGAGAATGAATGTGAGGGAATTTCTTGAAATTCAAAAGTGAACAAGATTTTTCTGAGGAAAGAGATGGGAACTTCCGTTCTGAAGACAAATATTTGCATAAGAGGTTAGAGAAAAAAATGATTTGAGAAAGAAAAAACAATATTTTCTAAAAAAAGGTTAGAGATTTGAATTAGGAGTTTTGTGGAATAGAGTTTGAGTTCAAAATTGGAAACACATTCTTCTAGTGCAATTCTTTGGACATCAGTTAGATCTAGTTAGATCGTTTGCGCTTGTGTATCTTTGTTGAAACAATAGGGACATGATTACTAGTCTTTGGTATCAAAGCGTATCCAGGATACGTCTTTGGTATCAAAGATTCAATAGCTCTGAATTTCAGCTATTTTTGATACCTAAGCGCGCATTGTAGCATAAACCAGTGTCGAGAAAAGCTCGTTCAAAGCTAGACTACGCGACGCTCCACACTGTCATTATGGGGGTCGGGTACTATTACAGTATTTACGGTATGTTGAAATAACTTATGCATTTAATCTGTTAATTTATTTATCAATTGAGACAAAGCTAGAAAAAAAAAGCAAAATAAAAGTAAACAGTGATGAAAGAAACATTTAAAGATTTAAAAATGAGGATCGATGAAAGGAAAAGTTTAAAGAAATGATTTGAAATTTATCGAATTCTGTAGAATGTAGAGAGCTCATGCCAGAAACATGATTTCATGCTTTCAAAACGATCAAAACATGGAACATAGCTGAGATCAAGTGGAGTGACACGGCCTGGAAACAGTTTCAGTTACTTTTTTTGAATCATAATCACTTAAGACTTGATTTCTTGCTTTCTTAAGACTTCATGTTTTCTTCTATACAAAATTTTACGGGATTCAAACTGTACTTTGAACTGTACTTTGAACTGTACATTGAACTGTACTTTTAACTGTACTTTCAACTGTTCTTTCAACTGTACTTTCAACTCTTCTTTGAACTGTACATTGAACTGTTCTTTCAACTGTACTTTCAACTGTACTTTCAACTGTTCCTTGAACTCTACCAGGTTTCTGATCACAAAAGAGAAGACATTTTGAGCCGGCTAGCGTTGTGGTGACTCCATTTCGAGCACAGCACTCGGTGTGATCACGGCCCTGTAAAATGAAATAGACAAGAAATAATGCGCTAATTTTCACAAACTGACCATTGCAGCGCAGAATTGAATCTCGGACATGGCTGCAAGCGGGCATGCGTCCTGTTTGAAGTACATTTTTGTTAACTAGATTTTCATTTAACTGATTCAATAGAATTTTTTTTTTCTTTACCGCATCTTTATTGTACGAATTAAAGTTGCACTTTTGAAGGCAAGCATCCGGAAGTTTTCGATCCAGGCAACACTCCATGAAAGCTCGATTTGGGTTCTAAAAAGGTCAATTTTAAAAGTAACAGATTGAAATTTGAATTAATATTGATATCTTTATATATCTTTATATTCTTTTGTTTCTTACAAATGGTTGTCCATGTGAACTTCTTTGAATTGCGGCCGCTGTCTCTGAGATTTCGCTAAGGAGATTATCCGATCCACTTTGCGTTTTCTCTTGCAGTCTGAAATTTTAAAATCGCTCTTTGTGATCAGAAATCTTTCTTTTATCTACATTCAATTTTTTTTAAATCTACTTTTTCCTTAGTATTTCTCGGTCTGCTTCGAGCTTCGAGATGCGCGAACGGCTTCGGTGTGGCACGAAAAGCTTTGATCCTAAAATGATCCTTCGATTTTTGATCTTGTTTTTCTAATTGCTACAATATTTCTATTTAAACTGACCCCTTGCCCTCGTTCGATAACATCCAAATCGTCCACATCCATACGAACCAGGACATGAACATGATGAGGGTTGTGGGGGTGGAGGGCAACCGCCATATCCACCGCAGACCCCGTTACTTGCACACTCAAGTCAAATTGTTTAGATAAGTTGCAGGATATTTACATAAACTGTAGCTGGATCTTAGAATTTGTAAGAAAGCCCAGACAAGGCAACGTGGGCTAAGATCGGCTAGAAACCAAGTTCGTGTCGACTCAACATGGGAAAATTCCAACCCGAAACTACAGGGTGTTCGGTAAAAAAAAGTGGTCATCGGTTTGAGTTTGGAAAAATTTTCTTGTTGTTTTTTCAAGGCTCATCGTGATGCCAAAAATGGTTTTGCCTCAGGCGCTGCCTCAGACATCACACAACAAGATTAAGTTGATGTTTTTTGATGATTTTGTGGACAAGCATCGGTCGGGGAGCTCAAAATCCACGTATTCATGAAAAACAGACTTTTTAATTCCTTTATTTCACCACAAATCTTTCTACTTTTTCTTTCTATTCAATTTGTTGAATTGAATAGAAATCTTGAATTTTGAGGTATGCTTAGCGGTCTGTGGTTTTGAATTTATGCGTTTTAGGTGCGCACCACCGATCGTTACCAGCTACCATACACGAATCGAGATTTATTTCACATGCTACATGGTTGCGATGAGCTGTTCATAAAGGTTGCAAAAACCTTTATGAACAATTTCAACAGTTGAACAGTTTTGTTCTTTTAATTTTCTAGCCACAATTTCAGTTTGCATTATTGGATTGGTTGCTTTCAAAAATCTTAAAAATATGATTGATTTTTAAACGAGAAAATCCTCTTATTGCTGCTTGGCCAGGACCGACTTTTTGGGGGTTTCTTATTCTCAAGATCCTAATATCAAAACAAATTGAATAGAAAGAAAAAGTAGAAAGATTTATGGTGAAAAAGAGGAATTGAAAAGTGTGTTTTTCATGAATACGTAGATTTTGAGCTTGCCAGCTGATGCTTGACCCCCTATTGACAAAATCAGCAATCAAGCAAATGTTGTGTAACGTCTGAGGCAACACCACTTCTGACACCACGATGAGCCTTGAAAAATCAGCGAGAAAAATTTTCCAGACTCAAACCAAAGACCACTTTTTTTTACCGAACACCCTGTAATTCCACCTTCGTTTTCTTAGCCAATTGCTCTGGAATTTTGTCTACAGATAGAAATCGGCATTTTCAGCTTTCAGAGAAAGAAAGATGCTGGCTAGTCTAGCTTCTCTTATTACCGACCTAATCCTGTAACTTTTTTATGCTACTCTTGCTCACATTTTCTGAGAGATTTGGCAGAATGACGAGGACGGTGAAGATGAGGAGAAAAGCGGCACAAGCCATATCTGGAAAAGAAATTGGTTGAGTTAAAGATAAAGAATATATAATCGTGCTATACAAATAGTAAGTTCCCAAAAGTAGAATAAAAGGTTAGAGTAGTTCCCAAAAAAAAGATTCAATGCTTTCAAAGCAAGGAAAAGTTTTGAGTTTCGAGAAAAATTCCAAGAAGAGCTGAAAAGAAATTTGTCTATTAACTTGTTTTGACAAAAATGAAAAAGGAGAAAAATTGTTTAGTTCGAAAAACTGAGGGAAAAGGATGAGGGGATTCGTGAGAAAATTGATGGATTGAAATGAATGAATGGGATGGAAGGGATGACCTTGCCATTCCTCTCACCCATCGCTTTCCCCCTTTCGATGGTCAATGCTTCGTTGAGTTTCACAACAATCAACTATCAAAAGGGAAAATGATAAGCTTTTGGTTGAACTGTTTAGAAGAAAGAAAAAGAACGATATACGATATTAGCAGACTGCCCAAGCAGTGCTCCCGGTAAAATTTAGTTAACGAAACAAACGAACGAACAAACAAACGAACAAACAAACGAACAAACAAACAAACAAACATACAAACAAACAAACAAACATACATACAAACAAACAAACAAACAAACAAACAAACAAACAAACATACAAACAAACAAACAAACAAACAAACAAACGAAATTATGCTTCTTGTAGTTGTTGTTTTCTTTCTTTCATTGTTGACGTCTTCTTTCTTTCCTAAAAAAGAGAGTTTGTTAAATAAAAAAGATTTTAAACAAAAAAAAAAAACAAAATAACGAACTAACCAAGCATTTCCGTATAAAAAAATGATTTTTTTCAAAAAACCTGCGCAAAAAATTGCTACTATATTTTTTTCGTGCAGGCGCACTTTTTAGAAAACGCATTACTCGACAATTACTCGAGCTATTAATCGAGTAAAAAATTACTCATGCAAATTTACTCGAGTAATTACTTACTCGCGAGGAACACACTCTACTAAGCACTGATCAAATCTAGGTAGAATGGTCAAAGCAAGTAAAGCATAGGTACACTTATTGAATAGCATTTGTTCAACAAAAGAATTTTGATCTAACTGTATTGTTTAATCCTAAGTTTGTTTAATCCATTGTTGTTGTTTCCATTGTTGTTTAATCCATTGTTGTTGTTGTTCCATTGTTGTTTAATCCATTGTTGTTGTTTAATCCATTGTTGTTGTTTAATCCATTGTTGTTTAATCCATTGTTGTTGTTTATCCATTGTTGTTTAATCCATTGTTGTTACTGTTGTCATTGTTGTTTAATCCATTGTTGTTTGTTGTTCCATTGTTGTTTAATCCATTGTTGTTGTTTAATCCATTGTTGTTTCCTTGTTGTTTAATCCATTGTTGTTTAATCCATTGTTGTTGTTGTTCCATTGTTGTTTAATCCATTGTTGTTGTTGTTCCATTGTTGTTTAATCCATTGTTGTTGTTGTTCCATTGTTGTTTAATCCATTGTTGTTGTTGTTCCATTGTTGTTTAATCCATTGTTGTTGTTGTTCCATTGTTGTTTAATCCATTGTTGTTGTTGTTCCATTGTTGTTTAATCCATTGTTGTTGTTGTTCCATTGTTGTTTAATCCATTGTTGTTGTTTAATCCATTGTTGTTTAATCCATTGTTGTTTAATCCATTGTTGTTTAATCCATTGTTGTTGTTGTTCCATTGTTGTTTAATCCATTGTTGTTGTTGTTCCATTGTTGTTTAATCCATTGTTGTTGTTTAATCCATTGTTGTTGTTTAATCCATTGTTGTTTAATCCATTGTTGTTGTTGTTCCATTGTTGTTTAATCCATTGTTGTTGTTTAATCCATTGTTGTTTAATCCATTGTTGTTGTTGTTCCATTGTTGTTTAATCCATTGTTGTTTACCCCCGTTTAACCCTGTGCCTTACCTTGTTGTTTCCATTGTTGTAATCCATTGTTGTTGTTCCATTGGTTAATCCATTGTTGTGTGTCCATGTTGTTTAATCCATTGTTGTTGTCCATTGTTGTTAATCCATTGTTGTGCCATTGTTGTTTGTCCATTGTTGTTGTTGTTCCATTGTTGTTTAATCCATTGTTGTTTAATCCATTGTTGTTGTTTAATCCATTGTTGTTTAATCCATTGTTTAATCCAAATTCAAAAATCTATATCTAAAAAGACAAAAATCTATATCTCCTTTTGACAAAAAGACAAAAATCTCTTTTTGAGAAATGTTTGAAACTTACCCGTTCGTTTAGATTGTAAGATTGTAATCTGGAATGTTTTGCGCAAACACTTTCCCCTTTTTTTTTGTTTGTTTTTCCTCATTTACCCTCAAATTATCTGATTGGCAGATTTTTAATGTTTTGAATTTGAAATTTCAGCAACTTTTCAGACATAAAAAGAGTTGAAAGTGTAAATAGAAAGCAAATTATCAAAGAAAAGTGAGAATTGATGATTGTGGCGGAAAGTTTTCTTTGCTAAATGGTGCAAAGCGATTCGGAGGATTTCCAGTTTTTTTTTCCGCACAAACTCAAATATCTTTATAAACAAGGGATAGGTTTTTCGAATGGTCTAGAAGATTAGCAGAGTCCATAATTTGACATAGCTTCACAATTCATAGTTATCTTTTGCAATACCCAATTACGTATATATTTCTGTCTTTTGGCACTCATTTTATAGAAATTTCAACTCGAAGAACTCATTCATATCCACGCAAAGCTCACAAGACTGGTTCACTCAATGGACAGCATCTTTAAAGTAAAGAAAAACGAGGAATTTGGCATTTAATAACTTCCGGCATTCACATTCACCTGGATGGCTCTCGTCATTTCAACGGTGATTCTTGTGTTGACCCTAGTCGTTTCTCAATCCAGTTTTGAGGACGTTATCTTGGTGTGAGTTTTAGAATACACCACTAATTGCATGATAATGTTTGATAGCATCTCGATCAAGCCGATCTTGGAATTTCTCTTTGGGGTTTCACCGTTGTCAGTCGACCGCTCATTTTGACGGTATTCTGGCAGTCAACTGTCATCATTTAACGCTAGAACTAACTATGAAGATGTCTAGTTTTTCTTTGAGTACAAAATCTAATCTAGCCTGTAGAATTCTTGATCTGCTCATAAACTAAAAGTCAATCATTCAGGCAATCTCAGCAATAATGATCTGTCTTGCTTTCTTCCTTGACCTTCGACCAAAAAGTGAAAACTCGTGGAGTTCGCTGAAGTTACCCCGGCATGCAATAAATGATATAGTTGGAACTAGGACAGATCAAAGACTCGAGCCCGCGACTTTTCACCTATCGTTTCGCCTACTTCTGCTAACCACTACACTACAACGCACTCGACCTTTCTTACTCCAAACGGAGTTAAGTATATTCATTTGTGGAGTTATTACTTTGATTCCAGTAGATTTGCCTGTACATTGGAATCTCCAACATGAGAAATGGCGGAAGAAAAACCAACTCTATCCGGGAGAGCAAGCTGATAACAAATGAAAAGAATCCTGTGAAAACGCGCAAAAACCCTAAGTTTTGAAGCAAACCCAACTTTCACCCCTAAAGTTTTGAGAATTTAAGTGGTTTCTGATCATTTTTCAATACTTGGATGTGCTTTTGTTTGTTCTAAAATTCGCTTTATCATTCACATAAAAGCCACCGGAAAATAAATGGACAAACGAGGATAAGGAACAAATATCACAGTTTACCCGAAAATGCATCATAAATATTATATAGTAACAGTAAAAATATATATGTAAAAATATCACAGACCAATTAAATAAACTTAAAAACAGATAGATTAAAAACCCAGAAAAATACAAGCTTTAAATGAGAATAAATTAACTTAACACTCAAATGATCGCCTAAACGTAGATGCCGACCCATAGAAGAAGGAACAAAGTGCCGAACCCAAGGAAGAGGGCAGAGAAAGCCGCCAACAACACTTCCCGAGTGATCTTTCGCGAATATTTCGTTGATGTCACCTAAAATTTTATTTATGAGATTGATAATGATGCTTTAATTATACAGTCCAAAAAATAAGAAAGCTTCCGCAAATTCTGACAAATCATTTTCCGTATAAATAAAACTAAACCATCCGCATTAGTACTAAAAAGCTTTAAGCGGGGTCAACTATTAATAGAAGAATCCTTTAAAGAACATAATTTGCCTACCTCGTACACAAAGAAGAGGGCCACAAAGAAAAGGCCAAGACCACCCAATCCAACGGTGAGATACCCGAGGCTCGAATGGGCAACCTAAATAATAAAAAACTAATCAGCTCAAGTAAATGGAATAACTAACCGGTCCATGATAACGTTCCATCTTTGAGATATCCATCGTTGATTCGTGAATCTGAAAATAACTACCTGACTGGACACTAGACAAACATTATACATTAGGAAATTGAGAAAAACTTGAAAATAAAGTTTTCGGTCGCTAAAACCACTTGAAATTTGAATTCAAAAATTGGAAAGATTAGATCTTTTATGCTTTTCAACGAGCAAAGTACATTAGTTAAATACAGACAAAAACGCAGCGACTATGTAAGTCATCAATTCAAATAAGCTACACGAAAAGAGCATTGTACATCGAGAGAATCATTGGAATAAGTAATTATGTGCAAACGATCAGAGAAAAGAGAAAGGGAAAAATGGCTATTCTTTGATATGTTTCATTTAGAAGTCGCGATCTGGGAAGAGCGATTGCCCTCAACTGGCGGACGCTAAAATACTGAATCATTTATTGACTATATGATCACATACAGGTGTTTTATCCTTTTGGATCGAATGAATGCGAAGCAGTTGGGCATTCATTCCTTGAATTGCAAGCAAAATGTCAGCCTCCGAATTGATACAAATAGGATCGCCCTCTTCATCTGAAACTCCAACACTAGATTTGCTTGTTTTTTGCACACTTACCGATCCAAGCAAGACCAAAGTCATTGGTGGGCACCAGCTCGTCACACTTCTTCATCAACGCCTCGAAGATCTTATCTAGCTCATAGTTCAGAGCAAACCGACGGAAGTAGCCATGGCGCTTCCATTTGATGTTGAGCACATTCCCGAGAAAGTTGAAGCCAAAGTCGGTCATTTTTCGAACTGAAAGTTGAGTGGGTTGATACGGAAAGAGTTGAAAATGGATAAATGAAAAAGTGATGGTTGAATGAGAGATGAGAAGACTTATATAGATGATATTTCGAATAGTAGATTGCGCGGGAGAGATCTGGAAGCGCCAAAATGCTGACAATTCTCCGCAAAAAGAGTAAAATGAAATAATATTAAGTTAAGTGATTTTTATCATTTTCTATGGTGGAAGCTTTGTTTTTGTGACTTTTTAGTTGAAGAAACGTTGAAAAAAACGGGGATAGGCTGATTTCCGCATTTTTTTTCGCAACAGGGTTATTTGCGCAACTGGGTCGTTTGCGCAACTCGCCATAACTTTCTTCTAAGTGGACCAATTTTTATGATTTTGGTTTTATTTTGTAGATCTTAATAAAAATGAAACCAAATGAAGAAAGTTATGGCGGGTTGCGCAAAAAAAAAATTGCGGAAATTAGCCTGCCCCAAAAAACGCAAAAAGAGTAAAATGAAATGTCGCGCAAATTAGGAGGGGTACGGTAGTTCTACCACGCTTTAAAGCGCCAATCCAGAATTTCCTCGGAAAAAGGTCGCAAGTCTAATTGCCAGCCTTTGCCAATTCCAAACCAAAACCTTTAGTCTACCAACGGCCTTTTGTTTACTTGAATATCATGCAATTATGTATCCATCGAAAATCCATGGCGAGGTAAAAAGGGCTTTTGTTTCAGTAAAAGAAAACTAGTTCGGTAAATCGAAGGCTCTTTGCATGAAGTACAATGTGCAGATACCGTACGATGATGGGGCTCATAAAGTGAGGGAAATTATTGCTTATTTTTTAGGATTGTTTTAGGTAGCCAACAGCTTGATAATGCATCTCGATCAAGCCGATCTTGGAATTTCTCTTTGGGGTTTCACCGTTTTCAGTCGACCGCTCATTTTGACGGTATTCTGGCAGTCAACTGTCATCATTTAACGCTAGAACTAAATATAAACATGTCCAGTTTTTCCAGTTAAACACAAAATCTAATCTAGCCTGTAGAATATTTGATTTGCTCATAAACTAAAAGTCAATCATTCAGACAATCTCAACGATAATGACCTTTCTTGTTTTCTTCCTTGATCTTCAACCAAAAAGTGAAAACTCGTGGAGTTCGCTGAAGTTACCCCGGCATGCAATAAATGATATATTAGGTTGGCCAGTTATAAATGCGCGTTTTTAAGATAACAACTCTTTATTTTAAAACCAACAGTTTAACAGCTCAATCAACAATATACTCACCATTTGGAACTAGGGCAAATCAAAAAATTGTGCGCCGCCGGGACTCGAGCCCGCGACTTTTCAGCACTACAATACACTACAATGCCCTCGACCTTCCTTACTCCAGAGGGAGTTAAGTATTTTTTTTTTTTTTTTTTTTTTTTTTTTTTTTTTTTTTTTTTTTTTTTTTTTTTTTTTTTTTTTTTTTTTTTTTTTTTTTTTTTTTTCTTTTTTTTTTTTTTTTTTTTTTTTTTTTTTTTTTTTTCTATCCCCCCCCCCCCCCTTCCTCCCCCCCCCTTCCTTTTTTTTTTTTTTTTTTTGGGGGTTTTTTTTTTTTTTTTTTATTTTTTAAAAAAAAAACAAAAAAACCCCAAAAATTTTCCTTCATTAATTTTTTAAAAAAAATTTTTTTATTATTTTTTTTTTTTTTTTTTTTATATTTTTTTTTTAAAATTTTTTTCCAAATATTTTTTTTTTTTCCTCTCTTTTTTTTATTTTTTTTCCCAAAATAATAATATTTTTTTTTTTTTTTTTTTTAAAATATATATATAAAATAATATAATTTTTATTTTTTATTTAATTTTTTTTTTTTTTTTTTTTTTTTTTTATAATTTTAAAAAAAAAATTCGAATATTTTTCATCAACCCAATATATTCATTTGTGGAGTTATTACTTTTATTCCAGTAGATTTGCCTGTAAATTGAAATCTCTAACAATCATTTGTCTCTCAACACTCACGAGATTCTTTATTATCATTCATAAATATTTTCATTTAATGCTTGTTATTTTTCAAATGAACTTTTCTTCGAATAGCCTCAATCAGTTTTCGGGCATTCAACTGGCCTTTGCTCTTCAACACTTCTTGTTTTTGCTCTTTCTTCTCTTCTACTTTATTCCCTGTACATCCGGCTTCTCCATATCCACTCACATCATGCTCATAATAATGAAGATGATCGGTGATTGATAGATCAGTCAGATTTCCGTCAGAGCATGATCTGAAAAAAGTTGATTTCATTGATTAGCTATTAGTGAAACTTACTTCGATTCATCGGCTTCACAAACTACAAAAGAGGATGATGTTTTCATGTCACCTTTGAAGAAAACCTAGAAATCGATAGGTTTTGGTTTATTTTTTTTTTTATTTGTTTATTTATTTGTTTTTTTATTTGTTTATTTATTTGTTTCTTTATTTCTTTATTTCTTTATTTCTTTATTTCTTTATTTATTTATTTCTTTATTTCTTTATTTATTTGTTTATTTATTTTCCTTTACCTCAGTCATATGATGACTGTAGCCCATGTCTTCAAGTGGTAAATGGGGAACGACATCGTGTGAGTGAACAACTCTCACTGAATAGGGAACCTGGAAATATTGAATTGTTGAATTGTTGAATTGAACGATGAGTGTTTAGAATGGCTTAAGGCTTAGATTTTAAAAGGTTTTAAAAGCAATTATTGAACTGAATTATTTAGCATAAAAAAAAGTTAGCAAAAAGCAAAAATCACTACTCACATTTGCATCGTGCCATTTCGCCCAGGTGGAGTCTCCGATTCTCGGTTGACCGACGGTGACAAGCTGAAAGAAAAGTTTTTAAGATTTAATTTTGTAATAGATCTTTCGTTATCTAGCTCGATTTTCTAGATTCGTTACCTTAACCGCATTTTTATCGTAGTATCCAACGCTAACGATGTACCCAGCACAGAGAGAGGCCATTGCAGCACCCAAAGAATGACCGGTTACCTAGAAAATCACTCAGATATACTTAAAAATTATCCACCTTGTTGTAATCTATCAAAAATCTATTCTATTTTTCTATTTCCCATTAAACTCACCCATAGAGCGTATCCAGGATATTGATTTTTAAGCGACAAGAAGTCATCTTTCATTCCACCATTCCAAACATCAAGAAAAGCATTGTAGAAGTAAAGATTTACATTTCCACCGGCTGGGAATGGAACCTAAGTCTTGGAATAAAAAAATATGGCAAAATGGATAAACTTCTGTGTTTAACCAACCTTTGCTTTCCAGAGTCCGTCATCAACCTCCTCAATGAGTTGCAAGAAAGCATCAGTACCTCTAGAAATTGTTGCAGAAATTACTTTAAACGTAAAAGCTTTGTAAGTAGAGCTTTAGAACATGTAAAAAACTATTGTAAAAGCGTGTTCAAGTCACTTTCACTCACCTAAACGAGATGACAATGGCTTTTTGTGTGGGAAGAACAGCGGTGAAACCAGAGCATGTATCACCTTTGAATCCATCGCATTTCACCTCGATTTGCCGTTTCAACTAAATATCATGAATTTCATGTCAATCTTGTCTAGAACAAATTTTTGCCCAAAATGCTTCGTACCGTTCCCTTGAAGACATTCGTGAGACATTGTTGTGGATTTTTCGAATAGGCAGCTCCTGATAGAGGTAACATCGAGTTTCTCGCAAAATTGTCATCATAAGCGGTTAGAGTCTGTAAAAGCTATATTTCCAGGCAAGAAAAAAAGCTCATGAATTGGCTTTATAAACAAACAATTGGCTGAATTTGTTCTTTTACATCAAATGGCATCGCGAGAGCCACTGAAACGAGGGCTGACACGCCTAGGGATAACCACATCTCACTGGAAATGACTTTAGATTTTGTTAGCATACTAAATTGCAAAGAAAAGATATTACCGTAAATACTGTAATAGTACCCCATCCCTATAATGACGGTGCGGAGTGTTGCATAGTATAGCTTTGAACGAGTTTTTCTCAACACTGGTTTATGCTACAATGCGCGCTTAGGTATCAAAAATAGCTGAAATTCAGAGCTATTTTTTGATACCAAAGACGTATTTATTGAAAATGCGGGCGCTTTGAAAAAAATGAAATACTAAAAAACTTTTGCGACTACGCGACTGTACGAGAGGGGTGGGGTACTATTACAGTATTTACGGTACTTATTTCTGTCTATCAAAGCGACTTTGAAAATGTTATAAGACAAAGCAAATCCTAGCTCTTGAACATGTCAATGATTGAAGAAAATGTGAAAATGGGTAATGACGGAAATTCTTGATTGTCTGAAAATTGCCCTAAATGATCTGCTTTCCATGCTTTTCTCCATCCGGGAGAGCAGCTGATAACAGAAGAATTTCATGAAAAAACTCATGAAATTCAGAAGCACGCAATTCCGTTTCAGTGATAAGGAAAACGTTTTTTTTAATTTGAAAGAAATTTGGCCGTTTCGAGAAAAAGTGCTTAAAAAGTCAAGAATTTTGTTTACGATGCCTATAGACGGAAGTACTAAAGGTCAAAATCCAAGAATTGGCTTTAGAGGAGTAGAAAAACAGCACTAGTTTACTTCATGAAAAATTTATCTAGCCTATCCAGCTTGTCCCCATCCACTCACATGGTGTTCATAGTAGTGAAGGTGGTCATTGACAGTGAGACCGGTGGTGATGCCGGCAGAGCACGAGCTGAATTGATTGATTGATTAAAGTCCTTTAGAACAGTTACAGCTTGCTGAAAACCTTTCAACTCACTCCGATTCATCAGCTGCACAAACGACAAAAGTCGATGACACCTTCATGTCAGTTGGGAAAAACACCTAAAATTATTTGTCCTAAATTGGCCAAGTGAGTGATTTTCGTTTTTCACACCTCGGTCATATGATGATTGTATCCCATATTTCCAAAAGGTAAATGAGGGACAATATCGTGTGAATGAGTGACTCGCACCGAGTAGGGAACCTGGAATTCTAGAATAGTCTTCGTTCTAGATCCAGTTGTCGAATCTAGTAGCTAGAACTCTGACTTACATTCTCATCGTGCCATTTGGCCCAGGTAGCGTCACCGGTTCTCGGTTGTCCGAAAGTGACAAGCTGGAAGATACTATTATGTTAAAGATATAACTAGATCCTTACCTTGACATCATTTTTCTCAAAATATCCAACGTTGATAATATACGAAGCACAGAGGGAAGCCATTGCAGCACCCAAAGAATGACCGGTTACCTGGAAAGTCACTCAGATATACTTAAAAACTATCCACCTTGTTGCGATCTATCAAAAATCTATTCTATTTTTCTATTTCCCATTAAACTCACCCATAGAGCGTATCCAGGATATTGATTTTTAAGCGTCAAGAAGTCATCTTTCATTCCACCATTCCAAACATCGAGGAAAGCATTGTAGAAGTAAAGATTCACATTTCCACCGGCTGGGAATGGAACCTGAAACAATGAAGAAGACATTAAGAAGGTACTTTTCCAGTATCCTGTACTACATTAATGCAAAATCCTATAAATTTTCCCCTCACTTGTGCCTTGAAAGCTTCCTCGAGCTCCTCGATAAGTTGCAAAACGGCATCGGTGCCTCTGAAAAAAAATAATACCTTAATACTTTGTTCTAATATTCTTTTTTAAAGAATGAACATGTTTTAGTTTTCATTATTTGAGAAATTTTCTCAATTCCAATTTCCCAATAATGGATGAATCAAAAAGCTCTTCAATCTAGCATTTTTTTAGCCGTTCATTTCATTTTTCTCCTCACTCACCTAAACGAGATGACAATGGCTTTTTGTGTGAGAAGAACAGCGGTGAAACCAGAGCATGTATCACCGTTGAATCCATCACATTTCACCTCGATTTGCCGTTTCAACTAAATATCATGAATTTGCATGTAAATCTTGCCGAACAAATCCCCATACCGTTCCCTTGAAGATATTTGTGAGACAATGTTGTGGATTTTTCGAAAACGTCGCTGCTGCTAGAGGTAACATCGAATTTCGCGCCAAATCATCATCATAGACAACTCGAGTCTTCAAAAGTTTACTCGAGGTTTAGAAAATCATAAACACGAACAAATTCATATTGATTTTAGACAAACAATTGGCTGAATTTGTTCTTTTACATCAAATGGCATCGCAAGAGCCACCGAAACGAGGGCTGACACGCCGAGGGATATCCACATCTCACTGGAAATACGGTGTGCAAAAAAACTATTTTAAAACCCTTCAAAAACTACATATCACAATTATCAAGGTCAACCATCAATTCAGAAAAAGTTCACGAACTGAGTGATTTGATAAGAAAGTAAACCCGATTTAAAAAACGACCATAAACTGTTCAATAATTCAGGAAAGATATGCTTGTAAAATGAGAAATGACGGAAGAAAAACCAACTCTATCCGGGAGAGAAGCTGATAACAAATGAAAAGAATCCTGTGAAAACGCGCAAAAACCCTAAGTACGCAACTTTCACCCCTAAAGTTTTGAGAATTTAAGTGGTTTTTGATTATTTTTCAATACTTGAATATGCTTTGGTTTGTTCTAAAATTCGCTTTATCATTCACATAAAAGTCACCCGAAAATAAATGGACAAACGAGGATAAGGAACAATATCACAGTTTACCCGAAAATGCATCATAAATATTATATAGTAACAGTAAAAATATAAATTAAGTAAGTTTTGTCTTGATGTGAATATGAAACTTCACGGATGGAAGTTGATCGGTGGTGGGAGTGACGAGTGCCTGGATGCCGAGTGCTTGTAGAGCTCCGCGGACGACTCCACATGGAAAACACAGATAGATCGCGGCGTCCTAAAGTTGAAATCGACTTCATTTCTTAGATTTTTTTATTTACAGGCCTTAAAAGTCAAGCTCAGAGCATGGAAGGACATAAACGTTACGGAAGTTCAGCCTAAAAATGTTACCTTTACATATTGTGTACCATCGGAAAATGAAGTCAAACAAGGGAACCGATTGTCCTGAACGACGTAGACACCCTGAATCCGAGCTTCAAATTCAAATTCAAATTCAAAAACGGTAGTCGCGACATAAGCATCTTCAAATCCGAAAGCCAACCTGGTGATTTGTTCGCAGATTGTCCACTTGTTTCCCAAAAACGCTTATCCAAAATTCCTTGCAAATGAACTTCATTATCTAAAAGAAAATCAATACCAAAACAATTAGAAAATAGTTTACTTCTAACTCTGTAGAAATTCTCGGCAAATCCCTGCAGAGACGTTCGGCAAGCAGGAAACCCGTTCGCAAACCAATCGACTCGAGATTCGTTTCCGCATTTCTCTAAAAAGCAAGGCTTTTTTTAGTTATATTCATATTTTACTTTCAGTAAACAGGGTCAAAAAAATTGAGTTATTCAAAACCTACACTAGCCAGTGCTTTGTAGACCAAAGAACTTGTCGCTTTATCGAGACCCTCGAGTACTTCCCTGCAAATGAAAGAGTTGCAATGAGCTTGAGTTAAATATACAACTAATTTCTAATTTCTCGAGAAAAATAAATCTTTTACAAGAAATTTACTTCGGATAATCCGCTCGAGCTACCGCTTCTTTTTCTTTTCCATAGCGAACCATCTCCATATGAAGAAGATCGAACGGAAGTGACATCTTCTAAAGCAAAAAATATTTCTCATCCAACGAAAGCAGTTGCAATTCTGTGTACCATACGCCAGATGCCAGATATTCGTTTTATGCATTTAACATGTTTTTAAATTCACCGTGAATGCATCAAATTTTATTTAAAGCCCCATAAAATATAGTAACAAAGAAATTCAACAGTCTCACTTAACATAGACAATATCACAGACCAATTAAATAAACTTAAAAACAGATAGATCAAAATCCCAGAAAAATACAAGCTTTAAATGAGAATAAATTAACTTAACACTCAAATGATCGCCTAAACGTAGATGCCGACCCATAGAAGAAGGAACAAAGTGCCGAACCCAAGGAAGAGGGCAGAGAAAGCCGCCAACAACACTTCCCGAGTGATCTTTCGCGAATATTTCGTTGATGTCACCTAAAACTTTATTTATGAGATTGATAATGATGCTTTAATTATACATAGTCCAAAAAATAAGAAAGCTTCCGTAAATTCTGACAAATCATTTTCCGTATAAATAAAAATAAACCATCCGCATTAGTACTAAAAAGCTTTAAGCGGGGTCAACTATTAATAGAAGAATCCTTTAAAGAACATAATTTGCCTACCTCGTACACAAAGAAGAGGGCCACAAAGAAAAGGCCAAGACCACCCAATCCAATGGTGAGATACCCGAGGCTCGAATGGGCAACCTAAATAATAAAAAACTAATCAGCTCAAGTAAATGGAATCACTAACCGGTCCATGATAACGTTCCATCTTCGAGATATCCATCGTTGATTGGTGAATCTGAAAATAACTACCTATCTGGACATTAGAGAAAACATCATACATTAGGAAACTGATAAAAAAATTGCAAATAAAGTTTTCGGTCGCTAAAACCACTTGAAAGTTGAATTCAAAATTGGAAAGTTTATTTCATTTTCAATGCTCTTCAACGAGCAAAGTACATTAGTTAAATACAGACAAAAACGCAGCGACTATGTAATATACCCATAAGTCATCAATTCAAAAAAGCTACACGAAAAGAGCACTGTGCATCGAGAGAATCATTGGAATAAGTAATTATGTGCAAACGATCAGAGAAAAGAGACGGGAAAAAAAGGTTATTCTTTGATATGTTTCATTTAGAAGTCGCGATCTGGGAAGAGCGATGGAGCGGCAAGAGTCCAAGCATACAAAGCGACACACATCCATGACGAGACGATCTTCACCCATACAGAGCTCATATTTGCGTTTAGCTGTCGAAGGTCGGATGATGGGCTAAACAAGAAATACTTTTAGTTTTAACTAAAAACATTATACTAGTCACCAATACTTTTAATATGTACGCTTCTAAAAATTTTACACTACTTAGCAAAAAATTAGCATATTTTAACTACTTAAAAACACACCTGTACCAACTAGTGAGCGTCATCATAGCATAAAGCGAGGCCAGTCCAAACATAAAGTGGAAGAACGAGTACGAGTATGCTACTCCATCCTAAACCAACGTACGCTGAGTCAAAAACAAAGTAACCAACCCCTTCGTTGTCCCAAACTTTCGATCCAGCGTGTCCACCACTTTCCTCATCCCCGCCTAAAAATGAACCAAACGTTATTTACATTTGTTTGTATAGGCCAAAGCAGCGCGCCTTCGTTTATTAATTTAAATATATTAGTATTGGTTGATCTACGTGCAAGTGAAAAATTTAAGTGCATGAAAATCACTAACAAATGTTAAAATCAAAAAAGTAAAAGTTTAAGGCGCGCTGCTAACCTGAGACGATAGGATCCCTATCGGACATTGCAATGCTCTCACTTCCATCTCCAGTGCCTCCAGTGATCTTGCCGAGCGATGTATTTGTTGAATTGCGAATCGACGCATAGAGGAGACACAAGAACCAAAGAACAAGTGAGACAAGCGATACTGCAGGCATTGGTGTACCATATTGCTAAAAGTTGATCTATTATTTTTAAACATTTGTCATAGTAAAGACTTTCTAGAAAAAAGCCCTACCTCGTCTTTTGGTGATGGAGTTGTTCCATTAGCAGGCACAATAATACTGATGAGCGATGGATTGCAAGCTTTGTCTAATTTAGCAAAGTTATTTTATTGGTCGCAAAGAAAAACCTGGATTGTTCGTCAAAGCCGCCCAAGTGAGATACATCACATAGCAAGAAATGATCGCGGATTGCAGCAGTCCACTTCGCGGCATATTTTCCTAAAAATTTATAGCTTTAATCCATTGTTTTGTAAATACCTGAATTCGCGGAAGAACTGCCAGCACCGATATGGCAACACAGAGAAGCATATTGAAAGAAATGATGAATTTCGGAAGAACGCATGAGCCGCCCTAAAAATTCCAGATAAAAATGCGCACAGTACTATTTAATCAAATAAGAAAGATTTATTTTACCGTAGTATAGAAGACGAACATCAACACAGTCGCCGTAATCGCAAGTCCGTAACACCCAGCTGTGAAAGTAAGCAATCCTGCATAGCAGGCTCGAGATTCTTCCTCTTCGTACCTACATGGCAATTTACTGATTTATAAAACCTAAATTTTGACTTACTTTTCCATCCAACTTTCGGCTAACCCATGCGCGAAATCGACAATCAGGATTAATTGAATGAGAATGAAGAGAAATCCTCCAATCATTCCCACCCACATTAAAGCTAAGATAATACAGTTGCTGTTTTAGAAAATTTAAACGTACGACTAGCAAGCGTCTTGCTGCTCATGAAGAAATAAGCGACAATCAGTCCGCCCATCAAAAGATATTTGAAAAACCAAAATCTAAACAATAAATGTTTATTAGTGAAATTAGAGAATTAGAGAGAAATTAGAGAATTAACTTACCCATTTTGTATGTAAGCTCTTGGATCACGCGATGTTTTCACCCCAAACATGAGCAGTGTAAAGAGGAAGAAAAACGAAGCCATACCGACGCAAACTCTAGAATGACTAGTTATCGCAGTCATGTCAAGTTAATAAAACCTGTAAACGGCTTGAAATCCAACAGCGTGTTTACACGAAACACTGGCAAACGATTCCAGGCCGTCGCAAAACCAATTGTTCTAAAAGTGAACGATTAAAATGATTCTGAGCCAAACTGATAAAAGCGAGCGAGCAAAAAAATGTTACCTCAGATAACTTGTGCTGAATTGTTGACGAGAGCATAATGCACGAGACGATAGTTCCAATCAGCAACATCAGTGCGTACCTAGAAGCAAACGACCAGTTTCAAAAATTTATTGTTCAAAAACCAAGAAAACGTTTAAAAAAACTCACATGATTCGTGTAGTTGTTGAATTCTTCGATGAAGGACATGCTGCACAGCACAGAGAGCAAGCCGATGAGCCGAAACAACAGGCCAACTAAAGTAAAAATTCATTGTGTCGCAGTGGTAACACGTGTTAAATTTTTAAATTTTGCAAACAAAAGTTAAAACGACAGTTGCTTAATTTAGGTTGACGTACTTTTAAGTTTAGTTAATTTAAAATTTTTCTAAATATAATAAACATACTGAAGCGGCACACGCGGGAAGGCCGAGCACGGCTCCCATCTTCTTCCAATAATCTTACGATGTAGGACTAAAAAAGATATGATTAAGTGTTTAGACAAAAAAGAAGCATAAAATAAACAAATTTTTGCGAGAATTCAAGAAGTAGCTATAACAGACTAATACACAATGATTTGCAATAGAAAAATAAATTTTATCTTTAGCGTTTTCTTTGCCCTTCCAGATTAAAATAAACCAAACTGGAACATAACTTGTTAATCTTTAATTATACGCATATCACAAGCCTCGCAAGAGAGCCTTTCTTTCTGCGGCGTCACCGGTCGCGTTGGGACCTTTTGGCAGGAAATTTTTGTCAGCTGATTGCGAAAGCGAACTCTTTGCGAAATTTGAAATCAATTTTGAGAAAATGGACTTTTATTTTTGCAAGAGTAAATTAAAAAATTAGCCGATTCTCTTGCTTTTGGCTTATTATGCAGACATCGTGGTAATCGGGAGTGGGACAAATCCGACCTTTTTTTTTGCGCACCCGGCCATTTGCGCACCTTTTTCCGCACCTGGCCCATTGCGCACTTCGCGTAAAAGCCTAAAAGCTAATATTAACCAATTTCTATTCCAAAAGTTGTTTTTCTAGGTAATTTGAGGGTGTAGAATCGAAATTTTGACATAACAGAGCGTGTGGAATCAATTTGAAAGACAAAACGGGTAGGTCAAATTACAGAAAATGGTCGATTTTTCTCTTTGTATAACTCCGTCCGTTCGCTTCCACAAGCTCTGATATGTCAAAATTTCGATTCTACGCCCTACAATTATCTAGAAAAACAACTTTTGGAATAGAAATTGGTTAATATTAGCTTTTTAGAGCTTTTTTAAAACGCGAAAAAAGGTGCGCTAATGGGCCAGGTGCGGAAAAAAAGGTGCGCAAAAAAAAGGTCGCATTTGTCCCACTCCCTGGTAATCTTAAAAAATCAAAGCCAAAAAATGAATATAATCTCATCTCAAAAATTAAGGTGATTTTCAGTGTTACATTTGGGCATTTTGTTTTAAATCTTTGGAAATTTGAAATCATCACACTTTTAGAACTTTTGTTTAGGGTTTTGAACCTACGGGATTTTTCGAACCATATTTACAGATCCCAACCTTTTCCCTATCCCTATCGACTCCCCTACCAAGATTAACATGCATTTCATATCACCCCCAAAATAAAATCCCTATTCCATATGGGTTTTCACAAAAAAACAACTTCCTTCCCTATCAGCGTTTTATCGATTTTCCCAGTGAAGAAATAGTGAGGCAGATATGTAGACGGTAAGAAATATTTCAACAGTCTTTGCCCCGCCCCCTTCGGAATTGTCAGCATTTTGGCGCTTCCAGATCTCTCCCGCACAATCTAGTATTCAATATCATCTATATAAGTCTTCTCATTTCTCATTCAACCATCACTTCTTCATTTATCCATTTTCAACTCGTTCCGTATCAACCCACTCAACTTTCAGTTCGAAAAATGACCGACTTTGGCTTCAACTTTCTCGGGAATGTGCTCAACATCAAATGGAAGCACCATGGCGTCTTCCGTCGGTTTGCTCTGAGCTATGAGCCAAATAAGATCTTCGAGGCGTTGATGAAGAAATGTGACGAGCTGGTGTCCACCAATGACTTTGGTCTTGCTTGGATCGGTAAGTGTGCAAAAAACAAGCAAATCTAGTGTTGGAGTTTCAGATGAGGAGGGCGATCCTATCTGTATCAATTCGGAGGCTGACATTTTGCTTGCAATTCAAGGAATGAATGCCCAACTGCTTCGCATTCATTCGATCCAAAAGGATAAAACACCTGTATGTGATCATATAGTCAATAAATGATTCAGTATTTTAGCGTCCGCCAGCTGAGGGCAATGCCCATCCCGGTGTTCAATGCGATCTCTGTGATGCATTCATCATCGGTACCCGCTTCAAGTGTATTCTCTGTGCCGATTACGATCTGTGCCAGAAGTGTGAGACCACCGGAGAGGTACAAAAATAGCTAAAGTACTACTTTTTATCAATATACTTCAGCACAAACATCACGCAATGCTTCGCATCGTTGATCCAAATGAGACAATCATTCCATGGGGAGGACGTCTGAGAGCTCGTCCAGGAGCTTGCCCAATGGGTGAGGGAGGATGGAGACGCCGTCATCATGGAGGAGGTCCATTTCATCAACCCGGTCTTTTTGATCAACAGCGTCGCCATGTGGATCAGGCACGCAAGAAGATGGAGGAAACTGTAAGTTCGAGCAAGTGAACCTTTAAATGGAAATGTAATTCAGCGTGAGGAGTTCATGAAGCATATGGAATCGGATGAGTGGAAGAAAACCTGCAAGAATGGACTCGATTTCCTCAACAATGTCGGCTCCCAGATTCAACAAGCGCTTGCTAACTTCGGTAAGACCAAGGCATACAATCTTTACCCAGAGTTGATTTCAGGAATTGACGCCACAGTCGAGTCAATGGATGTTCGTCCACCGGCTGACACTGAGAACAAGGACAAAGAGAAGACAGCAGAGCAACAGCAAGAAGCTCCAATGGAAACTCAGGTAGTGCAGGAAATATCAATGAAAATCGAGCAGTTTCAATTTCAGAACGCACACTTCAATATCCACGAGTTCATTCACCCGTCGAACGGATCGAATGTCGAGCTTCTCGAACCTACTCAAAATTTGCCTCAAGAAACGTTCCAGCCAAGTGCCCCAAAGGAGCAGCCACATCAACAGCCACAACAACAACAAACACCACCCAACCCGGCCCGTTTGCCCGAAGTGATTCCTCCACAAGAAATGCCAACTCCATCGATTCCGATGCTTCAGGCTATTCCACTTCCAGCACCTCAACCAATTCCATACGCTGTTCCGATGCCACCACCGCCTTTCGCCCCAACCCAAAATCCCATGTGGCACCCGCACCAATTCCCGATGGGGCATCCCATCCTGCCTTTCGGAGCTCCACAGGTTTGCAAAGAGCAGGAAAAAAAATGGAAACCCATAAAATTTTAGCAGGCACCAAACGCTCCTTACCAAGCTCCAGTGAGGGATCTACACGTGACTGCTACTCTTCACGTAAGAAACTCACTCAAGAAGCTCAGAACGGAGAAATTTTCAGGGTGCCATCCCTACAGCGCAAGCCTCCCAAAATGTTCCCGCTCCTGAACCTGCAGTTGCCGTACCTCGAGTTGAAACCCGTGAAGTCGGAGATTGGGTGTTCGGGGATGTCTACCCCCAAGTCGCTCAACGTGAACCACTCACGGACACCCAGAAGAAAACTGTAAGAGATTAGTACACCCAAAATAACTCTACCCAATCCTAATTCAACAATTTCAGTATGAACAACTCGTTCGCATGGGTTTCCCCAACAGCCGCCGTGCCGAAGATGCCGCTCGCCGCTTTGCTGCCGACATCAATGGAGCCATCGACTACCTGTCCAACTTAAGCCTCGACTAACTTATTATAATGAACATTCCCACGCTGTACATTAAGCTTTTAACTTACCAGTTTTTCTAAAACGTTATGTTCCTACTTATTTATGCTGTAGTGAGTCAAATAAATTTTTAAAAAATCAACAGGCTGAATGCAATTAGAAAACAGAAGAAAAATTGTAAAAATGGTTTATTCAAAACACACAATTCAAGAACAAAAAACAGCAATCAAAAAGCTAAATTTTAAAAGATTCGACTTGAGAATCCAAAAGTTCTTCCGAGATTCACCAAATAGTAGCGCTCGAATCCTTGCTTCGTTTGATCGAGAAGAGACACAGGCACAGAGGAAGCATCAATTTCAAGCTCCGTTGAATCAGCCTACATTGTTTGATAAAAACATGTAGCGAACAAAATATACCAAATCCTTGAGGTTGAATTTGACAATAGCATGGTGACCTTCCGGGAAAGATTTTAGTCGCCACTTCATTGTTATTAATCGATCAGGAACCTAGAGAGGAATATACGTACCGCAGTTTCGGTAAGAACTCACGATTTCCAAGAAAGTTCCAGTAACGTTGCCACCAAAGCATGCAAAATCTCCATCATTTTTGAAGTCCCATTTGGTTGGGTTTGCCCAAGCTTTGACTAACTAAACGAAAGAGACTACTTAGCGTTTAAAATGCCTCAACCTGTTGGTCAGAGAGACATTCAAAAAGCCTAGATGGCGGCACGCGAAAGGTTTCCGTTGTAGCCACTCGTTCTGTCTGCACAGGCCCATCTAAAAGAAAAGTTTAAAAGCAAACATAACAAAACTACCTGTTGATACAGAAGGCTTACTACTGGTTGAGATCACCTAAATTTAGTCACTCTGAATGTCGAAAAACAATATACTACCGCATTCTGAAAAGCATTCTTATCAACGGTTCTCTCCTTGACGACCACTTGTGGCTTGACTTTGTCGGTTGGCAAGATTATACCTTTGCTGAACTCCTAAATAAACATGGACATTAGTAACTTGCAAAAAACACGCACCTCTTTTAGTTCCTTGATGTACATGCCAACTAACTCCCGTACACGTTCAACGCCCAGCTAAAATAAGTACTAGATTTATTGGAAAAAAATCACCAACCCGGTTGAATATGTGACGTATTTGAGCTTCAGCAGGACCTTTGGTTTCAACGTAGAAATTCACCTAAACGTAAAAATGAACAAATAGCCAAGAACCAAACTAACATCCACTTCACTGGCATCATTCTCGTCGGAAAGATTTGGTATCTCGATGTGTCCCTTGTACTCGAGCTCGCTGCCAGCAAGTCGGGCTTAAATAACAGTCATTGTGAGGATAAAGCTCTTTATCGTTACTTATCAAACAACTTGAAATAACAAACCGGTCCAGTTCAGCTCAACTTCCCACTCGTAGAGAAAGATCAGCTTGGATTTTCGGTTGTTTGCGGTTGCTTCTCCCTCCAGCTTCTTGATTTCACCAAATGAAATGACAATTGACCCATCAGCAATCTCCTGTTTCTCCAAAAGCTCTCGTAGACGTTGTTTTGACCAGGGAGTTGCGTTTTTCTCAGTCCTAAAATAGGCAAATGTAAAAGGATCAATAGTTACGTTTTAAAAATGTAAAATACGACAAAAACTTTCTTCTTCATTAAGACACTTCTAAATCTAACCCCGTGCACTAATTCCAAGCCTACGCACTAATAAAAACTCGAACAACAAACCAGTGCCAATTGTTGACGTTGGTGGCATCAGCGCGCTCTTCAACAATCCATCGAGGATCGCCTTCACCCCATTTCGCCATTATGAGATCAACAGAGGCTAAAATTATTAAAATAGTAAAAAGTTTATGAGGCATTTGGAAAAGAAACGGGGAAAAATAAGTAGACTCGACAAATAGGCATTTATGTAGTTAGTAGCGACATGACTGTTGTTGACGAGCGCCCAATTATAAATTATTTTCTTGCTTTTTCGTTAAAATCAAATTGGTTAAAGCTAACAGACCAAAATTAGCGAAAAACATTGTAAAAACCCAACTCAAAGTTCTTAAGAAGAATGAAAAATTCGAGAATTTTCTCGTATTTTATAGCTTGATGGCGACAAACTCGGTTACGTTGCAATTTAGCTTTAAGCGCATTTTAGAGTGCAACCGTTGTGATGAATTTGCAACCTTGATCAATTTTTAAACTGTGACTTTTTGATATTTGTGACAGGTGACAAACTGTTAAATTGTTAACATTTGAAAGTTGATTTGGAATAAAAAAATACGCAAGAATTACCTCGTTGAATATGAAGTTTGGGTAAGCGATTGTCATTGTCACATGCGGTTTATCAGAGTTTCAGAATAAGTGCCAGAATTTAGAGCGATTTCGTACTCTAGCTTCACCTCTATAATTAGCAGCGTGAATTTTAGAAATATCCCGTTGAAGTCTGCAAAACATTAAGTGCAAAATCCCGATTTATCCAGCTGCTGGCTTGTGAAAAACAGACTAAATACTCAATTTAATGTTTGCTCGAGAATTACTGAAGATCTTTTGAAAACAAAAATATTACCGATACTTTGAGTATAAAAGGCGAGTGTGAATGAGAAGTGTTCCACCACTCAACTACTTCAAACACTCCAAAAATGTATTTTTACCTAATTTTGGTTACTGCAGCAGTGGTAAGTCTTCCAGTCCTACGGTGAGTTCATAATCAATCTAGGTGACTTCCACAACAGCCCAACAAAATCAAGGCTTCCCAAATCAACCAGTTGGCTCAAATCAAGTACCAAACAAAGCTTGCACAGTAACTAAATCCAGTTTTAGTGGTACCCCAACAACAACGGTCAGACGGGTTTCAATGGACAGCTAGGAAATAGTCAATATCCCTATGGAACTCAAAACGGACAGTATCCTTATGGAACTCAAAACGGGCAGTATCCATTTGGTAACCAAAATGGACAGTACCCTTATGGAAACCAAGTAATGGACGTTGTTAATAAAATCTACATAGGAATTCACTTTAGCCTCAAAACTCATACGATCCCTACAATAACATGTACCCTAATCAATACGGGCAAGGAATTTACGATCAGGTAACCCACACAAGAACTAATGCCTGCCAGAGTGTGTAATCTATGGAAATTTTAGTTTGGCACCCGAGTTACTGGTCTTGGTCAAAGCCAGCGTGGATGCCGAACACAGGTTGAGACTATAAAGACTTCCAAAACTCGCATTCTTTAGACCCGAAGAATTTGCTCAGAACAGGTCCAATGCATAATGGGACAGGTAGACTTGATAGGTAGGCATCCAAAGCCCAAAGACCAATTTTCAGATTTGCTGTGCAAAGCCCCGAAATGTCTTCCAACCACAGCAACAACAAGGGATGTCAATTATCCGCCCTCCACAGGTAAAGCGAAAACCCACACCAAGAAGATCTTCTACCAATTTAGGTGTTCGGTCGCTGTCAAACCGGCTTCACCTGCCCAATCGGCTACACTCAATTGTAAATACATGTAAAAATGTGACTAAATAAACTTGATGCATACGTCTTTTGACCCAACTACACACTACAACTACAACGTTGTACAGAGAAACAAAATAAAAATTACAGAGCAGTATGGTACAAGTCAGTCAAGAGAAATCCCAAAAATACATTGCTCCAGCGTTTCCAACAATACAGAATTTCTCGCACTTTCAGTTATTAAGTTTAATAATTGAATTTGGTACTAAGGCAGTTCGGGGAGGCACCTAAAATTTTCGCAAATATAGTTTTTCTAGGGTAATTGATGGCGCTGATCACCAAAAAACATTTTTACCGTATTCTCTCTAATAGTAGTGCACTCTCTAATAGTATTGCGGTCCGAGAGGGGGTTGAAAAAATAGTGGTGCACCCTCAAAAATTTGCCTTTATTGTGCTCCTTTTTCATCAAAACCTTTTTGACAGAATATCTTTATGTTTATGTTGCATTCTAAAGCTATTCAAGCAAGCAAAAGCGAGGCTTTTTTTATTCATTTTTCAACTAGTTATGTTTTCAGTTATGTTTTCAATTAAAAAACATGCATTTTCCCAAATATTAATAACCGGTTACTTCCATTTACTATGTCGCATTTGCGCCGTCTGCTAGAAGCCCGCTACCTTCTGGCTTTAGCGCCCGTCGCTTGAATTCTCTCATTTTCGTAAAATTTGGTTTTGTACTTGTACAATTCTTAAGTACCTCAAGAAAGTCAATTATATCAGAGTCAATTACAGGGGTGCTTTCTCGAAGATATTTATCTGCGCTCATAGAAGAGCCGTCCAAGCGGAACATTTCGTATCTTGCCGGATCGTTTGAAGAATCGACACAAAGGTTTTTCGAATAAAAACATCTCTTACTCTTGGATTACTAACGAAATTTGTGTTTTACCCCTTTATTAGTGTGTTGTTTTGATTTGTTTTCCGCTAAACGTTTCAGCCATTTTATCTATGATTTCTTTTAGAAGTGGACGTATTGATGCCAAAGCGAGAAAAAACGGAGGCGACATCGGATGCCTCAGACGATGATTTCGCCAGTGATGACAATCCGGCTTCCGTTTCACAGGTATGAATTATATTATTTTGGTTATGACTTGTCTACTAGAAAGATGCTAATGAAGTTGCTGAACAGTTTTTTAAAAGCTTGTTCAATGTTAGTCTCACTGGAAGTGCGAAGCTTGATTAATTGACAAATATCTTATAAGTAAAATTAGAATAATTTTAACTGTTTAAGGATGAACTTTACGGCACCTCCGAGTTGTCCGAGCCAATCAAACGACGTCGCGTTGATTTCGACTCAGTCCGTTTGATGTCTGTGCATGGAGTGGTGAGTTTTTTTTTGAGATTTTCCTAAAATTTATAAAAGTCCATATTTAGAATGACATCAGCCTCAAAGTGCAGCATGTACAACTTTACAAACTTTCCGAGCGTCTCATGTTGAAGGATCGCTTGCTAAATGAGGAGATCAAGCGTAACGAGTCCTACTGCATGCGGCAATTTCAAGATGACAAGAAAATTTGCTTGGTCAACAGGTATTTAAGCCAGGTTTGTATTAGTTTTTAACTTAATGCAAGGCTGTTCTAGCTAAGTGACGATCTTCATGCTATCGTTGAACGAGTCGGGCCGAATACGTCGATGAAAGAAATTAAAGAGGAGCCTGCAGAGGTTAAAACATTTAGATGTATCTGAAAAAGGGTTTTTAAGCAATCACAATTCATATCACCAGAGTTTTTGTCGGATATCGAGGAAAAGAATGCAGAGGAGCTCGATACGATTTGGCAGAAACGAGTTTCTACAACGTACGTTGAACTGACAGTATATCAAACGGTTGATTTTAGATTGAACGTGACGCAAACTATCATGGACTTGATAAAGGCTCAATCAGCGGAGCTCTCGGCTTTTGCTCGTCGTTTGGAATCAGCATTAGGTACTTTTTTTCTCCGGTCTCGATTTTCCATACTAGAATTTGCCTAATTTTGTGCACAGAGTCCATTTCAGAAAAAGAAACTGAGGAGCGCACAACGGAGTTGACTTCACTTGTGGAAGCTTTCAAGACGTCCAATGAAGTCGCTACGTTGACTGCCGCGAACACGAAGCTCACGAAGGAAGTTCAGCAGTATCAACAGAAATGCCAAAATGACTCACTTGAGGTGACTTCCTTTTCTTGAAACGTTTCAAGTAAATTTTGTAGGTAGCCAGGCTCCAGGATGAAATCATGCTGAAAAACACAAAAATCGACGAATTGATGCAACAAATAGAGGATAAACAATTTGAGCTACGCAAGTCGTGGGCAAAAGAAGCAAAATTAGATCATAGGTAAGGTTCTTTTTCAATCAAAGTTAAAAAACAAATTTGTTTTTAGATTAGCTACAATGGCAAAACAGCAAAGCATAGGGGGTCCCGAGGTTTTCAAAAATGTGTCCAAGACTGATGTCAATATGAGCGCTGAAAATTTATCTGATGTAAGTTTTTCTAACGTTTGCATTAATCTGAAAATTTTAGTTGGAAGAAGCGAAAAAGGAAATTTCATTCGAAAAGGAGAAATCTCAAGCAAGACTAAAAGAAATCGAGTCACTCAACGATCGTCTCAAACACCTTTCCAGTCAAACAGAATTGCTTCGTCTCAAGGTTAACTTATCTTTTATACTCATGTAAACGACGCCGTGCAGAATTTCGAGTTTGAAACCAACGCAAATGAGAAGTCAAAAGAGTACAACAGCTTGAGAGATTGTTACGATGAACTCTATCACGAACATGAACGAGTTCTGTAAGTTTTCATTTATATGCTAAGCCTTTCTGTGTCTAGTGAGGAGCTTGCTTCAACGAATGAATTGATCTTTGAAATGGAGAAAAAGCACGAGGAAGGACTTAATGAATACAAGGTAATAAAATATGATTTATGATTGAGAATGTCTTATGATTTTTAGCAAATTGAGCAAATGGCGATGGAGAAAATGCATCAACATCTTAACAATCAGGAGAGAGAATTGAGCAAGGTTATTCTAATAAATACTGGCTAGAGTTTAACGCAAAGTTTTAGTACAAGAGTGACTACGAGAAGCTGCGTATTGATATCGACAAGAATGTTAACGAGAGCAACCGTCAGGTGAGTGTTTTAGATTTCTAACGTCAAAAAAAATTTTTTAAGCTGGCACTACAGCAGGACCTTGCTACTTTCATCAAGGCTCTTGAAACACAAGTCCACAACTTCAAACAAGAATCAGCCAGGTTCAAGAAAAAGTGGCAAGAGGCCGTAAAGAACTCTATGCAGGTTTGTATGAGTTACATGGTATGTTTTATATTAGATTTCAGACCAAAGGGCAATTGGAACGAGACAAAGCCTATCATGAACAATGTCTCTTGATCCCGTTACCGGATGGATTCACTGATGGCAAAACGGACTCTTCCAAGCAGGTTTAGACATTTTCAGATCAATGTCCAATTGTGCTGCTTCTGATGTGCATGAACTTACCAGATTTTTTTAGAAAAATGGTGCTATCGAGAACGAACCAATGCCGACAACAATGGACGAGTTGCGAGAATATGCTAGGTAAAAGTTAAAGTTTTAATCAACTCGTACAAATATTTAGTCGCTTGAGAACGCGCATTGATGAACTTCGCGGGTTTGAAGATGCTGCACAGAACGTGACGAGTGAAAAACGAGAACTGCTTGAAGTAAGTTTTTTAAATGCCACAATTAAATCATTGTTATCATAGGTTTTGGCCAAAGAAAAGAGTCTCGTGCTGCAAAATGAGCGTCTGATCGAGCTGGTGCGGAGAATTCATGCCAACGAATGGCAAAATGACTTGAAATTCCAGGCCGATGATCACAAACGGAAAATTGGGTATTTGGCAAACTTTGAAAAGTATTTTAATTCGTTTCAGAGAGTTGAAACAACAGAATTCCGTGCTTCAAATTGAAGCCACGAATGCAAAAGCCGATGAAGAAGCTCTAATGGCAGAAATGGAGAGCACTGGAGTGGTAAGTCGTTGTTTGAAAGAATTAGATAATTGGTAAAAGGTTATGGGTTATAGGTTATTTAACTATGCATTATTTTAGGCTCTTGAACAACTACAAGAGCAGAATGGAAAGCTTTTGAAACAAATCAAGGAGAAAGACGATCTGCACTTAAAGGTTTGTCTTTTAATTCTTGTATTTTCAATCCCATTTTTAGATGATGAGCGATCGCATTGAAGCTGCACTTCTCGAATCAAAGCTGAAAGATGAAAAAGTAGGCTAAAAAATAAGGTTTTAATATTTTCTTTTTAGTCGACTCTTCTCGAAAAAGTGGAACTTCTCGAGAATATGGTTGCTGCTCAATCACACGAGATCAGTCAGTACAAAACCCTTCACACGCAAACAAGCACGGCCCTCGACGAGAAAAAGAACCACTTTAGGTACTAGGAGTTTTGAAGCAGTTCAATTTTGATTTTCTAGAAAAGCAATTGATCGTCTTGATAGTATACAAGCCAAATGGAAGGACGCTCACCAGAAGCTCACTGAAGAAAAGGGTCGAGTGCAAACGTTAACCACACAGTTGACGAACTATACGGAGGTTGGTTTCTTTTAGTCGAACTTGAATACGGTTCATTTCCCCCATATATCCCATGGATGCACAGTTTTTAAATTTAAAACGAATTTGGCAAAGCATGATCGAATATTGTCCAAACTTAAATTGGCTTTCTATTGAAATTCCTATTTAGGTTGTTGAAACGAAGACGCAAGACAACGAGAAAAGCATCTCAACAATTAGAAGACTTAAAGAGGAGCAGGACTTGCTGAAGAAGAGGTATATTTTGCCTTATGAACTTAAAATCTTGTTGCTTTAGATTACAGCATGTGAAGGGTGCAGAACAGTCCGTCAAAGATGAAGTGCTTTTGATGGAAATTAGTGACTTAAAGGTATGTTTCAGAACTTGGTTAGAAAACTATGATTTTAAATCTTAGGAACAATTAACTTGTCCTTCATGTAAAGTCAATCGAAAGGATGCATTGCTCACCAAATGTTATCACGTGTTCTGCATGAAATGCATAAAGACGAGGTGAGTTTTTAAACGTGCTAATAGCTGGCTGCCATAATGTTATCGTGTTAGGTTATTATTATACAATTTGTAAAATACTATATTTCTTTATAGTTTTAAATATACGTATAAATAGATACGAGATGCGACGAAGAAAGTGTCCCAAATGCAACGCGTGTTTCGGTGCCAATGACTATCACCGCATCTACATCACCTAAATAATAAAGCAATAATACCATGATTATTTATAGGGTTTTTGCAATTTATAATCTCTTTTGTTATACTATTTTTTAAATTATTTTGTTTCACTATTTTTTAAATTATTTTGTTTCCTTTGCATTTAACTATATCCGAAAATTCTCGTTGAAGAGCTTTCATCGATACCGGACTGTAGGAATTCTCCATTTTCAGTATGATTTATGATTAGTAAAATTGATATTTTGTTTTTGTACATAAATTCTTGCGAATTATTGTCATTTATCAATAAAAGTTAGATTGATCTGAAGATGTTTGAAAGGAATTTAACAAATGCAAAACACGTTGCTTTTAAAATTCTAGAGTTGTTCTAGTCCAGATTTCTGATACTAGATTCGTAAAGTAATTCCAAAATTTGTGCTCACCTGAGAGCCCTTGATCGAGTAGCTATGCTTTTGGCGGAGTTGTTTTTGCATTCATCCATATTTACTGTAATCTCATTGATTTTTCCACTTATTGACCATCATGCTCCAGTTATCCCTCATTATTTATTCAGTTGCTTGCTCTACTAATTAGACCCCCAAAAAAGTAACTCTCAAATGTTTTTCTTTATGCATTTTGCTCTGTCAGCAAATGAATAACATTAGTGTAAGCACACAAATCTTCGTCAAAACATCAAGTAAAGCAAATTGTTTGGGTATAAAAGGAATGGATCTTGGGGAATAGACAAGCGACAGCTTCTATTTTAGATTTCTAATTCTAATTTGAATTCTATTTGAATTCTAAAAAAAATGTTCAAGATCGCCTTGACTACCGCTCTCTTTGCTGTGAGTCTTTAGTGGATAAAATTATCAACTAAAAACGGATTGTAAGTCATTTTACTGTAAGGCGATAATTGCATTGCATTAGGGGATACGATAGCTCGAGGATTACTCTGACTTTTGTGATAATTGCAGATCTTTCACCTTCAATTAGAAATCGTTTCTGAATTGACAATTTTCAGCTCGCCTTTGCCGCCGATGGTCGCAAGAAGCGTCAAGTGCCCGGACTCTTTGGATCGGTGAGCATTAATGACACTGAACTTTTTTGTATCACAATTTTTTGAGCACTTCTTTAGTGCTTTTAAGATCACTATTTTAATTTCAATTACATAGCTTTCAGGGATCTGCATTCAACTCAATGCCGTCGGGAATGTTCGGCAATGGTATGAACACGGTGGGTACTGTAATGTAATGCAAAATCTATCAAACTATTGACTGGATTAGTTAATGAATCTTTTTTGAAGAACTAGTAAGGCTGAATTTCGAATAGTAATCGGCAATGAGGGTTAAAAGCAAAATTTTAGCTCCCGGCTAGTATGATGAATGGACTGAATGGAGTCTCAGGATTGAATGGATTGAATGGATTGAATGGATTGAATGGAATCAATGGATTGACAGGATTCAACGGAGTTCCCAGTCTTAATGGCATTTCCGGATTGAACGGGCTCTCCGGAATGAACGGTTTGACTGGTCTCAATGGAATCAATCCATTCACTGGCCTCAATGGAGTCTCCGGATTGAACGGACTCGGTGGAGTGAACGGACTCACTGGGTTGAACGGTTTGAATGGCGTCACTGGACTCACTGGATTGAACGGATTGAACGGATTGAACGGTTTGAACGGATTCCCCGGTAAGCATTGGACTTTCCTGCCTTAGCAGACACACTTTTCAACTTGCATTAAAGTTGTAAGAATAAAGAAGTTCATTTTTTAGGAGTTAATGGCTTGAATGGAATCTCCGGATTGAATGGATTGAATGGATTGAATGGTTTGAATGGATTGAATGGTTTGAATGGATTGAATGGATTGAATGGATTGAATGGTTTGAATGGATTGAATGGATTGAATGGATTGAATGGTTTGAATGGACTTACTGGACTCACAAATGGCCTCATCCCATCAAACGGAGTAGATTTTTGATCTTAATTTGACAGGATTTAAATTTTAACTTAAAAGTCTAGCTCCAAATTTGCAGGTCAACGTTTGCCTGAGCGCGTTGGATTGCGGAGGAGCCTTGGTGGGTTGTTTGGTCTAATCATGAAAGGCTTTTTAAAGCAGATAGCTGTGTTTTCCTAATAGTACCATAGATAACTTATGTAGTATATTGTAAAAAATTTAAACCTAATTGTAATCATTCCAGAGATGCTGTGGCAATGTGAATGGCGGTAGCCTTCTTGGTGGTTTGTTGGGCGGAACGAGCAGCGCTTTCGGAAATTTCCCAGTCCTCGGAGGGGTTAGTTCTTTGAAAAGATAATTTACTTTATCTACTTGATGAAACATTGAAATCAAAATGAAGATAGCTATCAAATAGAATATTGTTCCCCTCAAATTTATTGTAATATTGTTAAATATTGTTCCCCTCAGAATATTGTTCCCCTCAAATCAAAATGAGCCTAAGCTAGCTATCAAATAGACTATTGTTCCCCTCAAATTTCAGCTCGTTGGCCGTTGCTCTCCAATCTGTCTCCTCGGCGAGGTCAACTTGTAAAGTTGCAAAAAAGAAAACAAATGAAATTTGTTGTAAATAAAGGCATTTATTTTTTTTTTCAATCATTCAAAACTGCGGCAAGACATCTAAAAAATAGCTCATCACTTTTTTCGAAGAGATTTTTTTGCAAATGCCTATCATTCCCAACTTCGTTCATTCTCAACTTCATTAAATTCTTTAACTTTTAAAGAATATACTGGTTGATTTTTGTTGGATTTTTGCATTCACTATCAGCTTGACATTTAAACTTTACAGTTTTTGCAATTAGTCATTTGATAATCTCATGCTTTATCAGTACAATAAACAAATAAATGTAGTAAAAGGGTATTTAAGCCATAGAAAATTGTTAAAGTGATTCCAGTTGCTAACTGACTTGCTATTGCTATTCAGTAATGCTATTCAATAATCCATTGGATAAATAGATAAGTAAAATATGATTAGAAATATGATTAGAATAATATTGTATGGCATGATTATGGCTATGCTTAGAATATGATTAAAGTAAAGTCTATATACTGGTTGATTCAATCAATCCAAGCAATCAATCACAATACAGAAACAAATCCCATTGAAACCCTAACCTCAACTACTTAATGCCATAAAAGGACTTCAAATTCTTAACTTAAGCAAAACTCTTGAAAGCCAATGATTTTGTCGGTGACGATGCTGGTCAATGAAAGGAAATAACCGTTTTTAATGGCTGCAGTTTATGTGCAAGCCAACTCGTAGTTTATTTCAACGGGCAGCTTGGGATAACTCCGAATCTGCGACTAACCGAGCTAACGTTGCTTAGCTTGGCAGAGCGGACGGGATGCCGTGTTTCAACGTGGCCGGGACGTAAACTTTTGGCTGCATTTCCTACACAATTCTGTTTGGTAAATCAGCTTATACTTGGTTCTTCTGTTTTCTTTTTCTCCGGCCGAACAAGTGTTCAATGAATAGAACTTCTGCCTGAAAGCAGAAGATCGAGCAGCAGAAGATCAAGCAGCAGAAGATCGAGCAGCAGAAGATCGAGCAGCAGAAGATCGAGCAGCAGAAGATCGAGCAGCAGAAGATCGAGCGCTCGATTCTCTTCTTCTTTCTTTGTCAAATTGTTTTGAAAACCAAGCTTTCTGGAGAAATTTTTTCAGTGAATCAATTCTTGAATGTGCTTTTGAGTAGGCCGTTGCTTCGAGAACACTCCAGACTGAGTAATCCATCGGATTTAAATCGGGGCTTGATGGTGGCCACTGCTTAAAGTTGATGTAATTCGGGAAGTTTCGTTCACACCAGTTCAAGACAATTCGGGCTTTAACTCGGGCAGGCGCCGGTGGGCTTTTAACATTTTTGAAAGCCAAAATTTGCATGATAAGCAAAAAGTAGCAAAGATAGTCAACCAAAAAGCGTGGCAAACGGATGTTGGTTTAGTTAACTTTGAGGCACCCTGTATTATTGGTAAAATTTTGATACACAACAACACCATTTATTTTTACATGTTTCTTAATTCATAGCAGCAAGAAATTCTTTTTAACGAGTCACAGAAACAGCTCAAAATTTGACGGCTTTGAAAGAACTTGGAAAGAAGATTACGTTAGTTTAAAGAAGTGGACAGATACCATATTCCCCTAATAGTAGCGCACTCTAAGCTTGAGCGTGAGCTTCGTCTAAATTGCTCGAAATCTCAAAAGCCGCTTATCAGAACCTATCGCTTATCAGAACTCTGGTCAAATCCAATCGAACAGCTGTAATACAATATGTAAGTATTTTTTATCTCTAAAAACAATCATCACACAGACAGAGGAATATTTGATTAAACTAGAGCCGAATATTGATTAAACTAATATTTGATTAAACTAGAGCCGTAAATTTGTTGATATTTTGTTTCACAAATGCACTAATCACAAGAAAAAGGTCATACAAGATATTCAGATGTCCGTTTTTCTCGTTTTTTTTTAGACTAAATCAATAAACATCAATGGGTAAATATTCAGTAAAGTGATTTGGGTATAAAAGTCAGAAAATTTGTGTCTGAAATCAGCCAACCTTCCCAGTCAATCCTCAATCTTCATTTCTCTCAAAGAATGCTCTCTTCGGCGCTCCTTCTAGCGGCCACTTTTGCGGTTTGTTTGAAAATTAGATACAGAAGATAAACGAAATTGTTTTCAGACGTTTTTAAGTTAAACTTTCAAATTGAAATCCTAATTTCAGTTGGCTTTCTCAACAAGACCGAATCCCAATCAACCAAATCAAATCAATCCGCAAAGCCAGAATCTTTTATCCCAACAAAAGTGGCAACAACAATGGCAACAGTACCAGAAATGTCTTTTGCAGGTATTCTATGAGATTTAGACGTTCAACTTATCTTTAAAGTCAAATAATCAGCCAAATACCAAAGAAACTTTCAGCAACAACAATCAACCAGCCGTAATCAACCGAAAAACACGAAAAATCAAAACTTTATTCCATGCTATCCTCCACAGGTGATTTTTGGGAAATTGAAGAATATGCTAGATTTTAGCCAATCTATCCCAACCAACTAATGGACCCAACACAGGACAACATTCAATACCCACAGGTGATTGAAGTTCATGAGTATCGGCTGACTAAATGCTTAATTTGATCGGTAGCAATTTAGCAAAGCAACCGGTAGGTTCAGCAATTTGTCTCTAAAATTTCAGCAATTCAACAACAATCAGAATCTCCCTTCTGGAAGCACTGGACCGAATGGAAAAAGAATCCCTCAACAGCCACAAAAAGGACAAAAGCCAATCATCCCACAAATAAATCAATTCCCCGGACAATCAATGAATCAATTGAAACAACAACCACTCCCACCGGTGAGTTCATTGCTTTTATTGAAACTTTTCAAAACAGTTTTCAGCAAAACATCTTGAAAAACGAGATCCCCGTCGACATTTGCACGAGCTTCACGCATTGCAACACCGGAATGGTAAGAGTTTGTGTGAAGAGACAAAAAGAAATGATTACTGTAACAAAAGGATTGCCTAAATTGCCTAGACCAACATTTAATAGCTGTATTGCAAGTTTAGAAATGATTACTGTAACAAAAGGAGAGCCTAAATCAACATTTAATAGCTGTATTGCAAGTTTAGTTATCCATTTAGCAAAAAAAGAATTTCAGAAATGTTGCGCCATGCAAAAGAGCAATCTTCTCGGCCTCTCCTATCAACGATTCAATCTGCCGGTGAGTTTCGATTTGTAAGATTTGATTTGTAAGATTTGATTTGTAAGATTTGATTTGTAAACATTATCTTAAATGAAATTTATGATATTTCATTAAAACTTACTGTATCATAGAATAAAATTGTATCAATTGTAGGAACTTTTAAAATTTCAGGTGCTCGGCCGTTGCACTAAAGCATGCCAGATCGGTGAGATCAACTTGTAAAAGAAGAAGTTCCGAAACAACAAAAACAAACAAACAAAAACAATTTGTTGTAAATAAAGTTCTCATCAGCATGATTTTATCGCCAAAAGCTTAGAAGTATGACAAAATTGGCGATGTTCGCTGTTTGGAAGACGAGTTGGAGAGCGAAATGTTGAGAGCACAAGAAGGAGCGAAGTTTCGTGAGAGAAGGGCTGAAATTGGGGATTGATAGATGGATAAGTGTTAAATTAAAGTGATTATCAATTTTTAAAATTTCATCACAAAATGATACCGGAATGATATTGTACAAAGCTGTTCGAAAGTGAATTTTGAATGACCAGGTCATAAGCCAGAGCCATAAGCCAGGGGCAAAGCCAGGGCATAAACCAGGGCCATAAGTCAGGGCCATAAGTCAGGGCCATAAGCCAGAGACATAAACCAGGGCCATAAGCCAGGGTAACTGAATTCTCTTGTCTGATTCTCAATGGTGAAGGCTCAAGGAATTGTTGGCAACGTATCGACCACTGAAGCCACTTATGAAGCTTCTGGTTGTTTAACTTTGTTGCTAATTTCTAATAGTTATTATATGAATAAAAAATTGAAGATTACTGAAAGAAAACACCGTAAACATAGCGAAAACATTTGATTTATAATTTTAAAATACTTTAGTCGCTAAAAAAGCAAAAGCCGAAAACAAGTGGCTTATCAAAAGCCATGGCAAGCCAGGTCTGGCCTAAAATTTTTGCTCTAGGAACAACCCTGATATTGTAATTGACCTCTTGCACTCGTCAACGATTTTCTTCTTCTCATTGCGCCTCTTTTGTGTGCAAATGACAAGAACAACACATGCAGAGGAGATTATCGCAACACTTACTATTACGAAAATACCTGAAAATGATGGACGTAGCTTTAAAATCCTTATTCACCTAGTAACGGAAAAGTGGATGTGCGAGGGATTTGCTCGGAGACCATTTGGACAAAGATTGTCATCGACATCATTGATGTTAGACCGATACTCAACTGAGTTCAACTTGTTAAAAACTTTGCTCAGCCTTTCTCTCACCTTTGTAAGTTGTTCATCTTTATTGTTTTCTGTCCAAAACATTCCAATCACCGAGAGGAGTGTTAGGAGAAAACACGGAAGAACGATCACGTATAAGTAGAAATTAGGCTCTCGTTTTAGATGCAGATTGAAGAATAGCTAGAAACACATTGAACTATTGAACTTTGTACTTTGTACTCAAGAAATAGCTAAACACATCCTTTCTAGGGCACCAGAAAGGGTGTGTTTTCATTCAAATGAGCACAAAGTACATTACTGTTCAAGCACAAAGTACATTACTTTTCAAGCACAAAGTACATTACTGTTCAAGCACAAAGTACATTACTGTTCAAGCACAAAGTACATTACTGTTCAAGCACCAACCAGGTCAAGCGCGGCAATATCCGACGGGACTCTTATCATCTCTTTCGTAATATTTCTCAATTCCCATTCACCATTCCCGGATAATTTAGAATAGTCAAAATCCGGGAACAGAACGCCCTCCATTGTTATCTGTATAAAAGATCAGAGGAATGAATTTTGGACAAAACTCTACCTGATTTACAGAGTAGGTGTTCAACGCGAAAGCGATCGGACAAGTTTGCGTATCAAATGGGAAAGTGCCTAGCTAAATTAGATTAGTTTAGTGTCAAATAGAAACCACAGACATCTACCATAATCTATTTTCTATTCTGCAACAACTATTGTTGGCTTTAAACTAACATCCATAAGACAAGAGAGTGTGGCAACAGCCATGCTATCGAGATAAACTGCACCATCTGATGTGAGACGTGCCGGACGACGATAATCCGGCCAAGCTTCATTGTAGCTGCTTCTGAAAAGGAAGGTCAAAAGGATGTGGTGGTGTAGTGGATAAGAGTCTTTTTTTCAAAGCAAGCTGTCTAGTCTCTGCTCGGGTTCGATCCCTGCTTTCGTTTTTGGTTTTACTTTGATGTTTAACCGCTTGAATTCACTCTATTTGAACTTTATAATAAGTATTATGAAATCTTTCATTTCATTCATTCATTCATTCACTGGTTTGCCAGATTCCTCGCGCTTCGGAATCACTTTGCAAAAACGGATATCAGTATTGGAATCAGCGTGAAATTTGTATTGTATATGGCTCAGGTTATTTGGCCATCTCAGCCTTTTCTGCAATGAGTTCCTTGCCAATAAACTTACAAATCAATCATCGAGTACTCGGGAATCCAAATCGTGTCATATTTCACCCAAATCATCTCAACATCATCAAAATCTTCTCGATCCCATGCTAATCGCACATCTTTCCATTGCTAAAAGTGTTCTTTCAAAAACAAGCAAGCTTTTTCTTGTCAGCATTCAGGGTTTTAGTTTTGATGATCACAGAGAATCGTATAAGAATAGAATGGAGTAGAGAAAACCTGAACAAATTCGATTAACGCTGTCATTGTCTGCTTTTGAGGATCCTTAATTTCAAATTTTTAAAGACAAATTAATTTTACTGACCAACTCAAAGATTTTCACAAAACTTAACGTGATCGATACATTTAAAGGTGGACGATTGAATGCTGAAATGAAAAACAATATCTCCAGCTCGTTTATTTCTTTCGTCACCACTGGAATTCTTTGGTTGTTTCGAGTAGACAGGCGAGAGATCACGTTGATAGGGACGAGTTTGGAAAAGTTCTTTGTAAAGATCGGAGGTCGAATCAAGATAGGAACCATATTCTTCTAGAAATAAGCCTTTATAATCTTAAATCGTAAAGGAAAAAGTGAGCCACCGAAGAGCATTAACCCACCATCAACGCCTAACTTTGTCCAATTCGTGTACTGGCCTCGAGAAATCGAAAGCAATAACAGGATGAATAGAAATTCTTGCATAAACTGGGTTAAAAGATGAAAGTGAATGAAATGAATGAAATAGCGACAAGGAAATTTTGAAAAATCAGGGTCAAAAGATCATTAAAAAGTCAAGTGATCGTCTGGAGTGACTCGATAGAATTTTTTGTCAAAATAGACTCAATTTGATGAAGTAAGCAAAGAAAAAAGTGGGACGAGTAACACGAGAAGGAAGCGACGATTTTTGAAGAGCGACAGATGGAAAAGTGATGGGAATTTAATGGCTTGGATGCAAACAATCACTCGGATTACGGTAGTCTAGAGGTGTGCAATAAAAAAAAAATTAAAGCTTTGGGTACAAATTGTTAAATTGCTGATGAGGTTTAAGCAAATCGCTTCTTTCATTACAATATGAGGGGTAGGCTAATTTCCGCAATTTGTTGGGTCAAAACAACAACTGGATCATTTGCGCAACTGGATCGTTTGCGCAACTCGCCATAACTTTCTTCTAAGTCGGCCAATCTTTATGATGTTGGTTTCATTTTGTTGCACTTATTGAGAAAAACGTAACTTAGCTTTTTCCGAGCACATCAGAAAACGCGAGCACATCAGAAAAACGCAAAAAAGAATAAAATGAAATGAACAAGAATGAAAAAAAAAGAAAATTAGGAGGGTTACGGTAGTTTTACCACGCTTTAAAGCGCCAACCCAGGATTTTCTCGGTAAAAGGTCGCAAGTGTTGCAATGAGCTGAAGTTGTGGGATAGGCTAATTTCCGCAAGTCGCCATAACTTTCTTCCAAGTTGACGAAGCTTTATGATGTTGATTAATTTTGTAGATCTCAATAAGTGCAACAAAATGAAACCAACATAATAAAGATTGGTCGACTTAGAAGAAGGTTATGGCGAGTTGCGCAAACGATCCAGTTGCGCAAAAAAAATTGCGGAAATTACCCTATCCCCAATATGATAGATGCTAAATAAACAAATGAAATGTACAAGTAATGGCTGAATATCTTTAGCAAAACATTGAACATGCCACAGTTTTGAACATTTTGCTTTGTACATGCCACAGATGAGTTTTGGGGCTAAAATTTGCTCGGGTATATGGATTTTTTGGTGATGTTTATTTTATTGTGTGATAACTGCCAGGTTTTAGGATTTCTTTGGTATCTTTTTCATAAACTCTTTTTCATAAATTCTTTTTCATAAACTTATTCAATATTTCCCCGTTTTCCTAGATTCAAAATTCAAATGTGATCTTTGCAATGAAATTTTTCTCTTTTCAGCGGTATTTGTTTGTCTCGGAAACGCTCAAAAAGTTCGAAAATATTGTTTTCACATGTAAATTGAATGTTTTGAAGCAAACATTTTGGAAATTTTCGTTTTTTTTTGTGATTTAACAAACCCAAACTCTTCGTTAACTCAAAAATTTAGAATATTTTGTAAAAACAAAAATTTCTCGACTTTTCCAACTAAAGCTATTGAAGTTTTTAAAAAAATCATAATTTCTTTAAAAAGCACATGTTTCTTTTTTGTTTCGGTATTTCTCCACTCGTTTTTTCCCCATTTTTTTCAAACAAAGCCACGTCGATCGCTCGAAAGCACTTTCGAGCACAAAGAACGACCGAATCACAAGTATGAAATTTCTAAAAGCTTTTCCCGAACTTGAAATATCAGTCTTCGCATTTTTAACGTTTAAAACTAGCTTGACTTTCAATATCCCGTTTTTTTTCAATAGCACAATGCTTATCTAGATCCCAAAAAAAACAAAAAATCGATCACAAATCAGAAAATGTCACGAGCGATTTAGTCTGTTTGTACCAGGCATATTTTTCTTTTTTATCTCGTTGTGCTTTTCTTTTTCATGCGATGAATCAAACCCGGGCTTTTTCCAGATCCGCTAGATTACAATAAAAACTTTTTACAAGCTGTTTCAAAAATGCTTTTTTTTGATCATTTCAATTGAATTGGGGTAAAATTTGTGTTATTTTCACGAGAAATCAGGTGTTTGGTGCTTTTATGGTTTACAAGGCCTATTTTTTTTTCTCGAAAAGCATTTTGGGGGGTTTAATATGCGCTGAATTCGAATTTCTCTATCCCAGATTGAGAATTTGTTTGAATTTAATTGTATAACCCGAACCGAATTATAAAATTTTTGAAAAACGTTTAATACATCTTTTCCTTTTTTTCACCTTTTTCTTTTTTTTTTTTTTTTTTTTTTTTTTTTTTTTTTTTTTTTTTTTTTTTTTTTTTTTTTTTTTTTTTTTTTTTTTTTTTTTTTTTTTTTTTTTTTTTTTTTTTTTTTTTTTTTTTTTTTTTTTTTTTTTTTTTTTCTTTTTCCCCTTGTGTTTTTAAGCGTTTTTGATGTTTTAAATGCAAATTTCATTAATCGAATTTAACTTTAATTCCTTTTTTTATGGCCCTAAAGAGGACCGTTGGGTTGGGTGGGCGTTTGTTGAGAAGAGACTTGTTGCTCGCAGGGATACATGTCACGAACTTGATTCTAGAAGTTGAAAAATGAATGATGACCAAATTTTTGCCCATTGGGTTAAGCCGAATTCTTAGTAAAATTTGCATCTAAAACATCAAAAACGCTTAAAAGCAGACGTTTTTCCAAAAATTGTATAACTTGGAGTGCATTTTCCTAACGTGAGATAGCGAAAATAGAATTCAGCGCACCTTAAAACCAGAAAAATGGTCGATTTCGAGAAAAAATGTGTCAAGTAAACCATACCAAGATGTTTTGCACAGAAACTAACGAAAGTTCGGAGTTTGCTGAAGAAAATGTAAATACCGTATTTTCTCTAATAGTAGTGCACCCCGCGAAGCCGATTTGATGACTATTTTACGGTTTCCAAGCTTTTGCAGAAGCTCAACACCCTAATCCCCCACAAGATCTAATCGTTAGCTACATTTTCCGACCCCACATCGATAGATTCTGATAAGCGTTTCTCGAGATTTCAAGGAATTTAAGAGGCGCTATTGGTGCACTACTATTAGAGAAAATACGGTATCATTTATCTAAATGTAAGTCTAGTGTCGAAGCCAGATCAGAAGTCGAGTCTCGACCTAGGCTGGCCTGTAAACCAGACTTGAGCCTGTGTGGCCCATAATTATAGGTGCAGTGGCTTATTATTGTTAACTATCTCGATCTCCTATAAGCTGAAATTTTGCACTAGTCACAAAAGCATTTTGAAAAATCAAATTTCCACATTTCAACAAGATGGGGTTCCGGTCCACAAAGCTAAGAAAGTCTCAGATTTTTGTGAAGTGAATTTTCCCGATTCTTTTTCTGAATGGCCACTCGCCGGATCTCAATCTAATGAATCATTCTGTCTGGTACGATCTTCTGAAAGCCTGAGATGAACTCGATGAAAATTAGAGAAAATACTATTATTTTGCTCTAATACTCTAATACTATTAGAGAAAATACGGTATTTTGTTTACAAGTTTCTAAATTTTTCTCGTTTTTGTACTATTTTCCATTTACGTCATCCTCTTTTTCATTTGAATTTTTTGAATTTTGAATTTTGGATTTTGGATTTACTTTTTGGATTTTCTTTTTCTTTTTCTTCGCATTGTCTCAAAATCATTTTATTTTTATTTTTCTAGACTTAATTAGATTTCTTGTCATAGAAAAATGTCTTTCAGTGGGGGAAATGTGCATTGTATTTGTGAATGGGGATTAGTAGTCACAAGGAGGTTAAAATTTTCCCATTTCCAAGGAAACATTCAAGTTTTCATGCTAATTTTCGTCATCAAACCAGTCATTTAGGTTTTCTCTTAGCTAACACAAATTTAGAATGACCAAACGGCTTGTCAAAGCCAAATCATGGCTTTAGACTCTCTCAAAGACTCAAAAAAAGATTCTCTCGAAAAGTGCGCTTTCTAAAGCGCGCTTTCTCAGTCGGTCAAACGTCTCTCTCTTCATTTTAAATCAATTTGTCAATTGTCAAAATGATCATCACTCATTTTCCCCAAAGTACATTGTAGTCTCGTTGTCTTTCTTTTCCATTCCCATTCTAAACTCTTCTTTTTCCTCTCCTTCAAAAGGGCATCGATCGTCCCTTTCCCCCTTTTCTTCCCTCATAATTTGCTCAGTCTTTCCCCACCTCTCCACAGTTTTTTTCTCTCACAAATTTTTCATTTTCTCTGAAACTTCAAAATTCTTCTCAATATTTAGCTTCTTTTTGTCGTTTTTCCACTCTTTTCTCCGATTGACGCCATAATTGGCTCAGAATTTCGATTATTTTTTTCTTTTTTTTCAAAACACATGTTTTTCTTTAATTCAAGAACTTCACTCTTGTTTCGGTTATCGATTTTAGTCCCGATCTTCATCTATAATACTTACAGTTATTTTACTTTGGGTACTTACATAACTTTTCAATAGCCATTTTTTAAAGCTTCAACTGTTAATCCAATGTTTTTTCGTTTTCAGAATGGAAGCAATGACGAGGATCAAATTCGAGTCAAGAGAAAGCTCATCGAGTGATGTGCCGCCCGATCCAATTGTGAGTTGTATTTCTTTATTTCTTTTTACAATTATTAGGTTGTCCAGTTATAAATGCGCGTTTTTAAGATAACAACTCTTTATTTTAAAACCAACAGTTTAACAGCTCAATCAACAATATATTCACCATTTGTTAACATTATTTGTTTCCATCTTCCATGCAAAGAATGAATTCCCTCCGCGTAAAAATTGGCTTGTTTTGAGGGATTGTTCTGTTTTGCAAAGATTGTTCGATGGGATTCAACGGCATTTTTGCCCAATTTGAAGTCATAACAAAGACTGGCACGATGACGAAACTTCGTCTCGGTCATTTAAACACGGAAATTAAATCAAAAATGAATTAGTTTAACGTCAAAAACACGAAAAGTTGTAATAAATAAGAAATCTTGAACAACATATAGAGAATAGGTTTTGATAAAATTGTATAGCCCTAAGGTACGCTGTTCAAGAGCAGGCGCGCATTCATAACTGGACAACCTAATATTTCCTTCAAGAGACACTTCTTTTCTATAAACTTTATCTTTTTGACTAGATCTTACTTGAACTTTGAGCATGTTTCGAATGAAGCAATTGCAATGAATGAAGCAATTGAATGAAGCAATTGCAATGAATGAAGCAATTGAATGAAGCAATTGCATTGAAACAGATTCAAGTTCTGAACCTCGGAAATGCTTTCACGAAAAAGTGCCTTTAAAATTCCTAAAATTCAATCTCCATTTCAGCCCTCAACTTCCCATGGTGATTGTATAATCTGTGAGCAAAAAGCGCACGGGATTCATTTTGGAGTACTCTCTTGTCGGGCTTGTGCTGCTTTCTTCAGGAGGTAGATTTGTTTGACATTTATCAGGCTTAATTCATGTCAAAGCTAGCCTGTACTTTATGCTGGCACACACGTACGCTTTCTTGCACACTCGATAGGATTCCAATGTGTCAGAGAGATGTTTATCATATTTCAAGCATAGTCTGGAACTTGTTTAACTTATTGATGCTCTTTTCAGAACTATCGTCCTCAAAAAGGAATATCCGTGTCGGAGATTCTCGAAGAAATGCATTATATCAAAAGGTTTTATAATACAAAAGTAAATTTTACAAGAAATTTTTTAGAGATTCGATATTTGTGTCGTTATTGCAGATTTCAGAAGTGTATCGAAGCGGGGATGACACCGGATAGTGAGTCGTTTTTGAAACTTGTGATTGTTTTTTGGAACTTAGGCACTGGAACTGTGAACTTAGGCCGCAAAACAATAAAATTGAAATAATCTTTAGCTTAATGAATCACGAAATTTCTTTTTTTAGATGTCGTTTACCCGAAAGACGGCGATTTTCAAGGAGAAGAGCCGAAGATTCGCGTGAAAAAAGAGCTCAAGATTGAGACCTCGTCGCCAAAACCTGAAACAATGCAGGTAGAAAAAAGGATTTCAAAACTTGGCAATTTACTATTTCGATAAAATTTCTCAACCTTTGAATACCCAATTCAATTGCAGGAACCCTTCAACCCGCCCTCCTCCTCATCCTCCTCAATATCGACAAGCGTTCCGGCGACGAAAATCTCCGTCGAATGTAAATCGCTTGCCCAGAAACTCATCGAGATTTTCAAGACGGTAAGCTGATTGATTTATGATCATATTGTTGGAAGAAGATAGCTAAATCATTGCAACAGTTGAACTTTCCAGTTTCATCCACTCGAGAGTCGAAGCGATCTGACGGGCATTCACCAGTTAGCCATGGCCACCTACTCACTCAAGACGCCCGATCCCGAACTACAGGTAAATCTTTGAGATATCGCTTATACAGATACAGAAGTGGTCTTGGTCTTGTAGTGCTGTGGCTAATTGAATCATGAACCTTTCTTGTAATTGACTCCTTTTCAGATTTTGGAAATCCTGGACATCAACCAAATTGGTGGCTATTGGACCCGTGTGTTAGTCGATGTGGCCCAATGGATGCAGTACATAAAAGATTTTGGGATAATCGATTTTCAGGACAAGGTTTGCTAGAAGAAAATCTAAGTTTAGTTTAAATTTTCAGATCAAAATCCTCCGCAACTGTTGGTGTTCGATCCATCGTTTGTTGAATGTGGTCGAATCACTCGAGGCTTTCGGCGAGGATGTTTTCAGTGAACAGGTTTCAAGATTATATTTGCATCTTTTAAAACAATAAAAAATTTGAGGTGATGATCATCGGGAAAAAGGCCGTCTCAGCCAAAAAGAGTCAATTCCCAAAAGAAATCCCGTCCTGGCAAACATTGCAAAGGTTTGTAAAAAGCACGTAAAATCTTAAAAACCCGTACTTTTTGTCTTAGAAAACGCTGAATTTTGCAAAAAATTTTGCTTTCTAATGGTTTTCAAATAGCAAGTTTGTACTTGTGTTATGAATAGAATGATGTTTTGAATATGAATCATGCTCTAGTTAAGATAGGTTTTGAAATACTCAGAGCTAGAAACTAGGAATGACAATAGGTTAAAACAAGACAGAAATTCTTTATAGGGTAATGATAGATTCTGTTTTCAGCAACTTTGTTAAATCAACGGTGACAGTGATCGAGGCGATCGCGAGGCCGATGTTCGACATGTGCGCCACACATATGGAATTGGCTTTTCTGTTGGGGATGACGCTTTGGGATTTGAAAGGTGCTTTTATCAATAATATAAATAAATAATGTCAACATCAATTCAGGCTTAGCCGTTTCCGAGTCGACGCTGCTGATCGCAGAGAGATTTCAGGCGCGACTGGCCGAGGAGATGCACGAGTATTACACGAACACGTGGAAAGTCCCATGCTATGCACCGAGACTTATTCAACTAATGGAAATATTGAGGGACAATGAGGTGAGTGGATCTCATTCTTGAGACAAATTGAATCCAATCTGCACACAAATCAGTTTTTAGAACCTGCAAAAAGAGCGAGCCGACCGTCTCTCCCTTCTCCAACTCTTCGACATTTTAAGTCTTGAGATCGGCGATCAATCGTTGATCGATCCATTGAGATGTTAATTTTTGTCAATTTTATTGAAAATATCATTCTTCTAGTCAACAAAAGTGTTACTTTCGATTCGATACACATAATTGATTTAACTTTGTCAATCATTTGAAGTACGGTTGTGATTTGTGAAGTCTGAAGGCAATCTGTCAAAGAAAGTAAGGATCTAGAGCTGATTTTTGCTTAAACAAGTGCACATAAAGGATCTGAATGTCGCTCCTTTTCACTTTATGAATTCCAAAATGGAAGCACCTTATACCAGGGCGGTTTGCCAGATGAAGAGCGATTACGCGGCGCGCGCAAAAAGAACACCTCGCCAGTCATTCATACAGGGATTTCTTTTCGCTTTGTAGATGGTATAAAAAGATATTCAGCTGTAAATTTGTGCCCGGGGAGTTTTGGGGTGTTCATTGATGTTCAATCGACTGAGAATGTTCATTTTACGGCATGTATTTAGCTTACCTTTTCATTCAAATTCTCCTAAAGCAAACTACTTGTCGAGCATTTAGTATTTGGTTTAGTTAGAATCGGTACTAACTTGGTTCCATCCATCAAACAACAAGAAATCGTTACCCCATAAAGATCCCCACAAAAGAAGAACGTAAGTTTGGCTAGGATTATCAGGCTGATTTGGGTAATTTTTATCATTTGCCAACTTTCATCAGAAAACATTCATCACATTTCTTCAATTTCGATCGGTCTATTTTGAAAATGAAAAGCAAAAGGAAAATGTGAAAGCAATGATTCAGAAAGACATTCATCCGAATGATGCATGTAAGAAATACATCGACAAGGGGAAACCGGGAAATTTACCGGGACACTCATTTCTTCATTTCATTTTGGTTTGATTGAATTTCATTTTTTTTAGAAGTTTCCCCTTTGAATCGATCTTGAAGGAAATTGATTTTTTGGGAATGTTTTAAGGTGAATCATTTCAAATGAAATTCGAATTTAGAAGAACTTTTTGAAGAGAAATGATTCGAGCGGAGAATTTCCGCGAAAGTAAGAAGAAATACAGAAAAGAAGAGGTGTGTGTTCTCCTTTAAAAATCTTTTCTTTGCGACTTAATTTTCTTTGTTATAGAAAATGAAAATCATGATTTCATGTCTCATATTGTCCCCCAAATACTGATAGTTTAAGTTACTAGCTTTAGACATTAGCCATTTAGACATTAGCAACAAGTAACAAAAAACATTTAGCTTGTAATCCCGGAAAGCCGAGTGATCCACTCGACATCGCCATCACTTCCCCGTCACTCACAAACGCATTTCTCTGACAAACGGCGAGTCTCGGCGATCTCCGGCGATATCTACTTTGACGTTTGTTTCTTTTGTAAAAACTAATCGTTTAATTTCTTTTCTATAGGCAAATCAACAAACGAATATCCCCCAAATGGCCTATCAAGTGGCATCAAAGCAGAACAAAGGTTTACCAAGTTATAAAGCTCAATGAAAAGATTTCTTTAGCTCGTCGAAGTTTAGAAGAATTCGAGAAACAAGCGAATCTCACAAAGAATCACAAAGATTTCGTCATGAGCATGTAAATTTATTTAAAAGTGTGCAATTTTCTATAAATATTCAGCTCTTCACGATGTCAGCCGACCATTGTTCCGATTAATCCACAGACGGGGAAACGAGTCGATGTGAATCCAGGAAATCCGGTACTTTAAAGAATCTCTTAAGGCTTTAGTAAGGCTTTAGTGAAGGCTTTCAATTTTTATGTTTTGACAATTAACACAAGACAATTGACATTAAAACACTGACTCTTTGAGCCTTTTCAGATAGAATCCCTTCATCTCCACGTTCCCATCTCGATTCCATTAGCCAATTCTCCGCCAGCTTCTCCGATTATTGTACGCAAAACACCAAATATTGCCTTATTTCAAAAGAGGTTTTTTTTTGATTTCTACTATTAATCAAATCAATCAATTTCAGAAATCGAGGAGACCAAGTGATTTCTGAGATTCGTCGTCTCTCTCAACCAAGCAATATTGCTCAAGTTGGTTTGCAGGGTGCAAGGGAAAACTTAAAGCTTTAGGGGTTGAATCGGATGAATTTAAACCTTCAAGGACCAGCCTCGAATATGAAAGCAGCAAGCTATAGTGACATTAATGTGGAATCAAGTTTGGTGAAGAATAAATCACATAAATTGCTTCAATTTAGATGAAACTCCACTGGAGAGATTCAACAAGGAGACACTCGTGATTGGGGAGGTTTGTTTCTTTTCCTTACTTTACTTTTTTAACATAGAATTGAGTAAAAATCATTTGGCTTGGCTTGGCCTGGAAATTTGCCTCTTTTGCCAACTCTGATCTTAATCCTAAAGTTCAGATTTGCGGTCAAAGTATGTCGGATATCTCGGGAGTTCGTCCGGTTTGCTGTGCTCGACGGGGATCCGTTATTCACAATCCATTGCCCGGTGAGATTTTTGGAAATCTAAACGTTGGCAGTACTGTTAATTATCATTAAGCCTGCTATACTTTTTTTTTTTAAAGCTTAGCCTTTTAGACCCTCAACCTTCATCAAATGGTGGCCGTCGACCGTCAATCTACGCTCAACTCGACGAATTCATCTCGAACTCTGCTCCGACCAGCGAGCCATTATATCGAACATTCACTGTACCGAAGGTAAATCTTGAGGAAAAATAAAACCAAATATCAGCAAGCATTTAGACAACTCAAAACTCGAAATCCTCAAAAAGAGACTCGATCGAGCTTCCCTCAATTACCCTCTCCGAACACGATCAATGACTGATCAATGACTGATCAATGACTGATCAATGATTTCAATCATATTTTTCACATAAATATTTATTTACTGTGTCAAACGTGAATATTTTGATCTTTTAACTTTAAATTTTACCTATACATGTGGAATTTTTTTGCGGAAAGAATGAAAGTTCTCGATTGGATCAGCTTAAGGTCAATTGGGATTAGATCTCCGGGTAACATTCACAAATAAACATTAAAAATGAGGCAATAAGACAAAATAGAGGTAAAACAAAGTATGGTTTATTGAATGAATATTGATTCATAAAGAAATTCCGAAACTGGCCAAACAAACTAAAGTTCGTAGCTAATGATTTTGATGATTTTGTTGTTGCTTACGCTAGAAAAATGGTCATTTTAATGAACTGATGGGAATTTTTGCCTTCAATTACCAATTTCAATTATAATTTCCGATTTTCTTAACCAATATTGACTTCTTTTTTTGTTGTTTGCTCTCTTTAATGGGGGTGGGACAAATGCGACCTTTTTTTTGCTGGAAAAGGCCTTAGGCAAGGCCGTAGAACTTCGAAAATATTTCCATATAAGGGAATCGTATGCGTAGATTCCGAATTTCGACAAATCAGACCTCGCTGACACGTCAAATTTGGGCTAAAAGGCAAAAACTGCGGAAAAGCGCTAAGTTGCGTAGTTTTTGCCTTTTGACGTGTCAGCGAGGTCTGATTTGTCAAAATTCTGAATCTACGCATACGATTCCCTTCTATCAAAACGTTTTCGAAGCTCTACGACTTTTCCTAAGGCCTTTTCCAGCAAAAAAAAGGTAGCATTTGTCCCCTCCACCTCTTTAATGCTTACTCGTGAATTTTTCGAAATTTCTTTATGAATCAATTCTCATTCTCAATAAACAATACTTTTTTACCTCTATTTTTGTCTTATTTCCTTATTTTTAATGTTTATTTGTGAATGTTTTTGTGAGATTTAAGCCCAATTGACCTATAAACTGTTGAGAAGAAATATTTTTCACTCAAAAACTTTTGACTTTCGCTTCACTTTATTTTATCATACCGTAAATACTGTAATAGTACCCCACCCCCATAATGACGGTGCGGAGTGTTGTGTAGCCTAGCTTTGAACGAGTTTTTCTCGACGCTGATTTATGCTACAATGCGCGCGTAGTTAACAAAAAATAGCTGAAATTCAGGGCTATTTTTTGATACCAAAGACGCATTTTTTGAAAGTACGGGCGCTTTGAAAGAAATGAAATACTAAAAAACTTTTGCGACTACGTGACTGTACGAGGGGGGTGGGGTCCAATTACAGTATTTACGGTAGTTAAGAGTAAGAGTTAGTTGCTTCAACTAACTCTTACTGGGTGGGGGGTGGGGTACTATTACTATTTACGGTATGTAATTAATCAATAATTTGTTTATTTTTGGTACTTTGAAAAGGCATTTAGCAATTATTGTCGAAGATAACGAGTCGAAGAATTACTTTTCAGATATCAACCTTTACTTGCTGTTGAACGGTTGGGGAAAGCTTTGTGCTAACACGACCGTATTTTAAGCATAGCGCAATCGTTAACCGTTTTTTATGAGAATTTCAAAGATAAACTAAACTATTCTAGGCATTCGATAGCGCTGAATCTCCTCTTGAAAACTAATACAATGTTAACTTTCTTTCTGCGAAATAAGCAACAAAAAAAAATCCTTAAAAACAAAAATAATCGTCCACCGATGAGCCGTACCGTCGTGAATGTGTTCAAGCGCTTTTGTTTGTTTGTTTGTTTGTTTGTTTGTTTGTTTGTTTGTTTGTTTGTTCATTCACATAAATATTTATTTCTTCATAATATGAATTATTATATTTATTGCATATTAAAGTTTTTTTTTCTAAATTTCTTCTTTTCATACGCGAAGAATTTCAAGGCGATTATTATAACAGATGCTGATCCAATCGGGGAATGCCGCTGACCAATGCACTTGGTTTACCTCAAATAGGAAAGTTTATTTCAAATTTGATGAATTAGTAAAAGATTTACAACTTTCAAGGATATTTTTTACTATTTTTTTAAAGCAATAAACCTCAGCCGCTGCTTGATAGGCCAAAATCGGGTCGTCGACGGGTCGGGGAAGCTCGTGAATGTCCCAGATCAAGGCTTGCGAATCGTCACCTGGAAAATAGCATCCTTGAATCTACCTCTGATGTTGCTTATCTAATTTAAAGCTTTATTTTATTGCTAAGTGTCGATTTGATTGTTTTTTCAATTTGAAACCCACCAGCCGTACATAGATGACAACTTGAGTGAGGTGCCCACGAGATTCCATTCACTGGGGCTCGATGATTTCTGAGACGAGCCACCGGAGTGCAAGGGACACGGGTATCCACACAGACAACCTAAAATAAATAGCAATGTCAACAAATAGCAATATCCATGTTTTTAGTCGTTTCACTGACCTCTGAAGAGTCCTTGGCAAACGTGCACAGATAGTTGTTGTCCTGTTTGTTCCAGCCGATTCGTAGGAGTGGTTGTTTCTAAAGAGAATATCGATTCAGGACAAAATCCTAAATGATTCAGGGATCAGGGATTCAGGGATCCAGGGTATCAGGGATCCAGGGCAGCTGAGATCCAGATCTATTGGGTTGGTGAATTGAAAACTGTCGGCTATTGTCATATGTGACAGTTTGAGGACTTTCTTCAAAAGAAACCCATTTTGGTGTCAATGGAAAAGTTGTAGAGAATCAAAAATCAAGCTTATATCCAAATTTTCAGAACGATTCAAAAACTGGTTTTCAAGAAATGCCAAATTTACAAATTTTCACAGAACTTGCATTTTAAGCGAAACTACCAAGTGTATCTTTTTGGAAATTTGGATATAAGCCTAATTTTTGATTCTCTACAACTTTTCTATTGACACCAAAATGGGTTTCTTTTGAAGAAAGTCCTCAAACTGGGACATCTCCAGTCCTCCATTTTTGAGTCTCACACTTGTCTCATACACAAACCAGAATCCTACTTCGAAAGAGGAAGCCGCAAATTGCCTGTAAAATGGGCAGAAGTCGTCAATAATAATGGAAACTATTTGGAATGAATTCATGGTTTTATGTTGAATAAATTTTAGTTCAAAGTCCCGCAGTTTTCAATTGACCAACCCAATAGATGTTTTTCAATGTATTCCACTCAAATCTGACTCATCCACATTACAGTTTTTCCCATCCACATTACATTACAGTAACGTAGTTTTTCCCCTGTTTTCCATCATTGTCGTCACAAGCGCGGATTTCCGGCTGAATCTCTCTACAAAGAGTTTTTCTTACTTACCCCCGCATCCTCATAAATGATTGTCGAGTGATCGAGGTGTCTCAAGTCGAACATTCGCACCGAGCCATCGTTACCTGAATTGTATGGATCAGGAGCCATTTTAGAACTTTTAGAACTTCATAACACTTATAACAAGCAGATAACTGAATTATGGGGTTTTGTTTAGCGAATCTAAGGTACAGTATCTCTGATGCGGCCCCAGTAGGCCGGAATGTCGAAAAGTATTTATGCTGATTAGCTTGATTAGTAGTCAGTGTTCGATCTTACTGTAATAAGACCGAATCCTAGTACTTTACAGTCCTCCAAACACCCAACTCACCAACTGACGCGAAAACATCTTTGCTGTGTCGACTAAACGCAATGTCAAATACCTCACTGTCGTGAGCGATCAACTAAACTTTTGCTTCGTTATCGAATTAATTTCTTTCTCTACCTGTGTCCTAACCGATCCATCGACTCGTCCATTTCTCGTCTGACCGATCACTTGACCTGTCTGAAAGAAAAATTCGATTGTTTTTCACTTTTCAACGCTCACCTCTAGCTGCCAAACGGTGCACGTTGTGTCGATGCTGCTTGTTCCGATCAAATTCAAATCAATCTGAAAGTTTGTTGATATTTCTATAGCTATTAAGCTAATTGTTTTAAAAATTAGTACCTCATTCCAATCAAAGCTTGTCAAAGGAGCACAGTATTCAGCTGTTCGATTTGTATTTAGGAGAGCTTCGAGAGTGGCTCCATCATCGCTTCCCAACTGAAAATGGTTTAAGTTTAAAAGAAAATCGAAAGAATGGTAATTCCTTACCCTCCATAATCTCAAATAATCTCCGGAAGTGGCGAGAAGATCGGGGAAAGTCCCTTTCGAGTCGGGGATCCACAGTAGTTTGGTGGCCGGATACGGGTGATCGAAAGTGGATCGAAGCATCAGTTCCGAGCAACTCTCATCCAATTGAACTATCGATACCTGAAACATTCTATTAAAGGTTTTATAAGCAGTTTTTTTAAAACCTTATTACTGTACTCTTCAATGAAGGAGCTGACAGCTAAACGAAATCGTTTATGCGGATCCATCGATGGACTCCAACAAGAAGAGAACAGCGGAAAAGGGGCATCGTAGCCTGAATTTTTCAATTAAAACTATGAAATTTGGGTTTTAGAAGCAAAAAAAAACAAGTAGTCAAGTAGTTTTCTAAAATTTTCACCATAAATCTCTTTCCGTTTATCCTCGCTTCCAATGGCGCCGGTTGGTTGTGATTGATCGGAGATGAAAGGGCCACTCGATGTGCCGAGTTCGCCAATCTAAAGCCAATGTTTCGTTAATTAAAATTTCAGCTAGATATTAATATCATATTATTTCCATTTACCATATAATTCTGTTGATCGGGGTGATGAGTGGGTGGTTGCATGTGGAGGTGATGTTGTTGAATTGGCGGGTATTGAGCCGAAAAACTGCCGGAGGAGACGATTTCAGAAGCTCTAGAAAAATAAAAATAGTAATGTATTTTTTGATCCCTTTCAAAATCTAGGGAATTTATTTTCGATTCAATTCAAGGGGTCAAAGCATTTGCACCTAGTTGTCAAAGTGATAAGGATAAAGAATTCAATTCTAATTTGCACCTACATACACCGTAAATACTGTAATAGTACCCCACCCCCATAATGACGGTGCCGAGTGTTGCGTAGTCTAGCTTTGAAGGTGTTTTTCTCGACACTGGTTTATGCTACAATGTGCGTTTATTTATCAAAAAATAGCCCTGAATTTCAGCTATTTTTTGATACCTAAGCGAGCATTCTAGCATATACCAATGTCGAGAAAAACTCGTTCAAAGCTAGACTACGCAACACTCCGCACCGTCATTATGGGAGTGGGTACTATTACAGTATTTACGGTATGTATATTGCGTTGACAAGAACAGTTTACACAATTTTGAACAACGAGAATTTCTTGCTAACCTATTAGGTTGAGGAAAAAGTAATGTCGGTTTTTGCCACAAAACTGTTTATTGCTAAAAACATAAACAAACGCACATCAATCAATGAGATATTCTCAATTATTATTGATGACTTGCTCCCATCTTTGTCGCAAATCCCTGATCCCATCCTCCAAAAAAATGGTGAGTTTTCGAGCCAAAATAAGTGTCGACTGCTTTTTTTGATCTGTGCATGATTCTCGAACTTTTCTCCCATAAGAAAACTTTTCAACGACCGAAACAAAAAATAATCTGATGGGGTCAGGTCCGGACTATAAGGTGCGTGGGGCAGAAGTTTCCAACCAAGCTCGTCGATTTTTTGGTGAGTGATTTTTGCAGTGTGAGGTTTTGCATTATCATGCAAAAATAGCACTTCTGATGTTTGAACGCCCAATTTCTTTAAAGCCTCATCAACTGTTTTGAATAAAGATCAGCGTTGACAGTTTCGAGTGGTAATGGTTGGATTGAGTTCAATGGCATCAAGCAAATCCTCATCTGAAATCTCTTGGGGTCGTCCAGACCGTTCTTCGTCTTGGGAATTTTTATTTCCATCTTTTAACCGCTGAAACCATATTTGGCATTGTCTTTCGCGAATGCTGTCTACTCCAAAAACTTCAATGATTGTCCGATGCGATTCAGCCGGGGATTTTCCTTGTTTAAAATCATACCACAAAGCGGCTCGAAGTCGAAACTTTTCCCCTTGCATTTTGTACCTGAAAATATTGTTAATTTTGTAAAAATTTGTAAAAGTCAAATATAATATGAAAGTATAGAGTGTCTAGCTGAAATCTATTTTAAAAAAATCGCATAAGAAATAACTCGAAAATCGCCAACAACGGGAATTCAAAACCGACATTACTTTTTCCTCAACCTAATAATAGCACAAATTGTTTACAGGGTTGTGCCAAAAAACCCGCCAGGCAAGAAGCAAGGGCAAGGCAAGGAAGGTGCCACTTGTCTTGCTCGGGTTTGCCTTAAAAAAATTCCGAAAGTAAGACAAGGCAAGAACAAAAATTCATTATTGATATTTGATTAAATGCTAATTGCGCAAAATAATGTTATTTTTTCTTTTATATTCCGAATATTCAGGTCTTTGACTGAATATCTTTACCGTCGCTTCTTTAAGTCAATAACGCATAACACGTTTTTCGCTGAAAATTTTTTAACAACTTTTCAAAAATTGTGGGGACAAATGCGACCTTTTTTTCCGCACCTTGCCCATTAGCGCACCTTTTTTCGCGTTTTAAAAAAGCCCTAAAAGCTAATATTAACCAATTTCTATTCCAAATGTTGTTTTTCTAGGTAATTTGAGGGTGTCGAATTCAAATTTTGACATAACAGAGCGTGTGGAACCAATTTGAAAGACAAAACGGCTAGATCAAATTACAGGAAATTGTCGATCTTTCTCTTTGTATAACTCCGTCCGTTTGTTTCCACAAGCTCTGATATGTCAAAATTTCGATTCTACGCCCTAAAATTACCTAGAAAAAACGGCTTTTGGAATAGAAATTGGTTAATATTAGCTTTTTAGAGCTTTTTTAAAACGCGAAAAAAGGTGCGCTAATGGGCAAGGTGCGCAAAAAAGGTGCGCAAAAAAAAGGTCGCATTTGTCCCACTCCCACAACTTTTCAAAAATTGTGCTTATTTTTCGTGTCATTGATATTTCACTTTTCTATAGTAATATTCATTAATATCTCGATTTGTCTATGCAATTTCAATAATTTCCCTCAAACCTTGATGTGCCGGGTGTCTGCGATCCGAGCGACGAAACACCCCATCCCGATGAAGAACCCTGTGATTGTTGATTCGAGTTTGCTGGTAGCATTTCTAGGAAACAATTCACAATTAGGTAAATTTGGATTACAAGATTGATATCAAGATATAAAATGGTTAAAAAAAACCAATTAAAATTTAAAATCGAACATAATAAAAATTTATTAAGGGAAAGAATAGCTGTACATGACACGAGATTAAGAGAAGAGTTGGTCAAAAACAAAAAAAAACAAAAAAACAAAAAACAAAAAGATTGAACGATTCACAACGAAATACGATTTTTTTTGCGAGATTCGAGATCAAATTTAAGAGAAATTAGAAGGGAAAATGTGGGATTTAAACCCTGAGAATTTCGAGAGTTTTGTTAAAGCAGATGCAGATCCAATTATTGTGAACTGAGCCCCAGTGAACTTGATTTACCTGAAATAGAGTTGTTAATCAATCGAATTTATGGATGTTTGTAGAAAAAAAACGGCCTTTAACTTTATGTATTAACAAGGCACAAGCTACAAGACACAAGCGACAAGCTACAAACTACAAGCTACAAACTACAAGTTCTAACAATAAGCATTGATCAAAGTCAATCTTGTACTTGAGTATCTTTTTATCATTTCTGGTGTACTTTTCCATTTAGAACACTCACCTCTCCTCCAGCCGAGTAGGCCAAAATTGGATCGTCGACTGGTCGGGGCATACATTGAACATCCCAGATGAGAGCCTGTTGGTCATCTCCTGTAATTGAAAGAGTTAAGAATTTCTCGACAGTTAAGAATTCCCGTAAGAATTTGTTTTACACAAACCCACCCGCTGTGCATATGTGTTGTCCCGAATGTGGCGCCCAGGCGATCCCATTCACCGCTCCTTGATGATTCTTCAGCCGAGCCATCGGTGAGCAAGGGATTCGCATGTCGATGATCACAACCTGAACAAGGCTTTGATTGAAGTTTTAACACTCAATAGCTATTCTATTCTATTCTATTTCAATTTGAACAAACCTCAGTCGAGTCCTGCGCAAAAGTGGCCAAATACTGTGTGCTCTGCTTGTTCCACGCCAATCGCATTAGTTGATTTTTGCCCGGATCTTCATAGACAATTGTCGAGTGTTCGAGATTTCTCAAGTCGAACATCCGAGCCGATCCGTCAGCTCCTAAAATGTGCATTGAAATCAATAACAGCTCAACAAAAAGCACGAACCTACAGTGGCGAAGATGTCCCTACCATTGTTGAGTTTGCTGAAGGCGATGTCGTGAACAGGCTAAATTTCGGTTCTTTTGGCTATCCTCATAACTATTTCTAGATTAATGCTTTACAAAATGTAAATGTATTATTTCTAAATCTCTTTCAAACCTTATCATGAGCGATCAGCTGTGTTTTCACCGTCCCGGAGACGGATGGCGGTGAGCCGATTTGGGCGATTGCTTGACCCGTCTAAAAACACAATTTCAAAACACGTTTAAACAATGGGATTTCGGTTTAAAAGGCCATAAGAATGGTTAGGTTTAATTTAATGATATTAAAAGACTAAAATCTAACCTCAATTTGCCAAATGGTGCAAGTTGTATCGATACTGCTCGTGCCGATGAGTGATGGGTCGATCTCATTCCAGTCAAAGTTCGTCAACGGAGCTGAGAATTGCGCGTTTTTGTTCTAAAATCAAATTTTAGATAAAATATTCATATAAATTTGTTTTCAAAACGAACATTTGACAAAGAGCACTCTTCAGTGACGAGGTTTTCCGGGGAAATTCTCCAAACTCTCAAAGCGTCCGCACTCGTCGCCAACAAATCCGGATAGTTGTTCAACTAAATAGTTAATACATAAAAGGATTTTATAAAAAGAGCTATTATATTATTAATAATATTAATAATAATATTAATAATATTAATAATAATATGTATAAATACTTTATTCAGAAAGAAATAAAGTGCGAAAACGACATGAAAAATGTACTAGATAAAAGATCACAAAGTCACTTAAAATGCGACGAAATAGCCCACATATTATTAATAATACTAATAATATTAATAAAATAATATTCAACTAACCGGATCCGGGATGAACTCGATATTGTTAGCAGGGAATTCGTGATTGAAATTCCCTCTTTCGATCAACTCCGCGCCTTCTTCGTTCAGTTGCACAATGGAGATCTGAATGATTAAATAGCTTGATCCCTTAGAGTTTTAGATTAAGATTTGTTATCTACCTTAATCTAAGCCTTACCCGATTCTGTTGTTCCCTTTCCACAATGCTTCCAACGGCTAATCGAAACCGAGTATCCTTTTTGCACGACCAAGCCGCCGAGAAGACCGGTTTACTCGAGTTATACCTGGAAAATAAAAGTATAAGTTTAGAAAAAACAAATTAATAAACTTCCCTTACCTATATATTTCCGATTTTCGAGGCGCTTGAGCAGCCTGTGCTCGAGGAGGCGTTCCGTTGACAACGGCCACCGACATTACCTAAAGTTAATCATATATAAAGGATATGCTAAATTTAAACTTAAATAAAAATAAGAATACAAAGTTTTAAATCGTATTAGTAAGTTATAAATGAGTTTTAAAGTGTTCGATTTCTCAAAGATAAGCATTTCGTCAATCAGAAACGTTATTTTTTTTGAATAGAACTGAAGAATAGGGAAGCTATTGGCTAAGAGAATTTGTAATTAGTTAAAGTAGACAAAAATTAAAGTAAAGAAGGCAATTCAGAAGTTGAACTGAGCAAAATGGAAAGATAGCTGGATTGGCGGAGAAGAAAATAACCCAAGAGTTGAACAATAGTTGATGGAAAAGTTTGGTGACCAAGATTGGACAGTATAAAGCTATTTAATAGAGTAACGGAAGTACGACAAAAGGGGGAAAAGACGAGAAGAAAGAAGAGAATCAATGGGCGGGGATGGTCAGGATGATGGGGGATTACACAGAAAAGAAGAGGGGAAGCGGAGAAGAGTGACCGGTAGAGCAAAGAGGAAACGAAAGGGGAATGCCTCGGGCACGCATTTCTCTTTCCTCTAGACACCCCTAGCAGCTACGAGACACTCCAATCAACGTATTGTCTATGTGTTCTAAATGTGGACATCCTTGTCTGTTTATTGAGTGTCTCTCCTTTTTTTTTTACCCCAGCTCACCCAATTCTACAAACAATTACTCGTTTGTATCAATTATTTGCGCTTATCAATTATCATTATGGATCCTCGTATGATAATTGATGAAAAGCCGCAAACAAGTTCGACTTTTGATCCATATGTAATCAAGTATGAAGCACTGAAAGCAAAATATTCCTATATTCAGGAGAGCAACAATTTGTTGAGGTTCGCTTCTTACTGGTTTAACTTTCATCATTGTAAAAGCTACAAAAGCTATCTGAAATCTGAAAGAACAAAACTGCTAACTTTATGGGAGTGGGACAAATGCGACCTTTTTTTTGCGCACCCGGACATTTGCGCACCTTGCCCATTAGCGCACCTTTTTTCGCGTTTTAAAAAAGCTAATATTAACCAATTTCTATTCCAAAAGCTGTTTTTTCTAGGTAATTTGAGGGTGTCAAATTCAAATTTTGACATATCAGAGCTTGTGGAAACAAACGGACGGAGTTATACAAAGAGAAAAATCGACAATTTTCTGTAATTTGATCTAGCCGTTTTGTCTTTCAAATTGGTTCCACAAGCTCTGTTATGTCAAAATTTGAATTTGACACCCTCAAATTACCTAGAAAACATTTGGAATAGAAATTGGTTAAGATTAGCTTTTAGGGCTTTTTTAAAACGCGAAAAAAGGTGCGCTAATGGGCTAAGTGCGGAAAAAAAGGTGCACAAATGTCCGGGTGCGCAAAAAAAAGGTTGCATTTGTCCCACTCCCAACTTTATGCTAACTTTTCGAGTCTTTCCCTTGAATGTTCCCGTTCAAAAAAAATAGAGAATCATTCAATTCAAATTTTTAGAAATCGTCTCTATCACGTAAAAAAGGAAATTGTTTATTTGGAGAGATTAAAGCGAGTTCTTTGCAATAAGCTTCTTGCAAGTAATGATGAATTTTTTGTTGCACAATTGGAGATACCAGATGATGAAGGTGAGTGATTAAAGTGAAAATAGAGAAAGCGTAGAAGTTCAGCGCTTCATTTACTGAATCTAACACTAGCTTTATACAAGCAAGAACAATTTTACGATACAAAACACTTTCCAATAGACTATTTTCCTCCTTTCATTTTCTAAAATGCATCTATTTGAGAAAAGTATCGTAGTCAAACCGTTAGTTTACATTCAATCCGTCCAATTTTGATATGATTCGATGAGAAATCAAAAGGCTCAGTCAAAAATCAAAAATCAGACTGATCGGATGTAAAATAACGGTTTAACTACAATACTTTTCTTAAATAGATGCATTTTCGAAAGCGCATTACTCGAGAACATTACTTTCAGGTGGCAGCAGTGAGGAGCAAATGAAGAAGCGAATGGTGCCACTCATTCAATCGATCACTCAACAAGAGAATCGATCCAAAGAAGTTGGGCACCCTTCACCAGCCAGACCACCAAGGAAGAGGAAACCGCCACCAATGAATCACGGGAACACTCAAATGCAATCCTTTCCATTATCCATTCCAATCTCGTCCACTCCCACCTCAGCCTCGTCGAGTGTTCCCCAATCGCCGCTAGCCGCCTCTTGTTCAACTCCACCGATTTTGTTTAACTCAGATCCTCAGTAAGGTTTTTTTTTGTGTTTATACAATTGCTGAATCAAGCTATCTTTATAATACAGTTTTTATAGCCATTTTGATTTATCTTGTTTTAATAATCAATCTACATTTGCATTCCAGGTTTAATGTTTTTTTAATGACCTTTTTTTGCATGTGTTTGACCGACTTTCGAACGGGTTTTATTCAAGAATTCATCATTTTATTGTTTTGCTTGTATTGGAACCGTATTGGATCTAAAAAGAACCGTATTGGAACCATATTGGAACCGTATTGGAACCGTATTGGATCTAAAAAGAACTGTGTTTTGCCCTTTCTCAATCAAATAAAATTATTTATTGCAATAAACAAGAGGAAATCACAGTCAGCGTTTGTTACACAAAAAAAGAAGTTTCTTTTGGGCAGTGAATGGTCGTGAATGAAAATAAGAATACACAATAAGAACACAGCTTTACTATACTCGATTGTATGCAGAACGAACGGAATTTGAGAGTAATTGGGGTTTCTTGTGGATTGTGTCGACAAGGGTGGCCTTGATCAGTGTGGTGCTCGTCGGTCGGACGCGAGTCTGAGACGGGTGAGAGATTATCAAGTTTAAAAATTAGGCGTCTCATTCAAGTTATTCCTTCGATTATTCACAATGAATTCAATAATTATAGTCATCTATACAATTTTGAGCTAAAGCCACTCTAGCTCAATCAACGCAAATGTCTTAACCGTAGAAATATCAATAATGATCTGAAAGCTGATATCTTACTCTTCTGCTTGAACAACTTGGGGGTAGGCTAATTTCCGCAATTATTTGCAATTATTTTGCGCAACAGGGTCATTTGCGCAACTGGGTCGTTACGCAAGTCGCCATAACTTTCTTCTAAGTCGGCCAATCTTTATGATTTTGGTTTCATTTTGTTGCACTTATTGAGATATACAAAATGAAACCAAAATCATAAAGATTGGCCGACTTAGAAGAAAGTTATGGCGACTTGCGTAAATGACCCAGTTGCGCGAAAAAAATTGCGGAAATTAGCCTACCCCACAACTTGAGCTCATTGCAACACTTGCGACCTTTTACCGAGAAAACCCTGGGTTGGCGCTTTAAAGCGTGGTAAAACTACCGTACCCCTCCTAATTTGCGCGAAATTTCATTTTTCATTCTTGTTCATGTCATTTTATTCTTTTTGCGTTTTTCTGATGTACTCGCATTTGTTTTTGCAGGAAACAAAGAGGATAAAACTAAGTTACGTTTTTAACAGCATTTTCTGTAGCGGAAGCTTTGTTTGTAGAGTTTTTTAGACCCACTTGCTTCCCGACGACCTGCTCCACGAACTTGATGCCAACTAATGTTAATTTAAGTGGTTTTTATCATTTTCTATGTTAAGTTAAGTGCTTTTCATCATTTTCTATGGCGGAAGCTTAGTTTTTGTGACTTTTTAGTTGAAAAAACGTTGAAAGACGCAAAAAAAATAAAATGAAATGAACAAGAATGAAAAAATTTCGCGCAAATTAAGTAGTTTTGCCACGCTTTAAAGCGCCAACTCAGGATTTTCTCGGAAAAAGGTCGCAAGTGATATAACTTGTCTGTTATCTATACTAACTACCGTCCGCTTCCTAATTTGCGCGAAATTTCATTTTTTTTCATTTTATTTTATTCTTTTTGCGTTTTTTTGATGTGCTCGCATTTGTTTTTGCAGGAAACAAAGAGGATAAAACTAAGTTACGTTTTTAACAGCATTTTCTGTAGCGGAAGCTTTGTTTGTAGAGTTTTTTTAGACCCACTTGCTTCCCGACGACCTGCTCCACGAACTTGATGCCAACTAATGTTAATTTAAGTGGTTTTTATCATTTTCTATGGTGGAAGCTTTGTTTTTGTGACTTTTTAGTTGAAAAAGTTTTGAAACGTTGAAAAAACAAAAAAGAATAAATGAAAAAAATGCAGTTTCGCGCAAATCGGTGGGTACGGTAGTTTTACCAAGCTTTAAAGCGCCAACCCAGGATTTTCTCGGAAAAAGGTCGCAAGCTCATTGCAACTTCTTTCAACTCACCGAGAACTTGTCATCTGGCCTCAAGATACCATACTTGACACCATCCCACAAATCCTCAACTAGATATCCACTTGATGATTTTAAACCGATATCCTTGAGGTAGAAAGAGACATCCTGAATGATTTTGGTTAAATAGATAACAGAAAATCTACGGTAATCGTGCTAAATTATAGGTAAATTAAATCACTTGAGCATAATTAGTGTTTCGATTGAAAACAGCGACGGCGTAGCTGTAACTTTGACCATCACCGGGGAGTACTTGCTTGGCGTAGACACCGATATCTGTTGTCTAAAGTCTAGTTAAACTTAATTCTAGATTAGGATTCTAGATATAGATTTAGAATCTAGAATCTAGAATCTAGAATCTATAGAGTTCTAGATAAAGATTCTAGATTTCGACTTGTTCATTCTTAAATGAACTCACGTTAGCGACAAGTCTTCCCATGATTCCAAGTGGATCTTGATTGATGGCAATCACGTCACGATTCTGGAGAATTTGGGCGAATTTCGGGGCAATTGTGCGCAGATCGTTTGACCTGTAAAATCCTTATGTTTTTGAAGTTTTACAGATTTGAAAATCTTTTCACAAACATGATCAACGGCGCACTCCAAATCGACCAGATGCTCATTTGTGTGATCGCCATGTCCTCGGTGATTCCACTGTTTCCAATCACCAACTGGAAGAGATTGGATTTGATTTGTTCAAATTCAAATCCCTTACCATATCCGGATCATGCCAATGCCCTGGTCCATGACTTGGGATATGTTTGTCTTGATTGTGATCATAGTAGTCAATGATTGATCGAATCGATCCCCATGATGAGTTGATGTCATCAAAGTTGCGCCACAAATTGCACGATTTACCGATTAATTTGTAGTCGACCTAGGGAAAAGAAGTTGAAATAGAGCTTACTGATGATCACTTCAAAATACTATAATAACTTTACAGTAACTTTCTACTTTCTCATAGTTTTTCACCTTTTCTGGATGATCGATCAGATAGGCAGGCCAGCTGCACGAGTAAACAATTTGACGTCCAGTAGCGTTCAACGCGCGCTCCATTTGAGCGTAACCTGAAGATTTTCACAAGTTTGATATGGACTCTAGCCGACAAACCAGCCGGCATTTTTTCCTCATCAATATTGCATCCATCGAGCTTCAAGTAATCGACATCCCACTCAGCAAACGTTTGTGCGTCTTTCTGAAAGCAGAAAGGGTAATGAATTTGATAAACGAGCTGTAGTTGTGCAGAACATAGAGCAAAACTATTAGGTTGTCCAGTTATAGGTATAGTTATAGGTTGTCCATTTATAAATGCGCGTTTTTAAGATAACAACTCTTTATTTTAAAACCAACAGTTTAACAGCTCAATCAACAATATATTCACCATTTGTTAACATTATTTGTTTCCATCTTCCATGCAAAGAATGAATTCCCTCCGCGTAAAAATTGGCTTGTTTTGAGGCAAAGAAGTCGGCTATCCATTTTTCGACCTCTTGAACTTCTTTGAACTTGTTTCCGGCCAAATGGCTTCGCATTGAGCGAAATAAATGGTAATCCGAAGGCGAAATATCCGGAGAATATGGCGGATGCGGGAGAGTTTCCCAGCCCAACTCTTCGAGTTTTTCCTGAACAATCTTTGCAACGTGTGGACGGGCGTTATCTTGAATGAACTTTATGTTTGAAGGATCAAGGCCTTTTTGTAGCAATATATTGTTCACTCGTTCCAATTGTTGTGCATACGTTTCACCCGTGATTGTTTGCCCAGGTTTCAGCAGCTCAAAATACCCAATGCCTTGGGAATTCCACCAGACAGTAAGCATTACTTTCTTGTCAAGGAAGTCGGGTTTTGGTGTTGGTATTGGCTCCACACCAGGTTCTAGCCATTGCCGTTTTCGTGTAGAATTATCATATTGAATCCATTTTTCATCGCAAGTAAGTATTTCATCGTAAAACCCAGTATTTTTTGCCAAACGAAGAAGAATACCCGCCATAGTGACACGAGTAGCTTTATCGGCATTGCTGAGAAGATGAGGAACCCATTTCCCTTGTCGGCTTGTTTTCCCCAATTGATTTAAATGCTCAGAAATGGTTTGAGGGCTTACTCTAAATATTTCTGCAAGTTCACGCGTCGTTTGTCGAGGATCCATTTCTATCGCCTGCTTCAGTACTGCATTATCGATCGCAGGAGGTCGTCGTTGGTGGTCTTCGTCTTCCAAAGATTCATTTCCTTCTCGAAATCGTTGAAACCATCGGCGACCGAAATAGCATCTTCGCCAAATACTCTGCAGAGATCTCGATGGGATTCAACGGCATTTTTGCCCAATTTGAAGTCATAACAAAGACTGGCACGATGACGAAACTTCGTCTCGGTCATTTAAACACAGAAATTAAATCAAAAATGAATTAGTTTAACGTCAAAAACACGAAAAGTTGTAATAAATAAGAAATCTTGAACAACATATAGAGAATAGGTTTTGATAAAATTGTATAGCCCTAAGGTACGCTGTTCAAGAGCAGGCGCGCATTCATAACTGGACAACCTAATATTTACCTCAACATATCCATAACTTCCTGGGAAACCACCGCACGTCTTTGTACCATAATCCTCATAGATACCGAAGTTGAGACCGCGATCGTGCATCTGAATTTGACTACTAAAAGCTGTTAGCGTTTCGTTTCTCTGTTTCTCTTGCTTTATCTCGGAAGCTTTATGCTTTATCTAAACGGTGATAATCTGATTGGCTTCAGAAAAATCAATGATTGTCTCAATTTTGGTCAATCTAGGCCCTCTGAAGTGCGGACTTGTAGTTTTTAGTCCGTTGAACTGTTTCTTGAATCGAGGTGGAGAGGGGTGAAAGAGAGAAAGGGGTTCTTTTCTCTTTCTTTGGTTGAATGGTTGAATGGTTGTGTGTATTGGGGGTCGCAGGGAATGGGGGAAAGGAAGGGGGTGAATTGACGCTGAAAGAGAAAAAAAGAAAAAGAGGAGAAGGGCAGCTGCCCCACTGAAGTGATGCCGCGACGCCTGTGTGTCGCCGTGCGCTGCGTGCCTGCTCTGGCTTCCCCACCGAGCAGCATCCAATCGAAAATAATCGAAAAAATACTATCTTGAGTATTCCTTTTCAACATCACTTCATTATCGGGCTTAATTGAGCTTCAGAAAGACACAATGATGCGAGTGGCCGAGGAATGTAAGTTCAAAGTAAAGTATTATTTAAATCTGAAAAATTGAGACTTGAAACTTGAAATATTGAAGTTGAAATAAAAACTATAAGAATCAGAGCTAGTTTTGATGAAAACTAGAAAGTTTACTATTAGATTTCACGAGTTTTTCTGTAGTTTTTCAACGTTAATACCGACATTGATTTTCTTTTATTTCAAGCTGAAACCAAAGCACTTTTATCAGGATATCTCTAGGGAAAACTTCTAAAAAAGCTAAAAAAGCTAAAAAAGCTAAAAAAAAATCGAAATTCCTTTAGTTAACCATCGCTTAAACCCAGCCAGTCGAGTGATGATTGACGCGATGAAGAGAACTTTCATTCAAATGATCGCCGCCTCACTACCTATTTGGAGTGCTTATGTGGTAAGATTTGAGAATATTTTATAAATAATCTGAGCTGATAAAGCTTTTTTCAAAGCTTATTACAAAAAGCAAAAAGACTCTTACTCTTAAAGAAAGAAAATCGAACTTAATTTCAGAACTCTGAAGATCGAAAATTTCGTGATTGGGCGGCAATCACCGCTAAGATGAATCAGTTCTTTCCTGAATGGAATTTCACCGGTGAAAAGGAAATTTTTGTCCTTAAAAATTCTTGTTTTTAAGTTGATCAATTGAAAGTTCAATGGAAAATTCTTCGAGATTCATATAAAAGAGAGAGGAATCGGTTGTTGGCTGATAAAACTCGAGTGAGTTGAGTGAAAGTCTAATTTGACGAGAGTCTAATTTGTCAACGAGAGTCTAATTTGTTATTTTAGGCTGTGAAATGGAAATTCTACAAAGATTTGAGCTTTTTAGAGGACTCTGGGATGTTTGTGTGAGTTTTAGAGAAAGAGAAAGAAAGAAAGTGCTCCGAATTTTCGCTTCAATGGTGGCTTGAGGATTTGAGAGATAAACTTTTAGGAGTAATGGGTGTGCTTGCTTTCTTTTAGAGTACTGTAGTTGACTAGTACTGTAGTTGACTAAATACAGTACTGTCGTAGAGTATCCAGCTTTTGACAAGCTTGTCAGACTAGTGCTGTTTTAGTGCTCCACCACCCGCGGGAATGGATCCAAGCTCGGAGTCGTGGATCACCGAACAACAAAAGTTGGCCACTCAGGCTTTGGAAAGGAGTAAAACGGCTAGTTCTATAAAGCCTGAAGATATTTGAATATAAATCAAAGATCTAAATAATCATTGTTAGATTTAGGTGGCCCAGACGCATTCCCATTTCCTCAATCCAGACATTCCACTTGAGTATCTGCCGGTGAGTTGATTAATCTACTACCAGCCGAAAAACCCGCCTAACGGGATGTTTTGGGGTGGTTTTGGGGCCTCCTCATTGTGTCGCCGTAGCCCAGTCGGTAGCGTTTTTCTCTACCAGGCACAAGGTCCGGGTTTGATTCCCCGATCTTTCACTGGAGCTTAGTCTTTTAAAGTTGTTTTAGCCAGCATAACTACAATATATTCTAAGGTTTTCGAAAGAAATTTTAGCTTTATTGGTCCAAAAATGGCTGTGACAAATGCCCGCACAGACAGAGCAACAGACAGACAGACAGACAAGCAGACAGACAAACAGACAGACAAACAGACAGACAGACAGACAAACAGACAGACAAACAGACAGACAGACAGTCACTGCTCTTTTATACATAGTAGATAAGTTGCCCATAGCCAAATATAATCTTATTTTATAATCGATTTGTGAATCTTTTAGGATCAAGACGCTCTTTCCGAAAATTCCCTCGAGCTTCTCAAAGAGAGCACAAATAGTCGAGGCCACGACTCGTCCACCGCTGATTTTCCTTTTCATCATTTATTTGAATCGTCGAATAATGGTTGGATTTAAGTTCTGACTATTCTAGCACAGGTTTTATTATACTGTAAACAGAATAAAATTTTAGCCTCAATTCCCTCTCCATCACGATCGCTCGATGAGGGAACAACTTCTCCTCTATCTTCACTTTTTGGGCAACACTTCAACAACTCTTTCCTGAATGGGGAAAAGACGGTAAGATTTTTGTTAATATCATTATTGATATCAGAATAATATTAAAATAAGAAAAGAATTCTTGAATTGACTGAACTAGTTCGTTAACTAATTAACTAACTTTAGCTAAACGCTTTCAATATCAACGGAAAGACAGAGCCATTATTCAACGCAAAGTCGATCAGAAAGAGGAACTTTGAAGGCTAGGAAAATTCGCTTTACATTTAAAAAGGCTTTTCAGATTCAAATCGAAAAGAAACGAGGATGGACAAATTTGAGTTGTTGGGACAAATGGTTACGCAAGTAAGTCGCAAGTAATTAAGATAACAGATCTAACAGATCTAGGCAATAGCTTAGAAACGCACGAGATTTGCCGAGATAATTAAAGCTTTCAGACATTACGCGAACTTTCTGCTGATGATGAGCTCCAAGTTGAGGAAGCCTATATCGATATTGAGGCTTCTTTGCACAAACTGAGAAAAGCCACACTCCAGAGGAAACAAAAACGGGAATTGTGAGTTGCCAGATATGAAACGGGAAATTTGAATGCCTTTTTTTATATATTGTGATTTGTTTTCAAAATAAACTCACATATTTCGCTAATGCTTTCATCCCAGATGGGAATCGGGTTCGATTTGCGATTAGTGTCCCCGTTTGATCTCTTGTCATTTCCATCCAACAATCATCGACATGAACATTCTTGTAGCCAGCTGCCGAATAGCCATCGTTTGCTGAAATTGAAACACGGGCACAGTTGATCTTACAGATTAAACAACAAAAGAAATCCTCTAGAAAACAAACCCATTCGATCAGCGATATCCATGTAAAGTTGCTCGTTGATGCACGCGTGCGGATTTCGTACACAATCCATTTCACAGTAAAAAGCCGTCCAACTCATCCAACCCATTGGTGGTGTTCTGAATGATCAACACTTTCACTTTTACTTTGAAACTGACTGACTGACTGACTGACTGGCTGACTGACCTGACTGACTGACTGACTGACTGACTGACCTGACTGACTGACTGACTGACCGACTGACTGACTGACTGACTGACTGACCGACTGACTGACCGACTGACTGACCGACTGACTGACCGACTGACTGACTGACTGACTGGCTGACTCACCTGACTGACTGACCGACTGACTAACTGACTAACTGACTGACCAACCGACTGACTAACTGACTGACTGACTTCCGTTTCCGTTTCCGTTTTGACTGTAAAAGTCAGAACGAAAACTAACTGAAATAAAACATATTTTACCCACCTTGCCAATCCATTGTCTAATCCAAATCCTCCACCAATCACTCCAAGCAAAAGAAACAGAGTTTTCATTTTTGGCACAAGTTGAATTCTGAAAAAAAAATTGTAGAAGTGTTGATCTTATTTCGGAAAAGTTGATCTCTTTCTGTTTGAAATTATTTTGAGAAATTTGAGAAGAAAAAAAAGAAAGAATTTCATGTAATCCGAAAATGATACTATCAGTAAACAAAAGTAAACAGAAAGAATGGAAAAGTTTCTGAAAAGAAGACAAAAAGAAGGCAAAAAGAAGACAAAAAGAGATCATTTCATTCTTGGTTAAGCCTTTGATCATTTCTCAGAAAAAAAAGGAGAATTCAGGTGTTTGCAAAAAAAAAATGGTGGTTGCTCAGAAAAATCACGGAAATAGTTTGTGTGGTCAGAATTGTTTATAAAATTTTTTGAAAACTTCAACACACCGACGGGCACCATAATAAACAAGGCTGTTTTAGAGGAAATGAGTCGAAAAGTTTTTCAAATAGTTGAAACTACTTGAAATCAGGCAGATCAAAACTTGTGCGTCGCTAGGACTCGAACTCAGGGCCTTCCGCTTGCCAGGCAACTTCGTTAACCATTACACCATACCGGGCATCGGCTGCCTCACTCCAGCGGGAGTTAACTAAGTAAAGAAGTCATTTTTGGGCAGGCCTAAGCCTGTGTAACTTAAATTCAAACGAAAACTTTGTATTGTTGAATAAATCTCAATGCTAAAGACAGACAGAAGGCAATTCATTTCTTGATGACTTCGCTGATTAACTTAACTTAACTCTGACTTAAAACTATCCAGTTTAGACTTACAGTTTTGCCTCAAAGCTATCTAGATTTGTCAAAAAGCTGGCTTTTAGAATGCCCAATAAAGATTGCAAAAGCTCAACTTTAAAACTATATAATGTGAAAAGAATTGGCTTTTTTTCCTTACTTTTTCAAATGACCATTTATTAGCCAGTGAAAAAAGCCGATTGATAAGCACTCAACAAACAAAAATGACCGTTTGAGAGACGAAAAAAGAGAGAAATTCTGCCAAATTTATATAGTTGTCTAGAATTGACAGAAAAAATGATTCAATTATAAATTGTAAAAAGATTTTGAAAAATGATTCAATAAAAGCTATTTCTATAAATCAATGGGGAATTTAATTTGAGACTTTTCATCAAAAAAAAATAAAAAAAGCCAAAGGAAACAATGAAATTGAATGGTTGGGAGAATGGTTGAATGAAAAAAAATATGAGATGATTGGGGGAAAGGGAAAAAATTTGGGTTTTTTTAGGTATTGGGAAATGATTTTCCTTTAGAAAATTTAGAATATATTTAGAAGGTACTTTAAGTAAAACAGATGATTCTAAGCTTAAAGAAGAGGATAAAGTTACATTAACTCAAACTCAAAGCTTACATTAACTCAAACTCAAAGCATACATTAACTCAAACTCAAAGCTTAAAGAAGAGGATAAAGTTACATTAACTAATAATGCCCCAATGTTTCTGTTTGATAGAGCAACTTCTATTGGGTTGGGGAGAATGAGTCGGCGCCAAAATTTAAAGAAACTTTTTGCACCCATAAAACCTTCTTTAAATACACGTTTTGTTTCATCAAAATGGTCGACTATTTCTTTACAAAATGGCTTTTGAGAGATTCCACAAAGCTTTTCTTTTTTGGGATTTTATGGATTCCCAAACACAGCTAATCAAAATGACAAAAAGTCCTCATTGCTTGAACAGTTTCTTCCACATAAACCTCCTTTGGTGTTTATATAAAAAAGATAGAGCACACTCAATTACATAAGTTACCAAATTTTCAGGAAGATCCCTCCAACTGTTTACTCTAGATGACAGTTTATCGATTTTGTGAAAAAATGATCCTTTGTTGAGTTGAGGCGCTGTTTGAGTTCTCTTTTAAATATTATTTTGTAGAGAATTAGTTACCCTTCTACGGATATCAAACGCATATCATTTGACAAAGTCTGCTATAAGTTTTAGAAATTTCTTTGATTTTCGACGCCGACTCATTCTCCCCAACCCAATAGCTTGAATGGAAGTCAAATTGAAAACGTTAGAGATCCAGGAAGAGAAAGCTTAATGAAAGGAATTTGAAGTTATTCTTCAAATTTAAATAAATAAAATACATTCGGATGGATTTTTGTTCAACATCATTGGATAGTAAAATTGAAAAATATACTAAAATAAGAGGTGGAAATGTAACATTTTGTATTCCATTAATAGCAAAAGCCAAAGGAAACAATGAAATTGAATGGTTGGGAGAATGGTTGAATGCAAAAAAAATATGAGATGATTGGGGGAAAGGGGAAAAATTTGGGTTTTTTAGGCATTGAGAAATGATTTTCCTTTAGAAAATCAAGAATCACTTCTGAAATCTCACATAAACAAAGGGATTTTGCTGGGTTGAGATAAGGAAAAGCCGGGTAAAGTTTATTCCTTTCAAGTTCTCTAAATGATTGTAAACAAAGCGTAAAGCATAACGTGTAAGTTCATTTATCTTGTCGCTTTATCATATCCAATTCTATTTGTTCAAGTCGTCGTAGCCGATCGGATATGAGTCTTGTCTTCTAGTCGGGGGGTGAAGGGTTCGATTCTGGGAGCTAGAAAGATTGATTCTCTGGGTTACTGGGTTTTTTTGCTTAACAACATTTGGGTAATAGGGGTAGGGATAAAACTTTCCTCCGTTGTGTTGTAATTCATTATTCGTGTCAAATAAATATACTCTTCTAGATTCAATTCCAACAATTGCCAAACTTCCCATTGGTATTTCATTGTCAAATTGCTAATTTCATAGTACTTGAATTAGAAAATGCATCAAAATGCATCAAAATGCATCAAAATCTTCGCATAAAGCTTTAAGATTAATAGATTCATTTCTGATTTTAAAACATTGACTTGCTAAAAACTCTTTAGATTGAGCTCGAGATTTTCCCTGTTTTCTGGCAGCTTCCATGAAATTATCGTGTCCTTTGTGCACTTAGACGCTCGCCATTTGGTACACGATTCCCTCAAAAAAGGACAATGAACAATGATGCAAAACAGATTACTTTATTGAATATTTTGATAACTCAATAGGTAACAAGTATTTTTATATTCCACTATATAAATTTATTTAGTCAACTTATAGATTGTAGCTTTAAAGAGATAAATAGCCAAGCCGAGCCGAGCCGACTAGCCAAGCCAAGCATAGACAAGCCAAGCATACCCAAGCCAAGCATAGACAAGCCAAGCATAGACAAGCCAAGCATACCCAAGCCAAGCATAGACAAGCCAAGCATAGCCAAGCCAAGCATAGACAAGCCAAGCATAGCCAAGCCAAGCATAGACAAGCCAAGCATAGCCAAGCCGACTCATCGCACTCATCAAATAAGAACTCCCAGATGTGGAGATTTGTGTTCAATTGTAGGGTAAAGAATAAATAAGAATAAATTGCTTTGAAGTTCAAGAAAAACCCAGATCACTGAAAGTGACTTGAAATGAGCAACCGTGAAAGAAGTATCGCTTTAAAAAGTCGAAAGTCATTGTGAAGCAAAGTCAGCTTTTTGTTGATTATCGATGGAGTTAGAGGGATTGATGTCGCTTGCAATGGGTGTTTTTTTAGTTTGCTTTTTTATTGTAGTCTACATCTATAGTCTAAAAACAGCTAAAAACAGTTTAGAATTGTAGTAAATTGAGCTGTATAGACAGTAATAAAGATATGAATTAGGTGGATCACTGTACAATACAATACAGTATCTAATCGTATCGTAAAAGTACAGTAGATCTTTACTATAGTAGCTACATAATATTATCAGGATTTCAGGTAGAAAGCTGTCAAGTGAACCACATTTAAATGGAGAAAAATGGAGAAGTTGCTTGCACTTCAAGCACTTCAGTTTGCACTTCAATTTCAAGAAGAAACTGAAAGATCAGAAGGTTTTTATGGCATTGAAATGCAAAGAGAAAAGGAATTGAAATTGATGAATTGAAATTGATGAATTGAAATTGATAAATTAAAAATGAATCAGAGCAGACAATTTATTAAACAAAAATTCACATAAGCACACAAACTTTCGTCTTGAGACGGGGATCTTTCCGGATTGCGTCACAGCGACAATCGACGTTTTCCTCTTGATCTTGCTAGAAGTTAAAAGTCTAGAAGTCTTACAGAATATTTCTAAACTTTACCTCAGCTTCTTGTTTCTTTCGTTCTTGTGCCTTTTCTTTTGCCTAAACTTTTTTTTTCATTCAAATTTCCCCCGTCTTCCAAACCGTTGTCATTTTTAAGCCCAATCTTGCTTGATTGTCCATCAATTTTCTCGTCATCTCTTCCTTTTTCTTGCGTTTACTTTTCGATTGCATTGCCTGGAACGAGTTTTGAAAAGGTAATTGTCTAGAAAAAGTCTAGAAAAAGTCTAGAAAAAGTCTAGAAAAAGTCTAGATAAAGTCTAGAAAAAAGTCTAGATAAAGTCTAGATAAAGTCTAGAAAAAGTCTAGCAAAAAGTCTAGAAAAAGTCTAGAAAAAGTCTAGAAAAAGCTTTCTTACCGCTAAAGCTTTTTTCGAGTTCTGTGCGAGTTCTTCAAGTAATTCATCGTCACTATCCTTGAATGGATGTTCAATGACTGGATTTGATGGATCTTTATGAGTCAAATTGAGTCGATAAATCTGTTCAAGAGCATTGTCGGGCACTACCTGGAAAAAGGATATTTTTTAAATGACAATCTTTACCATTAAAGTTTTAGGCAAAGGTTCCAAAATTGTCTAGATTACTTTATCAACTGGTTCCGCGCCGAAAGAGTTCTCAAGATCACTTTGGTGATCTTTAGTGGGTGAGGAGAGGCTCCCAATCTGGAATTCGAAAAAAATATAGAAATCTTGAAACAGAAAGGCTTATTATTAGTATTATTAGTATTATTAGCATTATTTTACCTTAAGATTATCTAAAAAACGAACCGATATCGAATCAACAGTCACCAAGAGATTCGTCGTCGACCCCACCTCCGAATTATTCATTTCCGATTTTTCTGAAGATATTTTCAAAGCTCAAATTAAATTCGAAGAATTAAATGAACAAACCGATAGCCTTTTCTTCCAAATCGTCTTCTAAAGCATCAGAGAGCTGAAAAATGAAAGTCGAGCGTCATTCTTTGAAACAAACCCGATCTTGTCCGACTCGTACAACACTGTCAATGGATTTTAGCGAATCCGATTGTGATGCTGAGCCACTAAAATATTAAATATCTTTTAAATATCCTCAAAATTAGAAAGATATTTGAAATCTGAGCATTTGCAGTAAACTTTTACCTGAACAGTGACTGTTTACTTGCTTGTCTTGATCCAGCAAGGCTCTGCTCGGTGTCGGTTTTTGTAACAAATCTAAGATTTTCATATTTTAACAGAAAATAACAATGATAAGAAATAATTAATTGTAAATTTAAGCTTTCAGCTAACTTTCTGAAAAACTGTTGATTCTCTGGATGATTTGAGTCGATCTCGGTTGTTTCATCGATTTTAGATAAATCAGATTCCATTACAGAGATTCAACAAATGATAAAAGTCTCAAAATATGAAGAGAATGTGATTCGGAGTCACAAATATAATATTAGAAGTGACTTACTGAGCTTTTTGTAGAGAGATTCAGCCGGAAATCCGCGCTTGTGACGACAATGATGGAAAAGAGGCGAAAAACTACGTTACTGTAATGTGGATGAGTCAGATTTGAGTGGAAAAACATTGAAAAGCATCTAGTTTTCAATCAAATTTATTAGATTTATTAGATTTATTAGATTTATCAAAGTTTATCCGGAAAAAAATTGTATTTAATTCAAAAGCTACTAACAGATTACAGTAGTTTTTCCAAGTTATTCACTTTTTAGTAAAAAAGGACTACGATTATTAGTTTTAAAAAGAAGATGATATTTGTTAAAATTAAGATTACTTTATTGATCAAAAGCAAGACAGAAAAAGTGTATTCAGCAAAATATTTCCATTTTCTTTACTTTCAAGGGAGAATCACTTGAAAACACGCAAACTTCAAGGGAAATTCCTTTGAATTTTTGATGAAATGAAGTCAACCAAAGAATCCATTAATTTTCAAAAAAATGCCTAAAAACTATATAAAATCTTGTTTACTTAAAAAAGCTTTTGAGTACTCGAGCAAATTTGAATTTTGCGATCATCGGATAATGCGAATCGGAAGCGTTTTCTTTGAGAGAGCTCCATATGGATTATCTAAAATAATACCCGAATTGGGATCGATTCTCCTAGGTTTCTACTAAAAAATACAGCTGGATTTGAGGCGGGGGTTGGTCCAGGGAATTCGGGCATGGCATGACACCGAGAGCGCCGGCGCGCCATTCCTTTCCTTTCCCATTCCTTTCCACTCGGAAAAGGGAAGCACCTTATCCCAGCCCGGTTTGCCAGATGAAGAGCGATTGCCCGGCCGCACATAGAACACCTCGTCAGTCACAGGATTCTTCTTTTTCTCTGTGATCTTACAAAATGAATATTCAGCTGTAAATTTATACCCTAGAGTTTTCGGGGTCGAGCAATCGATTGGAGTTATTGATTTTATTCTCTTTAGTCTGCCAATAGAAACTCGGACTTGATTTTTCTACACTTTTCCCTTTTTCCCAACAATAATACGTCTCAAACTTTATCCGATTTTTAATATACAAAGAAGATTTGTTTTACCATTGTTTACAACAAAATGTTCTCCTTAACCAGTCAAAATCTTTTCGCAGTCTTTCGATTAACATTTCGATGTTCATAAACGCTGAAATCTTTATATGAATGGGGAAGACATGAACTCTTTCAAAAGAAATGATATAAAGGAAAGTGAAAAGAAAAGAATCAAATGAATCTTCTTCAAGAATATTCTTCTCAAATAAAATGAAATTCCTTTGAGGTGTTCAAAGAAAATATACAAAAATTGAGTTCGATTGGGCTCATTTTTGTTATATTCTTCCAAAGCTAGTATTTTATTGGTACTCAATGCATTTTGCGCGGCTTCACTTTGTGAAGCTGAAAGTGATATTGAAATTCAGAATTGCCGAGTGCAAGCATTGAAACATCACAGCATTTCCGAGTATCTAAACGTTAACTCAAACATTTATGTAACTGTATTTAAACTAAACTATAGATAAACTATAGTAAATTGTGACCAGATTTTCTTATATTTAGGAGACTCGAGGGCAAATGTCGCCAAGTAGAACACAGTCAAAGAGTTTCCTTCATGTCAGCAGCTACAGGATGTCCCCAAATCTAGACTGAAATCAAAAAAATTCTAGATGATTTCATCAATTCGTCACTAAGCGATTTCACAAAGAGTTCCGTTGAGAGATGGGCAAACGAGTGGATCACGAGTGCCTATTGAGAGTGTAGCGAATAAAGTGCTTGCAAATCCATTAAAAAATTTAGGTGACTGTCTCGATTCCTGATCAATTCATAAAAAGTGTATTGTCTGGAAGATCACCAGGTGATGAGAGAATAAATGGAAACAGCAAAGAAATCAAGGAATAATTCTAGGTAAGACTCTTTCAAGACCATTTTCAGAAACATGTTTTTGTCCACATGAACTTTAAATTTAATTTTAAGTTCAAATATACAATGCAATTTCAGAAATGATTCACATAGTTAACTTTCGGATTGTATAGTTTTTGCATTTTTTGTTTCAAAAACCTGAATCGCATTTTAAAATGATTTATTTTTTTTGACCCAAACAATATGATAACACTAAAAGTTGCGAGAAGACTACAAAATTAGTGAAAAAATGTGACTCAAGAGATAAAAAAAGGAGAGATTGGTCTATGTACAATACCAGTCAAAAATTACCATAAAATGAGAACTAATGGCTTAAAAATGACGGGAAATTAGGGCTGGATCATTTTAGAAAAAGAAAAAGCAACAACAAAACCGTTTAAAAAGAGCAAAATTTAATGAAAAATTGGGTTTTGTTGTCACACGGATTGTATTTGACATAAAAAATTGGGGCATTTAAGTATGAGAGGGAAATGTTTATAAATGCTCACTAGATTTGTTGGAAACTGAGATTTTTCGAGAAAATTGATGAGAGAAAAGCTTAGAGGAAATTTCAGGTTTTAGCAATTCAACTAGGAAAAGATAAATGCAAATTCTAATTTCTAAACTATCCTGAACCCTCAAAACCTTTCAAGAGGTATAAAAAATTGATTCTTACAAAAGCGCTCAATTTTTTCTATACAAATTTGTGCAAAAGGTGGTCGCCCGCGAAAACACACACACGTAAAAAAGCGAGAAAAGCTGGAAACGGCAAAAATTACGGCTAAATAAGTACACTTTACCGTCGGCTTTATGAGAATTTAAAAAGTTCTACGAAAAATTCAAAAAAAGAGATCTTTATCTCCACGAAAATTACGCGCTGAAGTGCAAAAGAGTACTAGAAAATCGATGCAAAACCCTAGAAGGTATTGATAACATAAGCTAGCTATAAGGGTTACTTATTAGATGTAATGCACTTCGGTGATTTCACCCATTCCTTTGGTTCGCCCTTGACGGAGGATCAACGGAGTGCCGACGCGGAGAGCCTAAAGATACATTCATTTCTTATTTGGATAGAACTGGTTAGGTTGCAGATCAGCCCTAGCTCTGATCTGTCCTGACCAGTATATAGATTAGATATAGCTTGAAGTAGATTAGATCTAGCCAAAGCTGACCCAGTGATTCAACCATTCCTTACAGTTAGGCCAGATCCTGTTAAATGGACCTGTTAACCTATGATCATATCGATATTCTACAAGTGTCTAGCTAGTTTAAGACAGTTTAAGTTTTCCTATTGTCGCAACTAATCGTTTTTAGTTCAATTTACCTCAGAATTGTTGAGGAACTCGAAACGAGCAATGGTCCATTGTCCGGGCACAAGCGACGTGTTTTCCACATCCAACAGTTTCACCGTCTGACACACCGATCCAATGTAGACTGAAACAATGAAGATAAAATGATTAACTAGTGATTGAACTAACCAGTTGCCTGGAATCCGATGCAAATCTCCGATGTAGTGTGATAGAGAAGAAGGATGTTGGCCGAGAAACGGAGACACGCCTTGGCACAGTTGAGCGGAGATTGCAGGATCATGCCCTGAAGGTAAACAAATAGTTTTAAAAGCATAATTAACATATTTTTACAATATTTAAAGTATGAACGTACCCTTCGAAGCGGGATCTCCATTCCACCAAATCGAACAGCAATCGAAGCGGCTTGACCAGGCAAAATTGTGCGCACAGGCTGACGGGATCGTCGGATCGAAGTGATCTCGGCAAGATGGAAACTAGAATTGGTAATTAAGTTTTGAATGCAACCACTTTGAACCGTAAATAGTACATTCAAGGAAAACACTCACTTTCCGTTCTTCGTTGGCCCAATCACTACTTTATCTCCCTCAGTCACTCGTCCCTCTGAAAGCATTCCACACGCAACCGTTCCCACCTAAAAGATATTTGCTTGATAATTGTGGAATGAAATAATCTATAGAAATTCTAGTCTAGAAGTACTCCAGAAATTCAACTTACATGTGCCACTTGGTAGACTTCCTCAATGGTGAAAAGAGCCTCTCGGTTCGCCAGCTCGTTCATCTTTGCATCATTCACAATGTTCGCCGGGAGACAATTCAAGAAGGTGCGCAGGACCTAGAAAAATAACATTTAATATTATATTACTTTAAAACTTACTTTATGCCCTTCCCCGGTAACACACGAGATACTGAGCACTGGCACAATTCTTTTGACTGTCATTTCGGTGCATGCTCTGAAATATTTAGCATAAAGCTGAGCAAACACAAGAAGAACTTGAATGAATAATGTAGTTTATGAATTAGTTCAGCATAAATTTTATTATTAAAGGTTTAGAAAAGTTTTTTGCACATAAAACCCTTACCTAACTGCATCCCTTTTCGTCTTGACCCTCTTCAATCCCTCGTGAATCCCGGCTCGACCCATCAACTTGAGGATTTGTTGGTAGACACTAGATAAAAAAGTTTGCTGGTTTTGTGATTTCAAACTCACGTGTCCAATTGTTGCTTGTCAACGCAATCCTTTTTTGTGAGAATGACAAAAACGGGAATCGATAGCGCTCTAGCCAATCCAAGATGTTCACGCGTCGCGGCGGTGGGTCCCGTCTCGGCGGAGATCAATCTAAAATTGGAGATATTTACAAGCTCAGCCAGGATAAGGTTCTGATGTATTAGCGATTGGCTAATTTTCTGTAGGAAACTTTTACAAAGCTTTAGTTTAATGCAAATACTCACAAGCAACTGTAGTGTGGATTGTAGCCGGAAAGTCCTTGAATCGTTGTCCCAAGATATTTGATGTCTCCAGCCAAATCGATCAGAGTGACGAGTTTTGTCGATTTCTCTACAACCTCTTCCAACGAATTGCGCGCATAGTTGACAAGCTGAATTTAGCAATTACTAAACTGGATCAGAAATTTTAGTCCATTACCTTTCCACGAGCATCGAAACCGATCACATCAAGGCAAATTGAGCTCGTTTTTCCCGAGTTGAGCTCATGGAGATATCTGAAAGAAGTAAGAATATTTGAAGTTTTTAAACCGTTAAGCTTTTCATTACCTAAACAAATTTTGCCTCTTGCTTCCATGTCCATCGTCGAATCCTCCTTGAGTGAGCACGCCACACATTGTTGACTTGCCGACATCGCAGCCGCCAAGTATTGCCAATCTAAGTAAGTAAATAGTATGCTGATATCCGAAAAATCTTATAGTTTATCTTCGACAATGAAATCTTTACCTCAACTCAATGAATTGTTGATTCTCAGGCACCCTGCGAACTAACACCTCAACGGCGCTGCGACGGATGGACGAACCGCGTGGAGTGACATCTCTCTCGGTGACCTAAAGTCAAAAGTTTGTTCTTTATTCAGTTCAGGAACTAGTTTACAATGTTTTCTTTAAAACCAACCACAACAACACTCGCATCAATTGCATTTGCCATCGATTTCAGCGTGTGCAAAGAGGCGGCCATCTCCTCGTCGGTGAGCCCAGAAACGGCTCCGTTATCCTCGACGCCGACCTGGGAAAATGGGAAATATTTTACTGTTGAGATCACTGTACCTCATAAATAGCTTCTCCTTGTCCCTCGCGCAGTCTCCATTTCATTTGCGTGATCAGATGTTGTAGGCGGGAGCTCGAGGGATTCACGAGTTTTGCTTTGTACTCGACATTTCCCAGCTCCATCTCTGGTGGCAATCGTTCTAGTATTTGCCCGTCATCCTCCGCCATAAGACCCGAGTGTTCACGATTCCTGAAATATCGGCTTTTGTTAACGTTTACGTCAAAAGTCGTACCTAGATGTGTGAAGCACTTGCGTGACATTCTCCTGACAAAACTCCGATATCATGAAATCCATTGTTGCGTGTTTTTTTGTTAAGCGATTGATTGTCGTTATAATATCCGAAATAATCGATATATTCGTATCAGCATTTAAGTCTGAAAATCGATAAATTAGAGCTTGAAGCTTTAGAAGAAAATAAAAGCAAATGAAAAAATGAAAAAAGAAAAAGCAAATAAAGTTCTGAAAATTTGAGTAAGCAAAACAAGGTCAAAGTGGTGTCAACGATTGGATTAACTCAAAAACTCAGAAGCAAATACACTTTTGAAAAGTTTAGGCAATCAAAACAAGGCCAAAGTGGTGTCACAATAGACTGGTTTGAAAACAATTAGGTCAATAACAATATTCTTCGAAAAACAAGGAAAAATGGCTGAGTTGGAGGATGGCATTGACTGGGAGTGGAAAGGGAAAAGTGTGAGTGACAGGGGAAATGGAAAAGAGCTGAAAAGGGGAAAGAGGGAAATAGATTGCCCCGGAAAACGCGGGGAAATCTCTGCGGCACACAGCAAAAGAGAGCTAACGAAGCTGGCAATCGGCTGACCGACCGGCGAAAAAAAATCCATTTCTCGATCCTCAAATTGCAGCAAAACCGTTTCGAATTTCGGCTAAACGCGGAGAAAAAAATTTCTGTGAACACTTGAAATCTTTTTTTTCTTCTTCTTTGCTCCGTTTTTCTGTCAGCAAATAAACCAGCCGAGTTGTTGGTAAACTTTTTGCGTGAATAGGTGAAAGGATGAAAGAGTTGGCGGTGATTTTGTATTGATTCGGAAAGATGGGAATTTTGAACGAAAATCGAAACATCGTGATTCAAAAGCAGATTGAATAAGCAAGATGTTTTGAATGAATTTGTATCGATTTGGGAGAAGAGACACTTTTTGACATGAATTTAATTTAATTTAATTTAATTTAATTAATCATCATCTCTTTATTTCTTTCAATCACTTAAGATCCTTTTCCCAGCACAACGGACAGGAGCAGCGTGGCGCAGTGGAAGCGTGCTGGGCCCATAACCCAGAGGTCGATGGATCGAAACCATCCGCTGCTAATCTCATTTTGATCTTGTTTGAAACGTTGAAACGCAAGGGAAAGTTATAAGTTATTCTATGGATCACATTTGAAAGATGGATGTAGGAAATCCATCATTCGAGTTACGTCATTACGAAGTGTTATGTTTTTAAAAATTAGAGCAGTGCCTCGCTTCTGTTCTAAGAACAACTTTGCTTGGACGAATCTTATTTGGTTTTAAATTGAATTAAAATCTAAAATCTTGTACTGAAAAGAAAAAGAATTGCTAGAAACAGGATTGCTGAAGTCATTCTAAAACAATGCCTCGACAAGTATAGCTTGGCAAGTAAGGAGCAAAGAGCTAGAGCTTCAACTTGCCAAAAGTAAAGTAAAAGTTAAAAACTTTAATTTTTATAAGGATTAAAAACGTTTAAAAGCCAAAACAGTAAGAGAAAAGATCTTTTAAATACTTGTTACCAAGGAAGAATGGAATGTGAGAAGGGAGAAGGGAAAAAGGGAGCCTAACAACAAGAATGGGAAAGGGGAAGGAATGGTTGCACAACGTTGTTCAATTCTGATGTAGCAATTTGATAAATAGTGCCTTTATATTGCTATCATTGGTTCAGGTTATGAAAAGGGAAAGAAAATACTTTTCCTTACATCAGGGAATATCTTACTGATTAGGAAAATGTTCGAATTTTGTCGAAAACAGGTCACAAAGGGTTCCAAAAGACCGATTTGGCTCCAGATCCTGGTGAGCAAATTTTACCCACTTTTGCATCATCAAATTGCCTATAGGTAAAAGATTTGATTTGGAGGCCAGATTGGGTGAGTATGATGCAATCCGTTCGTTCCATTATTGAAAAAAAAAACCCGTTTCAATCGGGATGAGTAATATTATTTTCGTATTGTTTACCCGCTTTGATACGCCTTTTTTGGGGATTGGGGTTTTCTGGAGAAGTGATAACGATCAATGCCAAGCCGTGAAGAGAAATGACCATATTTTTGGGAAAAATGAAGATTTTATAAGGAATGACAAGTCTTGAAGGGTGTTGGGTAAGATTTTAGGGGATTCCTCATTATATGACTTGATTAAGTGAGTTTAAATTGCATTTTGAATACAGTATAATTATAATAGATTACTGTAGATAAGTTTTGTCTGTCTGTGCTTCGGGATACGGTCGCCTGTAATAACGCTGAAGTAGTTTTAAAAATCTCATACGTCTCAAGAACAGCAATGAACTTTGTTATTTAATTGTTTTGCTGGGGGTGGGACAAATGCGATCTTTTTTTTTGCGCACCTGGACATTTGCGCACCTTTTTTTTGCTGGAAAAGGCCTTAGGAAAGGTCGTAGAGCTTCAAAAATGTTTTCATAGAAGGGAATCGTATGCGTACATTCAGAATTTTGACAAATCAAACCTCGCTGACACGTCAAATTTGGGCTAAAAGGCAAAAACTACGCAACTTAACGCTTTTCCGCAGCTTTTGCCTTTTAGCCCAAATTTGACGTGTCAGCGAGGTCTGATTTGTCAAAATTCTGATTGTACGCATACGATTCCCTTACATGGAAATATTTTCGAAGCTCTACGGCCTTGCCTAAGGCCTTTTCCAGCAAAAAAAAAGGTGCGCAAATGTCCAGGTGCGCAAAAAAGGTAGCATTTGTCCTACCCCCGTTTTGCTATTTAATCATTTTGATTTAGTTCGATTATTGTATTCATTTTGGATCTACAATCTACATCTACAACTTTTTTTTTTACAGATCATTACAATGATGATAGGAGAACAGAAGAGCAACATATCGAATTGCAATTGAAAAGAACAAACATCAAGATTTCAGTTAAAGGGGAAAACGGCTGATTTGCGTCAAGCGGTCAGGTGTTTGTTGAGGATAAAAAGCGATGGAAAAGGAGAGATTTCAGTGAGCCGTTAAAAACCAACAAGTAAACAAAAAAAGCAAATAGGATATAACAAAAAAATGATCATTTATTGGAAGTCTAATAGTTAAATGATTAAAGAAAGCTTGACCAAAGAAAGAAAATCAAAGAATCAAACATACTTGTCTAGCAAAACTCTATCTCTACTGTATCTCTAATTGATTTTTTATTTTACAAGACTTTAGCATTTTATTGTAAGTAGGAATACTTGTATAAAAAATTTAGAGCTTAATCTAATGAGCAATTTGAGGCTAAGCCTTTCCGTTGGACTAACAATGAACAACAATGAATGAAAAAGATATTGGGTTGATGGAAAAGTCCTTTCCGATTTTTTGGGAGAGTACCTTAAATTTGACGAATTTTGACGCTCATCCTAAAGCTGAATTCAAGACGGATCGATTGGTAAAAACCGTTTTGAGATATCTCTTTTCTAAAAGTTTTTACAGCTATTTTAGTAAAGGGCGGCAGAGCCAAAAATGGCTGTTTTCACAAAAACTTTTAGAAAAGAGATATCTCAAAACGGTTTATACCAATCGATCCGTCTGGAATTCAGCTTTAAGATGAGCTATAAAACGTCAAAATTGGACAAATTTAAGGTACTCTCCCAAAAAATCGGAAAGGACTTTTCCATCAACCCAATATTTTGCTCGTTAAAGATCAATTTTATTCTTTCGAAACCTTCACAAAAGCTCAGTTACAGAGATCGTTTTAATCTTTTAGTAAAAATCGAATTGAAAAGAAAAAGAAGAGTCGATTGATTATCTTGGATCTAACTGAGCAAACATTTCCCTCTTTCTTTCCTTTCACTTTTCATGAGCCAAGCGTTTAACGACTACAAGCCATTTCTATGAACATTCAAGCATCGAAATCTCGTCTTTTGTGCATCACTTGGAAATCGTTAACACGATAAAATTATTGTAGAAGTTGAGTTTTCTTATGACATTTTTAAATACTTAAGAAGTTCAATCTTTGACGAATTTTAGTTCAAAAAGCTCAACCTTTCATCTTATGGAAAGCGATAGTTTCTCAAAGAGACGAGAACTTTTCGCGAATGAAGATTTCGAGAAAACGATACAAAATATCATTTGCAGTCCAAGAAAAGGAAAACATTATCCGGTTTGTGATTGAATTATTTCAAAGATATTCAGTTATTCAGCCAGACGATATTAGTGTCTATGATGTGACTGAGAAGCAGAAGAGCTATTATAGAAAATGTTTTCTGCATTTGATGAAGCAAACACAGGTAGGATAAAGGAATATTTTCTATTAGAATATTAGAACTATTGATGCAAAAGAAACTGCCGATTTGACGGTAAATTAAAAAAAAAACATAACATCAAAGCGATTTTCGCAAGATCTCGAGCAGATTGGCATGGATCGGCCTGAATAACGTCCCTCAGCTTGGCTTCGTTCACGACTTCTGGCCTCGCGCCGTGCTCGTAATCTTCCAAAGTCTCGTCTCCCTCTCGGAATCGTTGAAACCAAGTCTGACACTGCCTGAGAGACTAAACTGCCATCTCCGAAAGCAGCACAGAGAGAACGATGCGTTCCAGTAATTCGAAGTACACCAAACCCTTGCTGTTCTACCATACAGTCAATAAGATCTTCTTCCCGTGGGTTTCGGGCCTTGGGGTTGGAATAGCACGTTCGCCGGCGCTCAGCCACTGTCGTTCTCGCGTAAAGTTGTCGTATGCGATCCATTTCTCATCCGATGTCACGATAGAATCAAGAAATCCGCTATTCTTTGCACGATTCAGGAGAATGCCAGCGATGGAAATGCGGGATGCAAGGTTAGCATCACTGAGTTGATGAGGGACCCATCTTCCACAACGATTTTTCTTTCCAATAGCGTGAAGATGGCGTTCGATGCTGACATGATCACAATGAATATTTTCGCAAGATCTCGAGCAGATTGGCATGGATCGGCCTGAATAACGTCCCTCAGCTTGGCTTCGTTCACGACTTCTGGCCTCGCGTCGTGCTCGTAATCTTCCAAAGTCTCGTCTCCCTCTCGGAATCGTTGAAACCAAGTCTGACACTGCCTGAGAGACAAACTGCCATCTCCGAAAGCAGCACGGAGAGAACGATGCAATTCGGCAGTCGACTTTCCAATTTTGAAGTTAAACAGTAATGCTGCTCGTAGCATAAACTTTTGCTCGACCATGATCTAAATAAAAATATAAGCATTTTTAAATAAAATAAACAACAACCAAAAAATTCAAATGTCGAAATAAATAGCAAACAAATATGCAAACAAAACATTAAAAAAAGAATGCCGTTAGCATCGCTCGTTTCTGATAAATGAGAGCTGATACCCATCGGCAGTTTCTTTTGCACCACCCTAATAAAAGCAACAGTTTAACAGCTCAAGCAACAATCAATTCACTATTTGTTAACAATATTTGTTCCATTTTTTTATGCAAAGAATGAATCCCTTTGGTGTAAAAAAAAAATTGGCTTTTTTTAAGGTATGTTCCGCTTTGATGTTATGTTTTTTTAAATTTACCGTCAAATCGGCAGTTTCTTTTGCACCAGCCTAATATTAGAATATTAGAACTATTAGAACTATTAGAACTATTAGAATCTTTGTAAAATGATAAATAATAAAAATTTTCTATTCTTTAGAATTCCTCTTCTTTGAGCGGAGCGCTGCATGGAAGCGACGCGAAAATTGTGGACTTTTTTCGGAAATCCGGTCTGAATGATGAAGAGCTTTCAAGGTGAATTTTCATGAATAAATTTTAGAAGCTATTAAATACTAAATGAATAGCTTTCTTTCAGAATTTGGTCCCTTTCTGACGTGAATGAAGACGGTTGGTTAGATCTGGCCGAGTTCTGCACGGCGATGCACCTCATTGTGCTCAGGGTCAAGGTTGGATACATCGAACCATTTTGTAAACCTTTTAGAATTGTAGATCTATTAATTATCTAGAGTTTTATGAGATTGATCTAATCTTTATTACAGGGTGAGCTCCCGATTCCACCCGTACTCCCGCCTGTGCTCAAACCGCCAATGACCGCTCCGCGAACGCAATCACAAGTAAGAATTGTTGGATTGAATTGCAACTGAATTTGTTCTTAGACTAAAATACAAACATTTTCATTCATTAGATCTCATCCGAAAGCTCTCGTCCATCCGCTGAATCACAATTGACTGGCACGACGGTGAAACCAGTGGAGAATCTATTCGAAGAGAAAACAGAAGTGGTTAATGGACGAATGCCGGTCACGTCAAGATCTGAGGAACAGATTCACAAAGACAAAGTACTTGACAAGACACAAAAGAAGGAAATTGCAATCCTAGGAACCAACTCTCGCCAAATTCTCAGATGTGCCTCCATTGTTGGTCGATGGAAGACCGACAGCGATCAAGCCTTTACCCATCAATTCACTTCCAGAAGCTGTACTTTCACTGAAGAGTCCACAAGTTGGTTTAAAAGAAGAATATTAATAAAGTTTGAAGTTATTGTAAACATAACAATCCTTACAGGGTCCCCCGCCAGTTCCACCACCTCGTCCGACTCGCGGTCATATGCGAAGTGCGAGTCTTGATCTGAAACAACTCGCCATTCAACAACAGCAGACAACTAATGGGTAAACTTTATCAAATCTTGACTTGTGAATTAGAAAAATCTATGATGGCTTTGTGATCAAGTGTAAGTTTCAGTCTAGCTGATCCATTTCGTGGTCCAGCCTCGGCTCGTCACATGTCAATCCCATCAAATGGAACAATTGCACCACCAGTGCCTTTGAGATCTGATGTTTTTGGTAGGTAAACAAGCTATGTCACAATATATATATATATATAAAAATAGCAAAACTTAGAACATATTTCTTTCAGCCGTTCTCCCACCACCGAAATCTCTCGATTCACCAGTCTTCAAAACACCCAGCCTTCCGCCTGAACACTTCAATTTTTCTAGTAAATGGAGGCAAAGCTCTTTTACTGATCAAAACCTTTCAGGCAAACCTAGTCCCCCTTCTAAAGAGTTGAAAGAGGCTGTGACACAAACGGAAAATGAATGGATCGACCCAAATACTGTCGAGAAATTCATTAACAATTTCGGCTCACAAATCCAAGGGTTGATGGTCGACGAGGAGATGGCTGAAACGGGTGAAGGACCATTGGTGAATCGGTGGACAAATCGGGTACAAGGTAAGTGATGAAAAAATTGGTCAAAGAAGTACAAAATTCAACTGATTAGAGTAAATTGCTTGAAAACTTATTGTTTTAGGTCTTCGCAAGCAAAACGCGGATTTGGAGCGAGAGCGGGCTCGTTTGGCTCAGGTTTGACATTATCCTTCTCTTTCTTTGTCATTCCTTACTTTACTTTATTACAATTGTAGATGGCCCCGGACCAAGGTCAGGGCTAGAACCAGGTCCAGGATCAGGGCCAGAGCCAGGGCCAGGTTCAGGCCCAGCGCCAGGATCCGGCTCTTGATTGGACTCTGATCTGACCTGCCTATGCCTATGCTATGATTACATTGGCAAACTTCTTTACAAACGAAACCTTTCTCAGATTCGTATGCAACTCGAGCTTCGACTTCAAGAGGTGTCAAACTTGCCGGGTACTTCATCGGCAAAGACGGCGTTAACAGCTGCACTCTCGTCGAAACCGACTCAACTTTAGATTTCAGAATAGATCCTCATTTAGCTGAATATTTTCCCAAACCTTTTGCCCATGAAGAGCATTTTGTAGCCAGTCAACGTCTAAACATGACCAGTCTTATTTCTCTAGACTTATCGATTCGATTTCATCGATAATATTTTTGGGTATTTGGGTTTTCTCGTGATTTTCCGCCACAAATTTTCCTCGTGCCTTTATTAGAATAGCATCGATTTTGATGTAAACATTTAGCATCTAACGCACTAGAATTTTATGTGCAAGATGCCGATTGGTTGCGCTTTACTTCTAATTATTTGTGAAATGATTGTTGTGTTTCTTATGGTTGTGTTATTTTGTTTCTAGAATAATTCTTGCATCAATCAAACTAAACCGTACATTGAGCTCTCAGAAAAGCGCAATATCTGGCAGAAAAACCTCTCCGAAACTAGGACTATTGTGCCAGAAAATGCTGTGCTTGTGAGAGCACAAAGTACAAAGGATTTTCTAATCGCTCCCCTTCTAGCCCAGGATCGTGCTCACATAATTATCTTCGGTAATTTATAATGAAAAGCTGGTGCAATACGAACACAGATATAATATCAAAATTTGCTCATAATAAAGTTTTCTTTTTGTATTAAAATCGATGAAATTTCATTTACATAAAGTCATTTATTATATATGTTGTGTCCGATTTAGATTTCCGTCCGATTTAGATTGAACTTATCGCGGACGTCCGATTTAGATTCAATCTAAATCTTATATAGATTGAAGAATAATATAAACATGCTTAATATATGTTCTTAAGCGTTTTCTGTAGTTTTCTGCATTTTTCAAAGGTCTGTTACTGTCTTTTTCTGAAAAGAAAACCCAACTATGAAACAATTTATTAGCGTTAACAGAATAGATGCGAAATTACAACATACGACAACAAAAAACCAACAACAACAACGAACGAGTTAAAAATTTCTATTTATTTTTGCAGCTTAGGCTATTGTGACATCTTGAATTGCAGAGTCGGCCATCCTTCCGATATAGACTGTAATCTAAATCGGACGTTCGCGATAAGTTCAATCTAAATCGAACGGAAATCTAAATAGGACGTCCGATTTAGATTGAACTTATCGCGGAGGTTCGATTTAGATTCAATCTAAATCTTATATAGATTGAACAATAATATTCGCCGTCCCATTTGCCATCCCAATCGTGTAAAGCCCATCGATTGCTTTAAAAAAAATGGTTTAAGTGAAGCGTTTCAACCATCAAATTGTAGGCTTCAGCGGTTGGAATTTGTCCTCGTTTCTTCTTTTGTAAAAACACGCCAAATTCTTGGTCAAAAAGGTCCTCCATCTGTAAAAAAAGCAGCATTTAATAGGAAAACAAGAAAACAAAAAATTCTCAAAAAAAGACAATAAAATTTCTTTGAAAAGCGCAGAAAATTGCAAAAAAACGCTTAAGAACATATATTAAGCACGTTTATTATTGTTCGATCTGTATCGGACGTCCGATATAGACTGTAATCAATAAAAGACCTTTGAAAAATGCAGAAAACTACAGAAAACGCTTAAGAACATATATTAAGCATGTTTATATTATTGCTCAATCTATATAAGACGTATTATTGTTCAATCTATATAAGATTTAGATTGAATCTAAATCGGACACAACATATATATATATGCTTTATTCAGTTGAATAGCGACAAAACAAAATCACAATAATTACCCGGGACACCACTCAAAACACACCCAAAAGATAAATAGATACCTCAAGAAAGAATCACAGAGCAGTCAAATCAATTGCCGAAATTGCGGCTTTAAATCTAGCCAAGGTGGGAATATCACGAACATGAGGGGGTAAAATGTTCCACAATTTAATAACTCGATTAAAAAAGAAACTGTGGGGGCTTTTAGAGGAAACGGAAGGTTGGCGTATGAGAAAAGGCATTCTGGAGGCGCGAGAGAGCCGAGAGAGCCGGCCCGTAGAGAGCCGAATTCAAAGAGACCAGAAAAAAGGGGGTCGAGATGAATGCCTTTAACAATTTTAAAGCATTCCACTAAATCGATGATAAGGCGACGTTGGTGTAACATTTCAAGACCAAAGAGTTGCAATCTATCAGAATAAGTAAAGGAGGAGAATTTGTCAAAATGAATTTTATAATTTTATAATTTTATAATTTTATAATCATAATTAGACCCGTTTTCTCTCAAATTATGTACAAATACAAGAAAAAAAAGAGTTCAATTATCGCTTTTTCTTTTGATCGGCGATTGTGTAAATGATATCGATTTCAGCCTGAATGATTTCAATTCGCTCCCGAAAAACCTCCAAAAACAAAAGCTTTTCCAAATTGCCAACAATCATTTTGCAGAAAAAATATAGTTCTTTCCAATGGTGCAAACCGTACTTCATTTAGTGCATTCAACATTAAAACTAATGAAAAAGTGAAAAAGTGAAAAAGTTTGATTATTTAGTTGACAAAGTACTAATGTAAATACTGCATAGTATAGCTTTGAACGAGTTTTTCTCGACACTGGTTTATGCTACAATGCGCGCTTAGTTATCAAAAAATAGCTGAAATTCAGGGCTATTTTTTGATACCAAAGACGCATTTTTTGAAAGTACGGGTGCTTTGCAAAAAATGAAATACTAAAAAACTTTTGCGACTACGCGACTGTACGAGAGGGGTGGGGTACTATTACAGTATTTACGGTAATTAGTTTAACGAACTAGTTCAGTCAATTCAAGAATTCTTTATTTTATCACACCGTAAATACTGTAATAGTACCCCACCCCCATAATGACGGTGCGGAGTGTTGCATAGTATAGCTTTGAACGAGTTTTTCTCGACACTGGTTTATGCTACAATACGCGCTTAGTTATCAAAAAATAGCCCTGAATTTCAGCTATTTTTTGATACCAAAGACGCATTTTTTGAAAGTACGGGTGCTTTGCAAAAAATGAAATACTAAAAAACTTTTGCGACTACGCGACTGTACGAGAGGGGTGGGGTACTATTACAGTATTTACGGTAATTTTTATATTTAGGCAAACCTTTAAGCGATGATATAGCAAATTTTTAGCAAAATCGGTCATGTGAATGCCGTCCGTTGTGTTCTGGAAGAAAATTAAAAAAAAAATTTTCTTCCAGAAATTATTTTCTAAGCTATTGAAACAGAATTTGAAAGCTTTTCAAGACCTTTAAAAGCCTTTAAAGATGAATATTGTATTGTTTAAGATAAAATAGAGTGGCTAATTGTAAGCTTAGCTCAATAACAAATTTCCAAGAGTTTCTTGGAGGCAATTTTTTCGAGTCAAGCCAAAGCCAGACCTCTCGACCTGGCTTGGCTTAGCTAAATGCTTTGAGTTTGAATTAAATAGTGAATATTGAATATTGAATGAAGTGTTCTATTTCTAAAAATTCACCAACCTTCCACAATCATAATCAAACGATTGACAAAACGCCTCGTCACAGAACTCGGATTGCACCTCGACGAAATGACATTTCGTGCATTTCTCTCGAATCATTTCGATTCTTTTGAAAGCGTACTTGTACTTGTCCAAATATTTCTGTAATTTGATTATTTAGTTCTTTAAACGATTCAAACTTTAAATAGAAATTGCGATTTTTCCTTGGGCATTGGCGGGATTTTCTTCTTCATTCTTTTTTGAAGATCATCAGCGATTCCGCTAGAAATCGCGTAAAATGGTGTGTCGATCACGATGAAATCCGCATAGTTTCCAAAAATATTGAACGAGTTTACGGCTTCTTTCACCCAACTATCGTTTGCTTCGATTTTCTGTTTCACAAAGCCGCCTGAATATCTGAAAGGGAAAATTTAGGGATGTTGATAGTTCAAAGCTTAGCCAAAGATTTCCAGAAAAGGATTAAGAATAAGAAAGAAGTAGAAGAAGATCTGTGGAAGAAGATCTGTGGAAGAAGATCTGTGGAAGATGATCTGTGGAAGATGATCTGTGGAGGGAGAACTGTGGAAGAAGATCTGTGGAAGAAGATCTGTGGAAGAGGATCTGTGGAAGAGGATCTGTGGAAGAAGATCTGTGGAAGGAGATCTGTGGAAGAAGATTTGTGGAAGGAGAGCTGTGGAAGAGGATCTGTGGAAGAAGATCTGTGGAAGATGATCTAAGCTCATAACAGCTTTGGTTCTTTAAACAGTTCTTTAAACAGTTCTTTAAGCAGTTCTTCAACAGTTCAAACAGTTCTTCAAACAAAAATCGTTCTTTTTTATTACTTTTTACTTAATCTACTTGAAATCGCATAGTCAAGAGTCAAAAAGTTGAAAGAAAATGTTGATTTGATTTGAATTGAAAGCGGTTTCTCAATTCTCAATTCTCAATTCCCGTTTACTCACCCAATCGAGATGAAGATTATCTTCGGTTTTGCCGTTTCAAGCAATTTCAAATCCTCGATTCTCGATCCATTGCAATGTTTTGACCATTCTTCTTTTCTATCCACTACACCGCTGTTCTCAAATGGCATACATGCTAAAAGAAAAGTTCAAAATTCAAGGTTTAATCGAATTTGAGTCATCTCCATCTTTCAAACTTCAAACAAACTCACTCGTAATCGCATGAAAGTACAACTTTTTGTATCGTTTATTTAACGCTTTATAGAAATGGGGAAAGCCGAAACGCATAAACGAATTCCCAAGTAATAACACGTTGAATGAGCCATTTCCGGTCTAAATTCTTTTTGATAATTCTTTTTGGAATTTGGAATGAAATTTTACGTCTTGTCCAGCTTTTTCATAGCCACCAAGAGTCACTTTGAAGTTCTCAAGCTTCGGGAAATCAAGTGTTTTTGAAAGTTTTACGCAATCTGAAAAGTTGATTACTTAAATGAACTTTGAGTTTACTCAAAAGTTACTTAAATGAACTATGAGTTTAAACCTATAAACTCACCCTATTTGGTGCACTGAATCAAATCGTTGCTTTTAATAGTACACCAAAAAGAGCTCACCTTTACTGTGATTTGAAGAGAAACTTTGGAAATTGCTTGTTTCTTTTATTTCTTGAATGGGTAGGAGAATGAAAATCGAAGAGATCGCGACGAGAGCCGCTAAAGATTTCTTGTTAAAGAATCGAGTAATTAAACGAATACCAATCCACGCTAATGCATAATAGAAAGATCCGACAATGAACTTTTGCTCGAGTGTGTGATGGATTATTATAGAGATTGTGACGGTGATCAATAAAGCAAGGAAAATATCTGAATACTTCCGAATAGCAATTGGGTAATTGAACCGGGTCGTAAAAGTCTGGGTGGACTTTGTGAAACTGTAACACATCGCTTCTGGCACACTCAAACACGATATCAAGATCTCCAGATCCAGTGTACCAGATCTCTTGAGCACAAAGAAACAGAGCCGTACTCACTTTGCGGAGTGATCACTTCCTCAAAGGACACATATTTCAGCAAGATTATCACCGGCCAATGAACCAAATAAAGGATATATGAAATGTCACCAATATATTGAAGTATCCATAGGTCAAGGATTGGTGTAGGACCTGAAGTTTTCAATTTCAAATACTTCTAAAAGTTGTTAAACCTTTTGTCGAGAAATAGATGACATGTGCAGCTAGAAATGTGGCCAAAATCCGGTCGATCTAAAGTTTTATCTCGATTTTGAGATTTATATAAATGAGAAGAAAAATTATTCAGTCTTTTCAGCTGAAAAATTCGATTCTAAAAGGAAAAATTGAAGGGAAATGGGAAAAATGTTTGATACCATAATGATGTTTGATACCACTACTGGACAATGAGAAATTGTTTAGAAATTGTTTAGAAATTTTCATAATCTCCCAAATCTCACTTGATTTCCTTTTGATTATTAACTGAATGAAAGTTTTCTGACATTGCAAGGCTCCCAAATGCAAAAAAAATACTTATAAATCTAGACATGAATAAGACGAATCTGTTTACATGTCTCGAAACTTTTTGTGTGTTCCATTTGCTTTACTTTGCTTTACTTTGCTTTACTTTGCTTTACTTTGCTTTACTTTGCTTTACTTTGCTTTACTTTGCTTTACTTTGCTTTACTTACCCTAAAGTCGCGAGTATAAGTTCTGTTTGGTTTTCGCATGCAAATTGACGGCTGTCTCCGGTGCGGTGTGTTGAGGGTTCAAACCCCGCTGCAGCATAACTTTTTTGCTTTTTAAGAACAATAATAGAAGTAAATTTATTGAGGGTTATAGCAATTTTATGCTGTTATTTGTTGCTCCGGGCGTGGCTCGGCGCGTCCGCCCTGCTCCTCTCCGGTGCTCAGTCTTAAGGATCCCTCCCTGGCTTTAGAGTTCCTTTAGAGTTCCTATTGAGTTCCTTTTTAGTTCCTTTATAGTTCCTTTAGAGCCGTTTAAATGTAAATTAAGGCAGAACTTATACTCGGATGAACTTATACTCGAGACTTTAGGGTACAAGCTTTCTAGTTTTCTATTTACTCATCGAATTATCCAATGTTATTGTTTTTCTTGTTTCAATTTGATTCCCTCAAATACACTACTGGACATTGAAATATCATGTTTGAAAAAACACTTTCGCACTTTCGCGCGTCTGTAACTCCCTTGTCTTTACCGTATTTCTAAATATTAATATTACCATTGTGTAGCCCTCGAAAAAAGCTTTCAGAAAATGTATAACACTAATAGTTTAAACTCAAAGACAAGGGAGTTACAGACGCGCGAAAGTGACGATGTTTTTTCAAATATCATATTTCATTGTCCAGTACTGTACCTTTTAAAGTAGCCCCCCCCTCATAATGACGGTCGGAACGTCGCGTAGTCTAACTTTAAACGCATTTTTCTCGCCATCCGTTTATGCTACAGTGTGCGTTTTAGTATCAAATGAAAGCTGAAATTCAGGGAGTGTTGCGTAGTCTAGCTTTGAACGAGTTTCATCATTCTCAAGCTATCGCTCAATCAGAAGCCACGATGAAGATGACAAAACGTCATGCCGGACAGCTACAGTTGCCTACTGCTTAGCATAACCCTGAGCGTTGCCTAAATGCCTCGAAATCTCGAGAATCGCTTATCAGAACCTATCGACAATTTTTCTCGCCATCCGTTTATACTACAGTGTGCGTTTTAGTATCAAATGAAAGCTGAAATTCAGGGCTATTTTTTGATACTAAAAACGTATTTTTAGAAATTATGGACGCTTAGAAAAAAATGATTTAGTAAAAATTTAAAAAAAAATTTTATTTAAAATATATTATTAAGTATTATTAAGATAAGTTGACTTAAGTTTTTCTTTTTTTTCACTCACCAAATCGCTACCCGTCGAGAAATAGCATGTGAAAATGGCAGAGAAATATGAGAAACCACACAAAAGTGATGAGGGGAAAAGAGAAGACGAAGAACCTGGAAAGGGAAATTACTCTGATTTAATGGGTTACTCGATTCAATTGCCCAGTTCTAAAAACTCACGTTTAATGCTTTCATTTTGAGCTTTTTCCTCGTCTTCCGACTCGACTTCGACCAGGATCTTGTATTCTTTTCCATTTTCTCGATTGATCGATTCTTGCTAAAGATCTTTACTTTGTAAACCATTTTTAAATTTACCTTTGGCTTTTGAGAGAGCTCAAAAACAATCAATCCAAAGAAAAATTGCCAAACGCGGCAAGGGAGAAAACCAAAGGCGATGTTTGGAGGTAAAGACTGGAAAAGGTATTAGTAAAGAAATCGGTAAAGAGATAAAACTCACTATTTGAAGTCCTAGTGAAGCTGAAATGATCAAAAGAGCGATGAGAATCCTTTTCGCAAATCCGATTGATAAAAGGAAAAGCATCAATAAGGGAACAATCAAATAATACTGGAGTTCAGCTGCAAGTGACCATGTGTGCGTGAGGAGTTTGTATTCGGTTAACTGAATACTTTATAATAATATGTAATTGATTAACAATACAATTATGGTTCGCTTATTGCAAAGTGGGGGGTGGGTGGGACAAATGCGACCTTTTTTTGCGCACCTGGACATTTGCGCACCTTTTTTTACTGGAAAAGGCCTTAGGAAAGGTCGTAGAGCTTCAAAATATTTTCATATAAGGGAATCGTATGCGTAGATTCCGAATTTCGACAAATCAGACCTCGCTGACACGTCAAATTTAGGCTAAAAGGCAAAAACTGCGGAAAAGCATTAAGTTGCGTAGTTTTTGCCTTTTAGCCCAAATTTGACGTGTCAGCGAGGTCTGATTTGTCGAAATTCGGAATCTACGCATACGATTCCCTTATATGGAAGTATTTTCGAAGCTCTACGACCTTTCCTAAGGCCTTTTCCAGCAAAAAAAAGGTGCGCAAATGTCCAGGTGCGCAAAAAAAAGGTCGCATTTGTCCCACCCCCCGAAGTGGTTTAGTTTAGGTGGTACTTCGGTAAAACTATCCCCTCTGGCACACTAATATCTCATTTTTCTTGAGATCAAAGCCCTGATAGCGTGCGTTTTTTTAAGCACAAAGTACGAGCAGTTAAAGCAATAATCTTTGTATACTTGTTAGCATTCAATGCTTGTTTTTACCTCTTCAAAGTAATCAAACTCGTGAAAAAGTGGTTGCATATTGGATACAAGTCCCAACGACCACAAAGCGTCGATTCGCAAAATCCGCAAATCTTTCGCCAACAAAAATAGCCTTGAAGCTATCAAAACACTGGCTATTGTTAATCTAAATGTAATTTTGCTGATATTTTGCTAATATTTTGCTAATATTTTGCATTTCACTTACAAATATAAAGGCACAATTCTTTTAATTCTTCTTTGAAGAAATGTCGAAGTTGAATCGATCGAAATTCCCGATTTTGTCAAAATCATTGTCATCAAATAGCCTGAGATCACGAAAAACCTAGAGAATTGAAATATAAATATTTAGATAATCATTGATTTACATATCGACTCCGAGGAAACCATTTGGAGCAAAGGATTTGTTGAGATGAAAGAGTATGACGGCAATGATGGCCAAAGCGCGTAACGCTTGAACGGCACCCGATTTTTGGTGAGAAGCTGTGGTCATTTTGCTGGAAACTGCTAGTCTATTTTAGAATAATTTGAATACTTGGCAAAAACCCAAAAAAGGTAACACAGTCGCTTAAGCACTTTAGAGTAACACAGTTGAAAGAGAGGTGGCTCAAAACTCAGCTTGTACTAAATTGTACAATAGAAACAGTGTGAACTTTTTTGCAAGCTATGTCGCCTAAACATTTGAGTAGTGAATCATAAAAATTTATCGAAAAAAAAGCAAAAGTGGGGTTTCAAGAAGATTTGAAGGGAAGACACACCCTGATACAAGGGAAAAAGTGCTGATAAATAGCAATAGCAATAGCCGAATGCTTCAAAGTCGGACAAAGAATTGATAGCTTTTCGAATAAATGGAATGTCAGAAAGAAGAGGCAAATGAAATTGTTATAAATTTTTGAAATCCTTAAGTACATGATATCAAAAAGCAAAAGCAAAAAAACTTGTTGAGAACTTTTTTTTTGATAAAAACAGCAAAAAGGAAATTCAACCAGATTGGGAATCAAATCAGTGGATTTAAAAGAAAACGATTTTCGTTTCGAAAAGTTGACACTATTTAGCAAATGTTTCAGCGGAAAGGAGCAAACTTTAGATTGATGCGCAACTAAGCAGATAAGCAAACAACCTTTTTAAGCTTTTCCATCCATTAGATTGTATCAAATTTTGATTAGAAAGATTGAGCTGATGGAATTTGACGCAAAAGGATACGTCACCCAAAAGCTAACACTCACCTCATAGGCGCTCGTAAAATTGTGTTGACTTTGGAACGTAAAAGCCTTGTCCATAAAAGCCCGTAAAAGCCACATGCACATTTAATCAGAATTTAAAGAAAAATTGTAAGAACAATTGTAAGAACAACAATCGCAAGAACAATAATTTTAGCATCTCAGCAAAACGCAAGGCTTGGCACGGCTTGCGTTTCCTCTGACGAGATGGACGCTGAAGCCGAGAACGATGTCGTTCTACCTCTATTTTCCTTCAACTCAAGCCCTTGAGTTGAAGGAAAATCTAACACTAAGGAAAATCAAAAATCGGGTCAATGAAAGGACTTGTAAATCGATGACTGGAAACATCTTACGGCAAACATCCACTCACAAAGAGAAAGAACACGCAATACCAACTGTTTGTGAAGCTGGCCTTCACATACAACCAAGACAGACATCCTTGTCAACTTGATAATATCCTATTGAGAGCACGAGGAATTCTGTGCGATTTCGCTCAACGTCAGCCCTCGGAAGTGGTCACGGCACAAAGAGGCTTTCTCTTTGTGAGTGGATGTTTGCCGTAAAATGTCTCCAGCCATCGAGTTACAAGTCTTGCATCTTTTCTTGGGCTGATATTTGGTCTTCCTTAGCGCCTCTTCAACTCGAGCCCATAGAGGTAGAACGACATCGTCCACGTTCAGCGTCCACCTCGTCATCAGTGTTTGCATTATTGCCGGTAGTTTCTTTTTGGTGGTGGCTCGATGCCTGTTCGCCAATCGACAGCTAGCTGGTCGTCTCAGCTCAGCACGAATCATCACAGGCTGCTGCGTCCGTCAGGGCCAACATCTCTGCCATTTCCGGCCCATCCACCTTCTTCTTGGCTGTTGATCGTTTCGCTTTCGCCTATTTGGTTCCTATTTGTTTCTTATTTGGTTTTTATTTAATTCCTTTTTGAATGTTATTTGGTTTTTATTTGGTTCCTATTCGATTCCCATTTGATTCGTCATGGTCAATTTAGGTGTCAGAATAGATCCTCATTTAGCTGAATATTTTCCCAAACCTTTTGCCCATGAAGAGCATTTTGTAGCCAGTCAACTTCTAAACATGACCAGTCTTATTTCTCTGGACTTCTTTACAAACGAAACCTTCCTCAGATTCGTATGCAACTCGAGCTTCGACTTCAAGAGGTTTCAAACTTGCCGGGTACTTCATCGGCAAAGACGGCGTTAACAGCTACACTCTCGTCGAAACCGACTCAACTTTAGGTTTCAGAATAGATCCTCATTTAGCTGAATATTTTTCATTTTTCCCAAACCTTTTGCCCATGAAGAGCATTTTGTGGCCAGTCAACTTCTAAACATGACCAGTCTTCTTTCTCTGGACTTATCGATTCGATTTCATCGATAATATTTTTGGGTTTTCTCGTGATTTTCCGACACAAATTTTCCTCGTGCCTTTATTAGAATAGCATCGATTTTGATGTAAACATTTAGCATCTAACGCACTAGAATTTGATGTGCAAGATGCCGATTGGTTGCGCTTCACTTCTAATTTATTTGTGAAATGATTTCTTACGGTTGTGTTATTTTGTTTTTAGAATAATTCTTGCATCAATCAAACTAAACCGTACATTGAGCTCTCAGAAACGCGCAAAATCTGGCAGAAAAATCTCTCAGAAACTAGAAGTATTGTGCCAGAAAATGCTGTGCTTTTGAGAGCACAAAGTACAAAGGATTTTCTAAGCGCTCACCTTCTAGCCCAGGATAATGCTCACATAATTATCTTCGGTAATTTATAATGAAAAGCTGGTGCAATACGAACACAGATATAATATCAAAATTTGCTCATAATAAAGTTTTCTTTTTGTATTAAAATCGATGAAATTTCATTTACATAAAGTCATTTATTAGACCCGTTTTCTCTCAAATTATGCAAATTTTTAGCAAAATCGGTCATGTGAATGCCGTCCGTTGTGTACAGAGTTCTGTAAGAAAAGAAAAGAAATTATTGGCTAAACTATTGAAACAGAATTTGACCTTTAAAGATGAATATTGTATTGTTTAGACAAAATAGAGTGGCTAATTGTAAGCTTGGCTCAATAACAAATTTCCAAGAGTTTCTTGGAGGCAATTTTTCCAAGTCAAGCCAAAGCCAGACCTGAACCTGGCTTGGCTTAGCTAAATGCTTCGAGGTTGAATGAAATATTGAATATTGAATGAAGTGTTCTATTTCTAAACATTCACCAACCTTCCACAATCATAATAAAGTTTTCTTTTTGTATTAAAATCGATGAAATTTCATTTACATAAAGCCATTTATTAGACCCGTTTTCTCTCAAATTATGTACAAATACAAAAAAAGAGTTCAATTATCGCTTTTTCTTTTGATCGGTGATTGTGTAAATGATATCGATTTCAGCCTGAATTTCAATTCAGTAAATTTCCAATTTTTTTTATATTACGTCGTAAACTAAATAAAATAGAATTTCTTTGGAAAAAGTGGGTTTTAAAGATGATCGCTGAGATCAAATAAGATCTTGTTTGTATCATTTGAAAGAAAAATCTTTTCTCAACAAAATGACTTTTGAGAGACTTTGAAAAGCTTTTGTTTTTTGAACATTTTCGGAGGTGCAAAAAATTGACAAAAACACATTACTAATTTTAATTTTACGCGCGAAATAAAGCTCTTAGTTTTTCACATTTTCTATATAATTATCAGCGAAATCGATTTGAACTGCTTGCAAATGATGTAGTCTAAAATTGACCAAACACCAAACACAAAAACTTATCCATTTGACAAATTTTTCAACAAGAAGTTTTTTAGGTAAAATAAAAACATACCGTAAATACTGTAATAGCAAGAAATTCTCGTTGTTCAAAACTGTGTAAACTGTTCTTGTCAGCCCAATATGCATACCGTAAATACTGTAATAGTACCCCCACCCCCTCGTACAGTCGCGTAGTCGCAAAAGTTTTTTAGTATTTCATTTTTTTTCAAAGCGTCCGTACTTTCAAAAAATGCGTTTTTGGTATCAAAAAATAGCTGAAATTCAGGGCTATTTTTGATACCTAAGCGCGCATTGTAGCATAAACCAGTGTCGAGAAAAACTCGTTCAAAGCTAGACTACGCAACACTTCGCACCGTCATTATGGGAGTGCGGTACTATTACAGTATTTACGGTAGATGTTCTATATTTTCAGTAAAATTATCAACGAAATCCGTTTAGCCGTTTTTCTGAATTTTGGTTTAAAGAAAAGTCCTCAAATAAAGGATTTTGATCATATGAGGCGCTCTGAATAAGTTGAAATTTGTAGAAAACGGCTGGATGGATTTTACTAGAAATTTTACTAAAAATCTAGCAGAGATTGATCTTTCTAAAGTTAATGTGTTAGTGATCTTTCTAAAGTTAGTCTTTCTTTCTAGAAAGTTGTCAGTTCCCGTCAAAAAAGTTGTCAACTGTTCTCGTCAATTTTGTGTACTTGCGTTTGGGCTCCCGAAAAACCTCCAAAAACAAAACCTTTTCTAAATTGCCAACAACGATTTTGCAGAGAAAATATACCGTAAATAAAGTAATAGTGCCCCATCCCCATAATGACGGCGCGGAGCGTCGTGTAGTCTAGCTTTAAACGAGTTTTTCTCGATACTGGTTTATGCTACAATGCCCGCTTAGGTATCAAAAAATAACCTTGAATTTCAGCTATTTTTTGATACCAAAGACGCATTTTTTGAAAGTACGGGTGCTTTGAAAAAAATGGAATACTAAAAAACTTTTGCGACTACGCGACTGTACGAGGGGGGTGGGGTACTAGTACAGTATTTACGGTAGATCTTTCCAATGGTGCAAACCGTACTTCATTTAGTGCATTCAACATTAAAACTAATGAAAAGGTGAAAGAGTTTGATTATTTAGTTGAAAAAGTACTAATTTTTATATTTGAGCAAACCTTTAAGCGATGATATAGCAAATTTTTAGCAAAATCGGTCATGTGAATGCCATCCGTTGTGTACAGAGTTCTGTAAGAAAAGAAATTATTTTCTAAGCTATTGAAACAGAATTTGACCTTTAAAGATGAATATTGTATTGTTTAGACAAAATAGAATGGCTAATTGTAAGCTTAGCTCAATAACAAATTTCCAAGAGTTTCTTGGAGGCAATTTTTCCAAGTCAAGCCAAAGCCAGACCTCGACTTGGCTTGGCTTAGCTAAATACTTTGAGTTTGAATTAAATATTGAATCTTGAATGTGTTCTATTTCTAAATATTCACCAACCTTCCACAATCATAATCAAACGATTGACAAAACGCCTCATCACAGAACTCGGATTGCACCTCGACGAAATGACATTTCGTGCATTTCTTTCGAATCATTTCGATTCTTTTGAAAGCGTACTTGTACTTGTCCAAATATTTCTGTAATTTGATTATTTAGTTCTTTAAACGAGACAAACTTTAAAAAGAAATTGCGATTTTTCCTTGGGCATTGGCGGGATTTTCTTCTTCATTCTTTTTTGAAGATCATCAGCGATTCCGCTAGAAATCGCGTAAAATGGAGTGTCGATTACGATGAAATCCGCATATTTTCCAAAAATATTGAACGAGTTTACGGCTTCTTTCACCCAACTATCGTTTGCTTCGATTTTCTGTTTCACAAAGCCGCCTGAATATCTGAAAGGGAAAATTTAGGGATGTTAATAGTTCAAAGATAGTTCAAAGCTTAGCCTAAGATTTCCAGAAAATATTAGGTTGGTAAAAAAGAGATGAGCGTCGTGTTTGTTGATTTGTATTTTATTCACAGTAAAAGATTTTTTAAAATAGCTTATTCTATTGGAAAGAGCGTGTTCTTGCGCATCGTTTGATATATAATTTGTCTATGTTTACTTTGTTTTTTACAAGAAAGAGTGTTTAGAAAATGTCGGACCAAAAATTTCGCTTGCGGGCCTGCTTGTGGTATGAATTTAAGCAAGGCAAATTGGCTGCTGAAGCTCATCGCGCTCTATCTCAAGTGTTTGACGAAGATGATCTATCCGAAAGTCAGTGTAAACGATGGTTCCAGCGCTTCGGAGACGGCGACGAAAGCTTGGAAGACCAAAAACACGGGAGTCGAACTCAAATCATCGACAACGACGCATTGAAGGAAGCCATTGAGTCGGATCCACGCCAAACCACTCGCGACCTGGCAGAAAAGTTCGGCTGCACTCATGTCACCATTGAGAACCATCTGCATGGCATGGGCAAGACGAATAGATGCGGAAAATGGGTACCGCATAAGCTATCCGACGCAAACAAGGCGACACGCATCTCAATCGCCGGAATTCTCACTCACCGCGCCAAGAACAGTGGGTTTTTCGACTCCATTGTTACGTCGGATGAGAAGTGGATCCAATACGACAACACAGCAAGAAAGCGGCAGTGGTTGGACCCCGGTGAAGCTCCAAAAACGACTCCAAAACCGGTCATCGACGGAAAAAAGGTGATGCTTTGTGTTTGGTGGCACAGTAAAGGCCTGGTGTACTTTGAGGTTCTGGATTCGGGTCAAACAGTTACGGCGAGCCTCTACCAAGGCCATTTGGACCGCGTGGACCAAGCGCTGCGACGTCAAGGTGTGGATACGGCGTCGACAAAATTCCTCCACGACAACGCTCGGCCGCATGTCGCAAAAATCACCCAGCAGAAAATTGAAGAAATGGGCTGGGAAGTCCTGCCTCATCCGCCATACAGCCCAGACTTGGCGCCTTCCGACTACCATCTGTTCCGACCAATGTACCACTCCTTGGCCGAGAAACAGTTCAAGAACCGCGACGAGGTCCAAATTTGGGTGTCCAACTTCTTCGAGTCGCAGCCGGTCGAGTTCTTCAAGGAGGGCATCCATTCTCTGCGTGAACGTTGGCGACAAGTCATTGATGCAGATGGCGAATACCTTTTGGATTAATGTATTGTTATCTTGTTTTTATAATAAAATAGACTTTTAACGAAAACGCGCATTTCTTTTTTACCAACCTAATAGTTAAGAATAAGAAAGAAGTAGAAGAAGATCTGTGGAAGAAGATCTAAGCTCATAACAGCTTTGGTTCTTTAAACAGTTCTTCAAGCAGTTCTTTAAACAGTTTTTTAAACAGTTCTTCAAACAAAAATCGTTCTTTTTTCATTACTTTTTACTTAATCTACTTGAAATCAAATAGTCAAAAGTCAAAAAGTTGAAAGAAAGATTTGATTTGATTTGATTTAAAAGCGTTTTCTCAATTCTAAACTTCAATTCCCGTTTACTCACCCAATCGAGATGAAGATCATCTTCGGTTTTGCCGTTTCAAGCAATTTCAAATCCTCAATTCTCGATCCATTGCAACGTTTTGACCATTCTTCTTTTCTATCCACTACACCGCTGTTCTCAAATGGCATACATGCTAAAAGAAAAGTTCTAAATTCGAGGTTTAATCGAATTTGAGTCATCTCCATCTTTCAAACTCACTCGTAATCGCATGAAAGTACAACTTTTTGTATCGTTTATTCAACGCTTTATAGAAATGGGGAAAGCCGAATCGCATAAAAGAATTCCCAAGTAATAACACGTTGAATGAGCCGTTTCCGGTCTAAATTCTGTTTGATAATTCTTTTTGGAAAATTTTACGTCTTGTCCAGCTTTTTCATAGCCTCCAAGAGTCACTTTGAAGTTCTCAAGCTTCGGGAAATCAAGTGTTTTTGAAAGTTTTACGCAATCTGAAAAGTTGATTACTCAAATGAACCAAAGAACCAAAGTTTACTCAAATGAACTTTGAGTTTAAATCTGTAAACTCATCCTGTTTGGTGCACTTAATCGAATCGGTGTGTTTGATGCAAAGTACACCAAAAAGAGCTCACCTTTACTGTGATTTGAAGGGAAACTTTGAAAATTGCTTGTTTCTTTTATTTCTTGAATGGGTAGAAGAATGAAAATAGAAGAGATCGCGATGAGAGCAGCTAAAGATTTCTTGATAAAGATTTCTTATTAAAGAATCGGGTAATTAAACGAATACCAATCCACGCTAATGCATAAAAGAAAGATCCGACAATGAACTTTTGCTCGAGTGTGTGATGGATTATGACAGAGATTGTCACGGTGATCAATAAAGCAAGGGAAATATCTGAATACTTCTGAATAGCAATTGGGTAATTGAACCGGATAGTAAAAGTCTGGGTGGACTTTGTGAAACTGTAACACATCGTTTCTGGCACACTCAATCACGATATCAAGTGCACCAAATCTCTTGAGCACAAAGAACAAAGCAATACTCACTTTGCGGAGTGATCACTTCCTCAAAGGACACATATTTCAGCAAGATTATCACCGGCCAATGAACCAAATAAAGGATATATGAAATGTCACCAATATATTGAAGTATCCATAGGTCAAGGATTGGTGTAGGACCTGAAGTTTTCAATTTCAATTCTTCTAAAAGTTGTTAAACTTTTTGTCGAGAAATAGATGACTTGTGCAGCTAGAAATGTGACCAAAATCCGGTCAATCTAAAATTTTATCTGGATTTTATATACACTACTGGACAATGAAATATCATATTTGAAAAAAGATCGTCACTTTCGCGCGCCTATAACTCTCTTGTCTTTACCGTATTTCTAAATATTAATATTACCATTGTGTAGCCCTTGAAAAGAGCTTTCAGAAAATGTATAACACTAATAGTTTAAACTCAAAGACAAGGGAGTTAAAGACGCGCGAAAGTGACGATCGTTTTTCAAATATGATATTAGGTTGGTCGGAAAGTTCTTTCCGTTTTTTGACGCTAGCTCTAACTTTTATTTTACGCATCAAAAAACATGATAATCGGACGATTCTGGACAAATACCTGAACAGGTCTCTGGAGCATCATTTGCGTGGAAAGATCTTTCAAAACGTCGAGGAAATGCGCTTGTCACTCACTCAGTTTTTCGATTCGAAGCCACGTGAATTTTACCGCCGCGGAATCTATTTGTTGCCGGATAAGTGGCAGGATGTTATTGATGTTGACGGTGAATATTTCGAGTAGATAAATTCTGTTTTTTTATTTGGCGTTTTAGATGCGTAAAATAAAAAGTTAGATCTAGCGTCAAAAAACGGAAAGAACTTTCCGGCCAACCTAATATTTCATTGTCCAGTGAAAAGACTGAATAATTTTTCTTCTCATCTACAGAGATGAGAAGAAAAATTATTCAGTCTTTTCAGCTGAAAAATTCGATTCTAAAGGAAAAATTGAAGGGAAATGGGAAAAATGTTGATACCATAATACCTTTAAAAGTAGCCCCCCCCCCCCATAATGACGGGCGGAACGTCGCGTAGTCTAACTTTAAACGCGTTTTTCTCGCCATCCGTTTATGCTACAATGTGCGCTTCAGTATCAAATGAAAGCTGAAATTCAGGGCTATTTTTTGATACCAAAGACGCATTTTTTGAAAGTACGGGTGCTTTGCAAAAAATTATTTAGTAAAGTTTTTATTATTAAGTATTATTAAGATAAGTTGACTTAAGTTTTTCATTTTTTCACTCACCAAATCGTTACCCGTCGAGAAATAGCATGTGAGAATGGCAGAGAAATATGAGAAACCACACAAAAGTGATGAGGGGAAAAGGGAACACGGAGCACCTGGAAAGGGAAATTACTCTGACTTAATGGTTTACTCGATTCAATTGCCCAAGTTTAAATTTCTAAAAATTTACGTTTAATGCTTTCACTTTGAGCTTTTTCCTCGTCTTCCGACTCGACTTCGACCAGGATCTTGTACTCTTTTCCATTTTCTCGATTTATCGATTCTTGCTAAAGATCTTTACTTTGTAAACCATTTTTATATTTACCTTTGGCTTCTGAGAGAGCTCAAAAACAATTAATCCAAAGAAAAATTGCCAAACGCGGCAAGGGAGAAAACCAAAGGCGATGTTTGGAGGTAAAGACTGGAAAAGGTATTAGTAAAGAAATCGGTAAAGAGATAAAACTCACTATTTGAAGTCCTAGTGAAGCTGAAATGATCACAAGAGCGATGAGAATTCTTTTCGCAAATCCGATTGATAAAAGGAGAAGCATCAATAAGGGAACAATCAAATAATATTGGAGTTCAGCTGCAAGTGACCATGTGTGTGTGAGGAGTTTGTATTCGGTTAACTGAATACTTTATAATAATATGTAATTGATTAACAATACAATTATGGTTCGCTTATTAGAAAGTGGTTTATTTTAGGTAGTACTTCGACAAAATCAGCCCCTCTGGCACACTAATATCTCATTTTTCTTGAGAACAAAGCCCGTTTTTTTAAGCACAAAGTACGAGCAGTTAAAGCAATAATCTTTATATACTTGTTAGCATTCAATGCTTGTTTTACCTCTTCAAAGTAATCGAACTCGTGAAAAAGTGGTTGCATATTGGATACAAGCCCCAACGACCACAAAGCGTCGATTCGCAAAATTCGCAAATCTTTCGCCAACAAAAATAGCCTTGAAGCTATCAAAACACTGGCTATTGTTAATCTAAATGTAATTTTGCTGATATTTTGCTGATATTTTGTTGATATTTTGCATTTGACTTACAAATATAAAGGCACAATTCTTTTAATTCTTCTTTGAAGAAATGTCAAAGTGGAATCGATCGAAATCCCCGATTTTGTCAAAATCATTGTCATCAAATAGCCTGAGATGACGAAAAATCTAGAGAATTAAGAAATAAATATTTAGATAATCTTTGATTTACATATCGACTCCGAGGAAACCATTTGGAGCAAAGGATTTTTTGAGATGAAAGAGAATGACGGCAATGATGGCCAAAGCGCGTAACGCTTGAACGGCACCCGATTTTTGGTGAGGAGCTGTGGTCATTTGATCTGGAAACACTTGTATAACTTGTAGAATACTTATTAGCATTAGAGATTTGGATAAGTTTAATGATACATGGCTGAAAATGAAGCGGAGACCAGATAAGGATAAAGTTAAGCCTTTAACTAGTATGAAGTCAACGAGGAGTCTAGAAACTTTGCATTATAGGCATTGATACAGGTTAGCCAAAAGAATACAAAGTATTGAATGTACCAGAAAATGAGTGTTTCGATGCACACAAAGAAAATAATAAAATTTTCTTTTCGAAAATAAGTTTTCTCTTTTCAGGATCGTTTCTAGGAGACACATTGTTATTCGAAAATTTGCAAACAATTATTAGAAAAGAAAGGAAACCCTTAAAAAGCCAAATTTATTAATTACCGTCATTACTTTAATAAATACTGTAATAGTACCCCACCGCCCTCGTACAGTCGCGTAGTCGCAAAAGTTTTTTAGTATTTCATTTTTTTCAAAGCACTCGTACTTTCAAAAAATGCGTTTTTGGTATCAAAAAATAGCTGAAATTCAGGGCTATTTTTTTTGATACCTAAGCGCGCATTGTAGCATAAACCAGTGTCGAGAAAAACTCGTTCAAAGCTAGACTACGCAACACTCCGCACCGCCATTATGGGGCTGGGGTACTATTACAGTATTTACGGTAATTGTTTAAAAAAAATTGAAATATGAACAATTTCGAACGAAAAGCTCAATCGGCTTTACTCTTGATTGGACCGAATGGTCTTTTTTTGAGCTTCGCGGATTTATCTCCCTTTCTGAGCATCGAAATAACGCTTCGTTAATCGACGGCAATCATTTGTTCATTCAATTTGTGTTGTTATGGTTTCAGAAAAAAAAAATTCACGCATAAAAAGGCAATTTATTTGAAATTTTAAGTGCAAAGTTTTTAAAATTAATGTAAACGAGTTACTAATAGCTTACGAAAATTTCAATCGACTTTACTCGTGATTGGGCCGAAAATTGACAATGAGATCATTATTGCCAATGATACGTTGTAAAATTAAACGCCAAAACTCGAGAAGCTTTCAATTTGGACAGTTTACAGAAGGCAATGATTTCTCTATGACTTTTTCTCTTTTTATAATCGTACAATTGTAGGTGTGGGCGTGCTGGGTGGAATTCGGTAAGTAGAAATGCCGGAAAAGTAAACTGCTCGCATTTTGATCGTACCTGTAATATTTAGCACAAAGAGAAAAGAATTTTTAATGAAAATGGTCAGAGTGACTTTGTTTAGCTCGATCAAAGGCATCAAACTAAGCGCTAGTGTTCACAAAATGCTGTCAAGACTCAGCGATGACATCCCTTCTTCGCTGGTTTCCCACAGGAACCAACGGGCTTTTTGGAGCGATGCACTTTTGTCTCAAACCGCATAGAAGAAGTCTATAAGTTGTAACAGAAAATGTTAAAATATGAAAGTTTTTTTTTTCATTATGATCGTTTAACTAACCACTTGCTCCCGGAACTTCGTCTCATAAACAATGTCGTCGCTGAAGTTCTTTATGAAAGCGTTTTGGAAATAGTAAATATAGATTCATATAGATTCAAAACAAATATAGATTTTGGGATAAGAGAATCTATCAGAAACTCACCTGAATGTGTATAATCTATTTCTTTTGTGATGATTTACATGTCCAATCATGTAGCTGGGAGCCTGGAAGTGAAAAAATGAAACCAGTGCTGTGCTAAAGCAACTCATTATTTTAGCAGAATTAGCAGAATGAGCAATTAGCAAAATTTTAGCAAACCAAGATTAAATTTTGCCTTAGACACTACTATAGTGGTGGAAAAAAACCTTGTTTTTTTGGCAAAAAAAGTCGACACATTTAAAAGCGTCGCCTTTTTTATCTTAGTTGTTTAAGTTTGCTTGCAGACTAGTGTTCTTAAAAATAAAAAGAAAAGTGTATTCAATGGTGTCTTGTTTTTTAGATGGGAGTTGGAAAAGAAGTTGGAAAAAAATTGCACCACTGCCGTTTTTAATCTTTAACTCTTTGTTTTCTTGCTTATTTCTTTACAATTTATTAGGTTGGCGACATTGAAATTTCGTTTGCGTTTCTCTTTATGGATTTTAACACTGTGGATACTATTACCACCGCAATCTCTTCTGTTTTAAAGATATAATTATTGTGCTTTATTACGCGTCTTTTCTTTATTTCCAGTTGAAGAATTTTAATAAAAAAATCTTATAGATGCTAGACGACCTCAAAATATGGACTTCGAATTTGTTGCTGTACGATTTCAAACATGAAAAAAAGCAACTGAATCGCATGAATCACTTTGTAACGTATTTGAGAAAGATGTTATCACTGTTCATCAATGTCAATGGTTCTGTTTCACTGGTTCAAAAGATTTCGAAAGGGTGACGGAAGGCTGGAAGATCTGGGACGAGGACAAACAACGATTTGAAGCAGATAATCGAAAGTGATCCGATAAAGACTACATGTGAACTTGCGGAATATTTTAATTGTGATCATAAAACAACCGAAAACCATTTGCATGAATTGGGCAAGCTCAATAAAGCTGGAAAATGGATTCCACATTCACTAAGCGATGCAAGCAAAGCCATCAGAGTTCTTTGTTCAGGAAATTTGCTTAAAATTGCCAAGAATAGTGGATTTTGGGATGCAATTTTAACTTCTGATAAGAAATGGATTCATTATGGCAATATTACAAGGATAAGACAATGGCTCGACCCGGGAGAAATTTCAAAGCCAATACCTAAACCAGATTTTCACGGAAAGAAAGTTATGCTGTCGGTTTGGTGGAATACCCGAGGCCTGGTCCATTTCGAAGTGTTAATTTCTGGTCAGACTGTTGATGCAAATCTTTACGTTCAACAACTAGATCGCGCGGACGCGGTTCTTCGCTCAAAAGGAATTGATCCGACAACGGTGCGATTGTTACAAGACAATGCCTGTCCTCACGTTGCCAAAATTACGCAAGAGAAGATTGAGCAATGGGGCTGGGAACTTTTAGTTCGTCCGCCTTATAGTCCAGATATTGCCCCGTCTGACTACCATTTCTTTCGAAGTATTCGGCATTCACTCGAAAGCCACAAGTTCCAGAACATTGACGACATCAAAAAATGGGTCTCTGCTTTCTTTCAATCAAAACCAGCACAATTCTTTCAAGAGAGTATCCATAATTTGCGTCAAAGATAGAAAAATGTTATTGGTAGCTGTGGGGAATCTATTGTTGATTAATTGTTTCTAGTTTATTTTTACGAATAAATTTTGTTGTTGCTCAAAAACGAAATTTCAATGTCGCCAACCTAATATATTGTTCTTATTTTAGATACCAGGAAGGAAATAGTTGGACATGCGAACGAAGAAGAGAATCGTCGAAGCTCGATGGATTGGACTCAACCAAGAGACCATCAAACGACTGTTTGGCGTATCGAAATGGACGGTGAATAGGATTTGCAAACGATATGTTCAAACTGGCAACGTGAAGAGAAAGACAGACAGTGGTCGCCCACGCAAAACGACGAAGGATCAAGCTCGAGCCCTGCACAAATATTATTTTCTATCTCACACTCGCACGGCTACCGATGGGAAATTATTCTTGAAACGGAGATTTGGAGTCAATGTAACCCTGAGGACTATGCGAAATCGATTCAAAACACTTGGAGTGTACTTGAGAAGGCAAGCGCTCAAATCGTTGATGAATCTACGAGACAGGTAGCAACGATTACAATTTGCGTTAGAACATTAACAATGATCAATTGAGAGCCGGAAGCATTTACTGGTGACGAGTGCAAATTCTATATCTTCAACGCGAATGGCTACTTTGTGATCAAAAGATCGATTGAAGCTCGACACCGACTCAAATCCACCAGAGCAACCGTCAAGTTTAATGGTATTGTGCTGGGGAGGCTTTACCGCTCATTTAATTGGTCCTCCCGTTCGAATCGATTGAATCACGGATGGACCAAAATATAGTGAAATGTTAAAGAACGCGATGCTTCCGTATGCTCGTGCAACCCGATTGAACATTTGTGGGCAAATGTAAAACGAGAGCTAAAACGAGAATTACATGGCTACTAGTTTTCATCGAAGGATTAGCTTTGGGACAAGATGCAAGAGATTTGGGAGTCGATTTCGCCACGGACACTCGAGAAATTGGCTGCAAGTATGCTAAATCGAATGAAAGAGATCATTAAAGCCCAAGAAGGACCGACTAGATACTGAAGTTTAAGCTTTTTACCTGTAGTGCAATTTTTTTCCGCCTTTCTGGATGTTTTTTTGATATTGATGGTTTACATATTACGTATTACATGCTCTTTCTCTATCTATTTTAAACACATTTGCTACCTTTTTTCCGTTCTTTTTCTATTTTAGATCTGGTCTTGTCCGATTCTTCTGGTGCCATCATGGAGCTGAAGCGTTTGGAGCTTCGTCCTGGATCTGACCATTATGGGATCGCGTTCATAATTGAAGGACAGCAAATTTCGACTTCTCTACGGAAAGGTTGCGTGCATTTTGAATTTAATCTCGATTATTCCGACCATAATGGCATAAAACTTGAGAGGATATTGGGAAATGCACATTAAGAGAGAAAGTTAGTCCTCTTAATGTGCATTTCCCAATATCCTCTCAACTTTTATGCCATTATTTGCAAGTCTCAACAGCCGAATGGGAATGAAACATATTGAAATGAAGCAATCTTTTATTTCTCTATTCTTTTGTTTGTTATTGCTTCAATTTTCAAAAATTCGCCTGGAATTTGGGAAGATTCTGCTGTGATTTTACGCCGTATTTACTTTGATCTTATTTTTTGCTATAAAATTCTTTTCCACCCTAAGTCGCATCCAGAATTTCAAAGCCTCTTGAAAATTGTGGAAATTTCTAGAAGTACGCGTAGTCATCCTTATCAAATTTCGGTCGTTTCTCATCCCCATCATCTTTCCCTTTATCATTCTTTGTGCGAACCGTATTAGTAAGGTTTGGAATAAGCTCCCGTCTGGTATCTTCTCGTCTGTAGGAAAATTGAAAGTATCTGTAAACGAAGTAGATCTTATTGCCATGTCAAATCTGCCCTATATTTAATCTTTTTGTACCTGTGTTTCCTAACTGTAGTCTTACTTTACTATTTTTAGTTTTCTTTCTTTTTTTTGTGAAAGTATTGTAGCAATATGTTATATGCGGTTATGATTATCTGATTGGCTTCTATTCGCCCCTGAATAAAGCATATATATACCGTAAATACTGTAATAGTACCCCACCGCCCTCGTACAGTCGCGTACTCGCAAAAGTTTTTTAGTATTTAATTTTTTCCAAAGCGCCCGTACTTTCAAAAAAATGCGTCTTTGGTATCAAAAAAATAGCTGAAATTCAGGGCTATTTTTTGATACTTAAGCGTGCATTGTAGCATAAACCAGTGTCGAGAAAAATGCGTCCAAAGCTAGACTACGCAACACTCCGCACCGTCATTATGGGGGTGGGGTACTATTACAGTATTTACGGTATATATTTGACGTAATTAATGATAATTTATAAAAAAAGAAGAGGAAAATCCCAAATTTTGTTAGGTTTCAGTGTGATTCAATGTAAAAAAAAGCGAAATTTTATTCCTTTTTCATAGAACTCTTCAAATTTCAGATCATTGATAAAATGCAGGAGGGAAATCAAGAGATCAATGTGCGGGTTTTTTCGGTGAAAGCCAACGGGAATGATATGAGGAGCACAAGGAAAATTGAGAGAAATTCGAAATTTGTGAAAGAAAAGCACAAAAAAATGATGATATCAGGAAAAGTTAAAGCAAATGAGAGATGAGCAAAAAAAAAAGCTGCTGATGAGAAAATAAATTATCATCGTTTGGAATTCTCACAAAATCAGTGAGAAACTCGTTATGTACACTTTATTTACATTAGGCAAAGGCACGAAAAAAGTGAAAGACTTCAAGATTTGAAGGAGTAAAGCTGGATTTAAGTTTAATAAGTAAAGATTTTGTTTAAAAGCAGTCAGTCAGATTAGAAGCATTTTAATATCTTTAAGATTTAGATCTTAATTCAAGATGATTCAAGATTCAAGCCAGATGGCTAGTGTCTTCAGCTCTAGCACGATTGAATATTGATCACGGGGGTCAATAGTCGATGCACGATTGTTTCTCGTAGTTTCTCCGAGAATTGTTTGATGTTTTGTGAGACGGCTTTGTGAAGTGATGGGGATGATGATGAAGATGAAAGGGATAATGTGCTTGGCCAAGTTGTATGCGATTTCAGCTCTTTCTCCGAGTCATCCGCGGTTTGCTCGTGAAGGTGGAGGCCTGGAAATCGATTTGTTAACTTTGGACTTTGGCTTTGACTTTGACTAGTACTAGAAAAGTTGAAGAAAAATCATTTTCCACTCACCAAGTAAATTCTCGGCTGAAAAGCATAAACGATTGGTGGATTGGAGGAGAGGCGGGAGAAGATTTCTCCTTGTCGAATCGTCGAATATCGGTTTTGAATGCAAGAGTTCGACTTCTTCGGGATGAGGGAATTCGGGGATCATTTTGGAATGGATTGAGGAGATAGATCTGAAAGCTTGTTGATGAGATTGCTAGTACAAGAATGGATGAGATTGCTAATACAAGTAAAAACTTTGTAAAGAATATTTTACTTAAATTAATGAAATGGCAAGTCAATGACAAGTAATCAATGAAATAAAAGCAAAAAAAAAAAAGAAAAAGCCAAGCAGAATGGGAAATGTGTGTCTATTTTGCCCGGTCCAAGCCTTTTCCCATTTCATCTTATAGGGGAGAAGGGAAAGGTGTGTTGGGGCGGAGTTTCCCCGTTCAGCAAAAAAATCTCAGTCTCTCTCTCTCTTTCTTTCTTTCTTTCAATGCTAATTGCATTACTGTGTTTTCTGTCTCATTTCCAGTTCAAGAAGCAAATGAGAACAAAGAGAAAAGAAGAAAAGTTTGCTCAAATGATTATGTTTCACGAAATTCGCTGAGTACGGTAGTGTGTTTACAAGTTTTCTTGTGGCTATACATTGAATTTTCAAGAATTTTGCCCAACTCCATCATAATCTTTGAGATTTTAGTGGGGTTTTTATGGTGATTCATCGAATTTCACCGTTTTCTTTGCTTTGATGGATTCTGAAAGATTCGGCTTTATTGTGAATCTTTATCTGATTCTTCAGATCTAACAATTGGCAATAGTAGAAAAATTTCAAATTATTCAGTTATTCAACTGAATCTCTTTGATATAAACCATCGAATTAATTGAATATCGAAGAAAACTTCTAATCAGTTCTTCTAATAAGCATTCTAATCAGCTCTAATCATTCTAATAAGCATTCTAATCAGCTCTAATCATTCTAATAAGCATTCTAATCAGCTCTAATCATTCTAATAGCCAAAATTCGAGCACGAGATGCAGATCCAGCAATAAAGCTTAGAAATAGTTGAATAAGAAGGGATAGTTGGTGAAGCAATATGTGTGAAATCATTAGTACAAACCAAGCAAATAGCAAATATACTTCAGTTAAAGTTACGGTCAACTAGAGCTTAACTATATCGTCATTCTATAGCTTTATATAGCTTAACTATATCGTTCCTAAGCCCTGTGGCACAAGCCCTCGTCATCGTCACAAATCACAGTTCTATTGGCTTAAAAAAAAAATAGAAAACTTCAAGTCATCAAAAACAAGATCTAATAAACAAATAGCCATGTTTTATTGGTTAATTTCATCTAAAGCTGTTTTGAAATTCGATGATTTCATCACTCATGTAAACATTTGATCTGATCTCATCCATTAGACGTCAAAAATGTGATCACCATGTGATCACATCGCATGTGATCCGTAAGAATCCATTCTGGGAATAAAACAAATAAAGTGAACAAAGACGTTAAGTATGCAAAATTGAAATTTCGATAATTTCTGAGAAAAGAAAGCGTTCAAGCATCACATCCAGGTAATCCAGGAAAATGAGAGGAAAATTTGATCAACCAATTTCTAGAGAAATCCGTTTAAAATTGTGATTACATGATGATTTAATGGTCTAATAATTTTAATAAACTTTAATAAAGGTAAAATAATCTCATAATCTGATCACATTTTTGTAGAATTCATATTTGAAAGGTTTGTTTAAAGAAAAAGAGCATTTGCCGAGTTCTTTGAAGTCATTTTATTCAAATCTAATTCAAATAAAATCAAAACAAATAAGAATAACTTTATAAAGAAGCAAAAGGCTTCTTATTATGGAAAAGGAAAGAAAAATAAAAGAAGTGCAAAAAGAGCCTTCTGAAAGTGGGCACTACTATTAGAGAAAATACGATAACCGTAAAGATTACAGTAGCTAACTTGGAATCTGCAAGAATCAAGGCTCGTGTCAATCTTCAAGATATCACTTGTTTTCTCTGAACTCTGTCACCTCAGAGAAATGCCAGTGGCAATAGGTGAAAAATGAAAAACGAAACACTACTCCAATTTGGCACCTAATGTCTGTTTCTGTATGTCTGTTTTTAAAAAAGGAGAGAGAAAGTTGTCGGTGCCGGGAGTCGAACCCTCGGACAACGACAGGCCACGGGTTCTGCAGTCGGGCACACTACCGCCTAGACCATCGCCGCTCTTGCTCCAGCCACTTGTGACGCGGTCTTAAGCGGCGAAATGGGTTTTGCGTTTTTCTTCAAACTTAAAATACATTTTTCTCGCCGGGATTTTTATTAGTTGCTTTTTTTCGTGCTCTAGCTTTCTTTATCTTTATTCATCATGAAATTCTTGAAAAGTTTCGAATCTAGAGAACGATCTTTGAACAATCAAACCGATCAAACAGGAGCAAACAAGAGCAAAGAAAAATCTCCATCATTTCACAGCCATAGTCGTTCAAGTTCTCGAGAAAATGGACAAAGCAAAGAGTACAAAGTGTCGTCGACATCGAAATGGAAAAGAGAAAACTGACCAATCGAGTGGTGGCTCGAAAAAAACAGTCCTTTTTTTCGTGGATTTTGTGAGAGACCATTTCTCTCTTGCTGTTGGCTGAACGATGGTCTTTTCTGTTTTCTTTACGATTGATCAGCTTCGAATTGAACAAGTGCCTTGTTGTGATCTCTCTTTCTTCACCTCGTGCTCATTATCTACGTCACTGACTCATCGAATTCTCTTTCCAGAACTTCAACTCTCTGTTAAACTTACTCTCTGTTATTTATGCATTTGCTATCTGCTTTAATGATTCACATTCCCAAGTGTCTGCTTTTTTGTGTGCACAAAAAGGATTTTGCTTGATTGTGATTTAAAAGGTTGAATCCATTTCTTTGAACTTTAGTATTGCAATGGCATTAAAAAGTAGTCAAGGCTACAAGTATTTATATTCTGCTTTGGTTTTAGAGTTTCAGATCAGCTTTACCGCTCATTTAATGTCTCGCTCATTTAATGTCTTTAATCTAATTGGTCCTCCCGTTGGAATCACGAATGGACTAAAATATGGTGAAATGTTAAAGAACTAGATGCTTCCGTATGCTCGTGCAATCCGATTGAACATTTGTGGGCAAATGTAAAACGAGAATTGCATGGCTATCAGTTTTCATCAAAGGATTAGCTTTGGGACAAGGTGCAAGAGATTTGGAAGTTGATTTCGCCACGGACACTCGAGAAATTGGTTGCAGGTATGCTAAATCGAATGAAAGAGATCATTAAAGCCCAAGAGGATACTGAAGAATACTAGAAGAAGCCCAGGAAGCCCAAGAAGATACTAGATAAGTTTAAGCTTTTTACCTGTAGTGTAATTTTTTTCCGCTTTTCTGGGTGTTTTTTTGATATTGATGGTTTAAATATTACGTATTACATGCTTTGCATTGTAAGTAGGCATTAAAAAGTAGTCAAGGCTACAAGTAAACATTTGTATTCTGCTTTGGTTTTAGAGTTTCAGAGCTTCAGAACAGCTTTTTTTCGTTACCTCTACGAAATTTAAAGTCTCAAATACATTTAGCATCTTTTAAGCAATGATCTTTGACCTTTTGAGCTTTTGAGTTAAGTAAAATTACTTAAGTTTTCAAGGATTGCTTAATAGGAGTCAATTCAAGTTTTCTTTTATTCTCAATTCAAGTTTTCTTTTATTCTCAATTCAAGTTCTCTTCAATTCTCAAAGCAAGCTGACAAACTCAGCCAGTTGTTGTTCAAATGAACACTAACTGGCTGAGATCTCTCTCCATTTTGCTTCTTTTCCAATCAAACACTTTCAATTTTTCAATTTTTCATTTTCTCATTTAAAAAAAATGATTTGACGTATCCCATTTCATGAATCAATACTTCAACCGATCATTTTTCCACTTCAAATCTCTTTCAAAACTCTTTCAGCTCACTAAAACAAAATTGGCTTTTGAGAACTTTTGAAAAGCATCAATTTGCTGAAATCTAACGGAAATGATAGCATTTTTCATTGATTTTAAAAGATTTTCATTGAAAGGATGATTGAGTGGGGACGAAATGTCATTTGGACAGCTGTCAAAAGACAAATTTTTCTCAAATTTCTTTTCAAATGATCAAATTCAAATGTCCAATTGACTGAAATGCTTACGAAATCTACAATTAAATTAAATTCAATGATTCAATTCAATCCACAATTCAATTCTTTCAAATGATTTTATTTTATAATGACTTTATAAACCCTTGTTTACCATATGGCGCTTTTTTTTGCTTTTAATTCCAGGCACTTTTTCCCTTTGTTTACCGTTATTCGATTTCTCATGTTTGAGAAAAGTGAGCAAATTTGTGGAAATTCTTTTCTTAGAAACGAAATCATATTTTAGTTGAAAAACTCATCATTTCATTTCACAAAGAGTTCTAATTCGGTCTTCAAATCAAACGAAACGATGGGAGTTTCCCGTAAGGCAAAATGCTTATGTTTATAAGAAAAATCGTGTTAGTGTTGTTGCTCGAATTGAGCTTTTTTTTGGAGAATTCGGATCTTAAAAACCAATAGTTTCTTAACAAAGCAATTTTTTCGCAAACAACATGACATCATTGATAATTCTTTGTAAAGGCATCAGGATTGGGTTGAGTGAAAAGTTGCAGCTCCGGAACAGGGTTTCAATATCCGGTATCCAGTGCTAGGTATTATTCCAGAGTTGAGGCAAGTCTTTGTAAAGGTGCTAGGTATTATTCCAGCTCCGGAACAGGGTTTCAATATCCGGTATCCGGTGTTAGGTATTATTCCAGAGTTGAGGTAAGTCCTTGTAAAGGGATTTTCTAAATGTTCGAGCAATTTGACGTTTGTGGGAATATCACAATATTCAGATTGTTTTCTTTCTGAAATCCCGTCAGAAGTCGTTTCTTTGTTGCAAGTGAAAGTGAGGGTGGATGGGATGGATGGGATTGAAGGGGTGACTGATAGGGGATTAGCTCACCAACTCGTACACACAAATATCCCCATTACGCAATTGAGAACTATTTAGATTTACTGGGAAAAAGTGAGGCAGAAAACAAAACGTGATTTAAATTTAAAGGATTTATTCATGGATTTGGGGAAAAATGGAAAAAATTTGGAAAAATTTTAATTTGGCGGAAGT